ATGCAGCGGCATCCCGAAGAGGAGTTGGGCAAATGTATGCCAATATGGCCATCGCCTTTCCCGGGTTGGGAAGGTTTTATATATGTATGGACGAGGGAGATGTGTGCTAGGATTTATATATGTATTTTGTGGGAGCGCAGTGGAACGGATCGTAGACAGTGTATCGGTGGCAGCAGTCATGTACGCAGGCGGCATTAATGTGGCCAACACGCGCAGTGCACACAACTCTCCCCTTTCCGAGCTGGCCGGATGTTAGGGAGATATCGCTTCATCAGTCAAAATTTACGGGATACGGCACACGAATGGTGGATGACTGGGGCCAGTTACAAAACCATTTACTAGTACTTATATGTACAAAAGTAAGAAAATGTACACTGTCCAGTACCAAAATGCGTTGCTCAAGCCAAAAGCCTCCGAAGTACAAACGTGCAGTTTGTTATGCAAGCGGCAATTAAACAACTAGCCAACTGAAGTGCATGGAAAATCAAAAGCGTACAACGTAAATACATTTCCTTAGTTAGGGCCTTAATAAAAAATAATTCTGGTATTCCAATATGGCTTAATAAAATTCCGATGAAATGGCTTGTAAAAAGATTAGTGCTTGTTGGAAACCGTGGAAAAATGGATCTCAAAGAAATGTTAGCCAAAGGGAAAAGCAATGCAGAAGTACCGGTACAATTGAAATTCTGGAATTTTGTAAGCCGCTGTTTTCAAAATAAAGCAAAATATCGATTCTTTTAGCACCAATAAAATAATATCCTTACCGGTTGGTTAAGGTAGCTAACCATAAGTAACATTGATAAAATTAGTGTTGACTTGTAATTGACACCGACCGGAAGCTATCTTGGTGTTTTGCCTTTGTTCTATCTATGCAAAATTCAGCTGCAAATGGCATTCGAAACTACTTTAATTTTTCCTGGCTTCGAAGAAAAATGCCACTGTTTTGGACTGCAGAAAATTTCTGGCGAATCTCATCTGCCGGAGTGCGTCAAATTTCCCCGGGAATGCAGCATTGCGGTGATATATCGGTATGTGTACAATGTGTAAGAGTATAGAAGCAGGCATGCACTAGTGAGCAGGAAAAGTAATTCCGCACTGCGCACACACAACACACACAACTGTCCTCCCAATTGCCAAAAAGGCCAAAGTAATTCAGGATGACAGTAGCACAAACCGATCGATGAACTAACTTTCCTCGGCAAAGATCCCGTCACTCCATTGCCTGCGCCACACACACACATATATACACACAGTACCGACACAAAACTCCCTGACTTCTCTCATGCAACTACAGACAGGGGGATATATAATATTATATGCTAGACGCGATGCCAATCTATCGAGCCAAAAAGAGGGACGATGGTACTCCAGAGGAATGAAAATGGGGATATTTTCCCCCCTCTGTTATATTATGTGTATAACGGAGTACGTGATGTGCTGTATGCCATGCAGTGCGCCGGCGCTCTATGTACACTACTGGTCTGGATATGTTAACGTATGCAACGGGGTCACATCTCCCATCCAGTCCAGTCTGGCATCCGTTCCATCATTCATTTCCCCCATGTGCCGGGGTATATTGCTGGTGTATGCATGCCGGCGTTACGGGCAGGGAACAATACCGGGAGGAAGACTTTTCAGGCAGTCCAAACTCTCTTCCCCCGGCGCATTCTAACAGATACGGAACAATATAATGCGGCAACTGTTCCACTGCCCATGTTTACATCCATCATTGACAGCTTGTGATTTCACACAAACAGTTGTACCATGCAACTTTTATTGCACTGAATATGCAATGACCTTTATTGCTGCATACGATGAACGCTGCTATAGCAAAGATATCCATTGACCATTGCCTCAGAACTTGTTTGCCAATTGTAACACATTCATAAAGCCGCTAATTTTCAAATAAGCATGCAAGAATAAACTTTCTTAGCTAACGCATTAATCCAAATATTAAAAGTATTAATGCTTACGTACACTACGCTTCAAATGTCAAAACAACGTTATTTTTAAAAAAATGTATGATAATTAAAAAACATGAAATGCTTTACGATAATGCGATGTTTCAGGTTTATGTGTGTTTTCTTTCAGTTAGTAGAGTAGGCTAAATGCGTTAATTTTTCATGTTACAGACAGCCGAGACCGGCATGCAAGTTGATGAAATTTCTTTAATTTAAAAATAATAAAAAAAGTTCGGCTAGCACTTACAGGCGACCGCCTAATACGGCAAAGCAACCCAAAAATTGTTTTCCAGCCAGAAGAGCAAGAAGAGATGCAATCGTTGCAAATGGCTGGATCCCCGTACAGTGGCCCAGACATCAATCAAGCGTTGGCCAAGAAAATCATGGGCAGATTAATAAATAGTTTCCAGCTTGGAAATTGCTTAAAGAGAACAAATTCAATTACATGGCCGTAGCACTGTCATTTCAGCCGGAGCAAATTTCCATTCCCCGGGATGGAAGCAGCCGGGAAAAGCCCTGGCCAGCACACATATATAGATATACAGCATGCATCGTTATAACTGGCTCCATGCTCTCAAGACTCAACTAGTAATCGCGTTGTCGGCAAATACGGGGCTTTTACTAAATGACGGATACTGTTTTCCTTAGTCTGAACGATTGGGATCTCTTAAACACACACGCATATACACAGTGGCAACATGGTTGTGGAAATTATTTTCGGATTAGTCTGCGCTTAATTTTTAAATTTAGATTATTAGGACGATTTGCCATGGCTGTGTTTAATTATAGCCGGAATGGACAATATTACAGAAAGTGTCTTTCTTTTAGCACCCGGCTGCTGCGCGGCGGTATGGCACTGGCTGCCGGCTGTGTCTGCTGCGAAGCGGTCCAGGCTAAATGCGCTGTCGATTAGTGTAAAGTGCCGTGCTTGGCTTTTTTACTACTGGCTGAGAAAAAAACAGTAACATGCTGGATTATGTATAGCGGGAGCAATATACATAAGCGCTGCTGTGCTTTCGGTGTATAATATGTTCAGTGTTGGATGATGGGCTGCCTGTCGCCGGTCCCAGGCGTCGCTGGAATGTGGCAGCCAGTCAATCAGCAAGGTTATTCGAACAGATCATGCACATCCAACACTTTTTGATGGCATGCTAAATAGATACAAACTGCATAACTTATATTTAGGCGCGGGTCCGCATTGCAATCATCAGACAGTGTCGGCTATGTTAAACAGTGCAGCTGAAGAAAAAACATTATTGCGTTGCGGAAATACAACCTTTAATTTCTGCTTCTGCAAATACATTTTAACTAAAACATTTAATTTATTTCAAATTTTTTTATCAACTGCTTCGATTTTTGGCGATATGTTTTGAAAAAAGGTGCAAACAAGCTTAAACTATTTATTTACGAAATCGGTTACTGAGTAAGATTCTTCGAACTGAAAAAGAAATATGTTTAAAAAGTATGTTTATGGTGATTTCCCAACATCTGCAATTAAATTTATATATCCATGTGGTCGATTTACCTCGATTAGAAAGATTACTTGACATTCCATTTTAGCCAGTGTGCATGTGCAGTCTGCATAATTATTATATCTGTACAGTGTACACAGCACTTATATAATATGTATTTGGAAGTTACGCATCGAATATAGACAAAAATTTATAAAAGGAAACTAGCGTGCGCAAAGGAATTATGGTTGAGTTTTTCTGGACGTCAATCCAATCAAACCGAAGCCGTCAATAAAGAAACTCTTGCTGATTCGGAGCAGTCATTCCGGAATTTTATCTTGATAAATGAGCTGTAAAATGATATCCAGCCGATTATTTCCAGTCAGGAAGCACCATTTCCCCGTTGGCCTCTTTGGATCATCCTTGACAATAAAGTTTGCAGATAAGGAGATGCTTGCTCCCATCTTTTGTCCAACGCCGGCAAGCTGTCTATATAACCCGCAGTGAACAGCTTTCCCAAGATTGCCGCCTCTTACTCAGTGTGCCGCTGTATATTTTAATCCCGTCCAATGCGTAATTCATATTTCATACGCAGTACGCAGTACTGGCAATGAAATCAACGCCTTCGTATGCGTACCGAGTTGAACAAACAAAAAAACGATGGCTACTTACAGATACATCACAGCATTCTTCATTAATAAGAACTATTCTAATACAGTAATTCTACGATCTCTTGGACATTTACCTTATTGTGTTCGCAAAACTGAATTGATAGGAAGCTAAAAACGACTCTAAGGAATATTAGTTCTTTTTTAAGTGTTTTCTTTGTTTCCTTGTACATTGCATGCGTAAAAACTAAAAACCAACTAATTTAGTTTATCCCACTTTTAACAGTGCAATGCAAAATAAGTGCATACATGCTTTTACAATTAAATTCTTAAAGCATAGAAACGCAGGATTTGTTGGGCACCATGTATAGAGCCGACAAAAAAGTTTGACCGTTCAGCAATGTGCAGATGCGCAAGAAACGAGCATTATTTTGTGAAGTACTTAGCTTTAATCAAGCACAGTACCATTTACCATAGAAGATGAAAAGATTGTTTCTAAACTTTTTCCTGTAGAACCACGTAAATTGCTGTAGTTAATCTTCTTTTGAAAATCATTCTAACCAGTTAGTAGCTCGAAGGTTTTGTTTGCCGGAGAATCTGCGAAATCCCCAGAAAATGTGGTCGCACTCACGATTACTATCGGGAATAGCGAGGTCACAGCAAGTGACAAATACACTTTTAGGAGAAAATCCGCAAAATGTCTCCCAAACGAAAACTCATTAATTCTATAGAATGACGCAAAAATAACATAATATTTCCGCATTTGGACCAATTACGCAGTCGATGCGACGTGCATTGTCCTAACTATCCCACTTTTTGACGTTGAACACGGTTTAATTCCGAGTGCCGTTCGAGATTAGGTATATTGTGATAACACTAGCTGATCTCTTAGAAAAATATGCCAAATTAGCGAGTACACCAAAGACATCTCCTATATAAATGCGTTTCCGGTGAACACTCCACATCATTTTCGCCTCACCGCAAAATACCGTTGTTACATATTCTACATTCATCGTAGAATAATCTATTAAAAATGGCAAGTCTTATGTTTTGCGGTGTTTTTCTGTGTTTATTTATCATGGAAGGATCATTTGCTTGCTTTATCACGAACTGTCCACCGGGTGGTAAAAGGTCAGCTTACAGTTTTGCACCCAGTCCTTATCGCAGACAGGTATGATACTCAGTAGCGCTTCGGTTGCGCGCGCAGGATTAGATCATATCGGATGTCGCTTCAACTACCTAAAATACGAGTTGTTGCAGCGCGTTTTGATATACTTTTATTATGCTTTTCTCATAACGTTCTTACACCTAAAATTTGACTAATTTGTTCGGCACATTTCCTCTCTTTGGCATGCTTAATTCTTGCATGAAATTAAAATCATAGCGCATGCATATTATTTAATTCAAAGAACAATACATGAAAGGATTAATTGTACACCTGGTTAAAAAACTTTCTAGCATTTAAAGGTCCCAGATTAATATTGGTGTGCCATACATAATGTTCAGTAAGTAAAACTCACACCGGAAACCTACTATTGCGATAATAAAGGGTAAGTGCGAATAATTAACAGGAATTGTTTGTGACAGTGTATGAAATGTGGTCCTGGTGGAAAAGGTCACTGCTACGGTTCGAACATTTGCTGCGGTGAATCATTTGGCTGTCTGATGGGTACAGAGGAGACAGCGGTGTGTGTCAAGGAGAACTACATCCGCACGCCATGCTACAATCAGGGCAGCAGTTGCGGCCAGAATGATAAAGGAATCTGTGCAGCAGATGGTATCTGCTGTAATGAGCGTAAGTGGGAATGCGAACATCACTTTTTTTCTTCCCAACTTCCCTTGCATTATTTATATCATCCTGTTCACTTTCTCTCCTGTTTTCCACAGAGGGCTGTGTGGCCGATCAGAAATGTACTGGGCAATAGAGAAGGAGAATCTCGGATGGGTGTTAAGGATTTCCGATTGGAACAACACATACAAGAGCACTGTCCGAGTGTTTTCCTTAAAGCCTGGCAAAATCACATTACAGAATTTAATTTCAATGCCCCCAAACGCCAAAACGTCCCTGGTATACGTTGATATAATCCTGAGTTTCCTTATTGCTCTGCCGTATTATGTAGGATAACGCTTGGTCCAAATACTTTTTTTGTTATTTTTGTTATAAGCGTTTTATCTGTAATAGCTGAAGCTTTTATTGTTCAGTATACAGTATATTGGGTCGATGCCATTATTCCGTGCTCGGGAATAATTTCATGGCTGACCTTTAACCTCTTGTGCACAGGCCGTTCAAAAGTCATTAGTTTTGATTTTGTAAATAGTGACTTTTTTGTTTTCGTTTTATTTTACACGAGTATTCTCTGACTGCAAAACAAATCGCTTAATATAATTTAATGCATGTGCATGCTAACAATTTAAAAAATGTTGTTCAAAACGATTCGAATTGGTACGAGAAGGAAAATAAATGCCCACATACGGAAGCAGTGGTGTAAAGTCAAAATTTTATCAACAAGAGGATAAAAAGACTCCAACTCGTAAAATTTAACAAAGCAGTAGGAAATAATATTTCAGCGCCGTTTTTCAGTTCCTGATATATTTCTAAAAACGATAGCATGCCGCGCCGCGAAAGACAACCAGTTATTCGCAACCGGAAGTAAATCAATTTAAAAGTGATTGTTACCACATTACGCTATGACATTGCACAGTGCACACCTTATAGGTAAAACACTAAGTTATCGCTGATCTAATCATGATTAGGAATGTTGCAGCTCATTTGAATAATCAGCGTAGTCCGCACTTTTTGGAGTGTCTTCGACTAACAAACAACGAGTATCCCATTTTCTCATTCGAATGACTAACAAGATTTACAAACATTACTTCATGCTTCTTATTGTAAACTGTATTACTTAACGTTAACATTTGTCTTAGTAAATTACTAGAGAAGACGACTGGTAATCAAAGCTTTTTCTCGCTTTATAAGTTTCGAAAGTGGTGAATTTACATAGTTTCTATTAATCAGAAGTATTGCCGTAGTATTATTATTTAAAATTTGGTTAATTTATCATGGTTCGTGGAAGGATTAGCTGTATTATTTTTTTCGCAAACGTGCTTTGGCAGGATGTTGTGGGATACGTGGTTTCCACTGACACTCGATATTCCAAATGGCCTGGAAATACAGTTCCTTACATAATCGCTCCGGGTTACAGTATGTCTGCTTTAATAACTTTTAAGCACAAAGAATTATTATTTCAATGCATTATTTTACGTAAAAAAAACCAACAATAATGCATTAATAAATAGATAAGACAATGCTATTTTATGTACTAGTAATAAAAACCACATATTGATGTAACAAATCACAAAAGTGAGTTCTACCAAGCGATTAGATGTAAAAGCTTTATGGTAAATGTTTAGAAAGTTTAGCTGGGCCGGACCTGACACACCATAAATGGAACGAATATCCGGATTTTTGCGTATTAATTAAACAAGCTTTGTAATAAATAAAATGCATTTGTTCTATCAGTTTTACTAAACAACTATTTCCCTTTTTTATTTGTGGCATAAATGGACCCATTGCACGAAATGTTGACATTTTATGATTTCAACAGGTGAGGCGGAAATCAACACTATCCGGATGGCTGCCGCTCAAATTCAGGCAGACATGGGCAATTGCATCCGTTTTACGGATTTGGGTGCCGGACCAATACCTGCAGCAACAAGTTTCGTTATAATTTCTCCAACCGGTGGACCAGGGTAATAAAAATTCTCAGGGTATTCCCGCTATCTTATTAGCAAATGTTTTATCTAATTAATTATGACTTAGTTAACTTCGTAAATTAACAAAGCCGTGGTTGGTTTGGCGCCAGAAAATCGTGACTGGCTAAACAATTTCAAAAACATGATATTCTATATTTTAGGGTGCCATCTCCAACTTGCTATTCGTTTCCGGGCCGAGTGCTACCCTTATCCAACCCGCCCACAACATATGGACAGCACATGGCCATCATGAACGGACCCAATGGATGTCTGTCCAGTGTGCGGCAAGTTATGCGATTTTTCTGCGACCTTCTCGGATTACGCAGTGAGCACAACAAGCCGGGACGAGATTTATTCCTGCAGCTCAACACCCAACTTATCCATCCAGGTACAAACTAGGCAGCAAAAAAATGGCTTTTTTTTAAACACATTATCTCTGAAATCTCGAACTGTGGGGCGTAATTTATTAGCAGATGTTGTAGTTACTTAATACTTATGAAATTTAAAAATATTGGCGTTGTTTCAACATACAAATCATTTTGATAGCGGCTGTTCAGATTGGAGCATTCACGGAATACGATCCACGCCTTATTCAGTTCAACGCCACAGATTTTGATTATAATTCTATAACCATGATTGAACCAACAAACTACAGTGTCAGAGGAGGTCTTCCGGTCATTTCGGCTCGGAATGGCCGAACGATATATAACGCGGGCCGATTGAGTTTTCGTGATTGCCAGGCGTTGAGTGCTGTGTACAACTGTATGATCCAATGTCCTACTTGTAAGTACTGCATTCGAAGTAACGCCAATATAATATTTATGTACTGTATATCGTTCTAAAATTTGCATTTTCCTGAAGCTAAAAAACAACTGAAATTAAAAGATAAGATGTAATTAACCATTACACTGTTCATTTTTCAGTTTATTGACAACAGCAACACTCCAGCAGCGGGCCTACATGTGCATGCCCTACAAACATCGGGCTTACGAATCTTTGTAATTTTACGTGTGTACTGCACCATAGAGGTCCTACATTAATTCCGTGTTGCATTAATACTATAATGTTCTGAACAAGATCTCATTAAAGTCATGGTAGCTGCGAGCGTTGAGGAAGCAGAACACGTTTCAGCCAGCTTCGTGACCTTTGTTAACCCTTGCATAATACGAGTACTGCATGAGTCGTCTAAGTAGCACAATTTACTCCATGAACAAAATGAAAGTGTCAAAGTATATGACTTTTCTAATTGGAAGAGCAATTTTCAGGTTCAAGGCTGCTTGATCAAAAAGTACATGTTTTTGGCGCAATCGGGTAAAAACTATATAAAAAAGTAGGTAAAAAGTATATAAATAATAAATCTGCTTAGCTTATCTTGTGTCAAGATTTAGCGAATAAAGAAAATAAACCATTGCAGATTTGATGTGTTTCAGGTCGCTACAGTATTGCCGTGGACGTTGTATCTGTACTATTAGTTTAAATGTAACAGCAAAATTTTCAGATTGAATACTGTAGATTTTATTCTGGTAAAGTGAGAAAGCTCATAGAAAGGTAAAGCGAGGAACGGCATGAACTTTGTACGGTGCAGGAGTAGCCGCCAAAGAAGCCGGGCCAAATTCGTTTATACGCGGTAACGTAGCGCCTTTGGGCTCCTTCCATTCGAATCGGTGAACAAGATTAGCAAAGGTCAGGAATAAAGCCATCTGAGCCAACGCTTGACCTGGGCACGATCTCTGGCCTGAAATTCAACAAATGCTTTTTTAGTCTTCGAAACCATACTGTTGCCAAGTTTTTTTTAATGAAAAAATTAAACAGGCATAGCATTTGAAAATATGTATACCGATTGAGAAGGGCATAAATTGGTCTGGGATGTTAACATTGCCTTCGCCGTCAAGGAATCGATCGGGCTTAAAAGCCAGTGGATCAGGAAAATACTGAGGATCGTTGTGTATCGACCAAATATTTGCAAAAATTAACGAATGTTTCGGAATTTTATAACCCAAAAGTTCCGTTGCTTCCAAGTTGCGACGCGGGATATTCCCGGCACTTAGTCCGCTCAGTCTTAAACACTCCAGAAACGTTGCAGTAGTCAACGGCAAATCATCTACCATCAACCCAGCAGCTGTAATAACACTCTCAATTACAACTGTCGAACTTTCATAAAGTAAACTTTATTCAAACCAGAGCGTTAAATTTAAAATTTCACAGAAACCTGAAGCTTTGCTAATAATCGAGAAAATTATTTTAATGCTAACCTCTGTCATCCCAACCAACAAAGCGTTTGTGGCCAATAACTCTGTTCATTTCTTCCTGAATTTTTTGCTGGTGCACTGGATTGCGGCACATCAGCAATATCAGCCATTGTAGACCCAGCGTAGTGGATTCCGTGCCTCCAATAAACATTGTGGAAGCGGAAGCAACGAAATCATTTCCATCTATGCAAAACAAATATGTCACTATCCGCTGGCAAACACAAGCCGACAACCTATCACTAAGCGGGTAAAGCGACAAAATCTTTTTTTTAATTTTCGGATTCAAGAACATAAACTATTTGGACAAATTTATTGCTCTTACAAAAACTATAGAAGAATTCAAGTTTTATGCTAGTGGATAAATATACATGTTTGGGTGCTTAGTGAGTGATCACCGGATGTACATGTGTTGTAACGTAAGTATTCGTAAGGAGGAGCTGTGCGCTGTGAACCACGCGCTTTTACCACATGCGTCTCAGTTCGTAGACTAATTTTATTCAATAAGTGCACACTAATATATAAAATTATGTTAATTTAGTTCGGAATTAACGTAAGAAGCAAAAACTGCAGCTACATATGTATTGTTTTTGCTATACAGTATACACCGTACTTGTTCTAGTGTCACATATACTGTACGTATTTTGTGGGTATTACGCTTACGTACTTAAAACGTTTCAACCGTACAGATAATTGTACGAGTAATTAATTACTCGTAATATTTACTAATAATAATAGTAATAATAGTAATATTTACCGGTCATAGCAAGAGATTGTTTGGCTCCTTCACTATTGATGTGCCGGAAGTACGCATCCAGAAAATCTTTTGGTTCAGCCTTGTTAGTGCTATTTTCAATCAAGGTAAACTCCATCTCCTTCTCTCGATTGGTCATTTCGTTTTCGACAAATGCCCGCAAATTGTCGACAGTGCGTATCATGCCGTTCCAGTGTCTTTTAAAACATCCCGGAATATACCGCAACCAGTGGAATCTGCGTGCATGATTAGTTAAGTTTCAAATGATTATTTTTTTCATGAGAGAGCACGGAATAATACCATCTGTTTGCATATATATTTTAATATTTAGCAACAGTTTTTAATTTGCACCTACGCATTAATGGTCACGCTTCCCATTGCACCGATGGCGTCGGGCATATGTTCCATAAGACAACGAAATTCATCGCCTTCATACTGAAAACGCCGGCTAAACAGCACCATCGCCATAATGCTGGCCATGGCTGGGCGGAGAAGCGTCCGTGGATTGAACGCCCATGCATTGTGCGCTGCAATGGTGCGCGATAAGCGGTCAACTTCATCCAGGACGATCTTCTCCATTTTCTGTTTGCCTTGACCGGCGCCCAGTTCGTGCAATGTGGTCACAATAAATTCACGGGTGTCTTTCCATTTTGGACCTTCCATTGCGGTAATTCCTACAAATTTATACGAATTTTATACAGACTTTCCAGACGAATTTTTTACATCTTTCCATTATCATTATTAGTGCATTGTTACTCGTACTAACCATAAGTTTCACCGAAAATGTAGAACAGATATTAATCATATATTTTCCATTGGGTTACCATGTATTCCGCGACCGTCCTTGCCGGTTGCCATCTTTTCAAGGACAAAATTTTCTCCTCTACCGGCGAATACATCGCCCTGATCAACAAATGCCGTGTGTACTGTATCGTAGTCTTCCAAGACCACAGCAAATCTCGACCCGAGATATAAGCCGACAATCTGGCCATAAGCTTCTTTCAGTTTTGTTAAAGCGATCCATGGATACTTCCCCACAAATGGTGCATAACCAAAAATTGGGACTCCTGTATGATAAACGTAGCAATAATTTAGGGGCAACGGTGAGAAAACGAATAATTATTAGACGCTGTACGGCTGAAAATTATTGGCAGCTAGAAACATTTTACAAGCATCAGTTTAGACCATACTGATTTTATGGTTATCTAACTATCTGATCGTCCCTGTCCTTGATTTATTAACTCAATTATAAACTTATTTAAATGCTTTATACTACAATCAAAGTCGATGCTGACACAAACTTTACGAGTAGTAATTGTCTTTACCTTGTGTGGTTACTTAGGCGAACAATGCGCATTGCATGAAAAATTAATACACATTGGGTAAAAGAAAAAAGTGTAAAGGAAACGATCACTTTATCAGCTGCAACAGCATACCAACCTAGCGGCCCGGGGGGAGCGAACATTGGCCGACCAACCAGAACGAACCAAAACATTAGCAGTACAGCAATCAAGGATATCAGAGCTGGAAAACTGTAGAATTCTGATAACGCTTTGCCCAAAAATGTTTGCATCATCTTTGCTAAACCGCTATTAAGCAGATCTGATAGACAGAGATTTTCTTTACTGCAACCGGCGAAATATTGTAATGTTAAGAAGAAGAAACCAAAACTGGTAAATTTCTATACTCCAGAGAACACTTTTATTCACTTGTATCGACGCTACCTCACCTGCTGTGCAATGACAACTGTAGAGCAAACAACTGTAAATAAGTGTAGACTTTTAAAATGCAGTTTATTACCACCAGTACATGTTATGTAAGCTTACGAGTACTGCAGTTTGGTGCTTTTATTGAATTTATTGGACAGCATTAGCGGATGATTTATGCTTCTGGGGATGATAGCATAACTAAAAACCGCTGAGTTATTTTACCGTAAGTTAAAACCGGTTGGTAAAACTCTTCGCTCCAGTAGTTCGTATATAAAGTAGTTTTCTATGGCTTAAGCTTCACACAATCAAATGTTCTCTTCTACTCACGTTTTTGTGAAGATACTGTATTGTACGCAGTATGGTATTGTTGATATACTTGCTTTGACAGTGGCCTATGCCCGGAAACTGGGGACAGTCGTATTACATATGGCATTTGATCGTTTCAACATCATTGTTTGAGATATAGTAAAGTATCTAAAATAAATTGTAATATCTGAAAGTATCTGAAAGATATTTACAGTATCTGAAAATAAATAAAGACATACTCGTATTTAACGAAATCACTCCACGTGCCGTGGCGTGGTCGCTTCCGTCAATACGACACTTGTATTATGATTAGCACCCCTAATTAGCCCTCAATTTTTGTTAATATGCATAGCACTTTTCACATGTTTTGCAAAGCTTGGAAGCCTGCGCGCCTTTCCTTGTTTTTAGCCGACGCCCTCGACAACATGACCGTATGTGGTTCGGAGAATACATATGTCAGTCATCCAGCAAAAATCAAAATCCAGTACTAGGGTATTAAAAAAGAGGCATATCCGGAAAAGAACATAGTACGGTAGGTCAGAAATAGATTCACTAACACATGCATGGATTCCGACAGAAATTTTCGTATAAAACACCTGGAAAACGATTCTGTTGTTACTACAAGTTTGCATGTCCCGAATACTTTTTTTTAACCGTAAGTAAGATTCACAACTGAATGAAACTCACCGCAGACATCTATACTATGTAGAAGTATGCATCGAGTATAGTCGCCACGCTGTTCTTTTACCACTTCGAAGCCGAACTGATAAGGCTGTTGTGTACCTGTGGTATAACTTGATAAGGTTATTAACTAGGTAAGGACTAAGAAATGCCGTTTTATCTATTAATCGACTTATTAAAAGACGTGATGATTGATATTATTTATCTATCTGTACTAGAAGTCGCAAATTTCATAGTCAGCAAAAGTCTTTTCGTGATTTTCTTGCCTGTTATCAGTACCTGTACGATCGAAGCTGCTTTTACTGAAGTACACCTTTAGGAACATCAAACTGCAAGTAACGCGGTAGTGTCTTGCCACCATCATTCTGAAATATCTATTTGGTAAGTAGAAAATTAATGTACCTTGGTAACTTTTTTGTAGCGCACAGTGAAGGTGTATTTAATTAAGTACTTACATGTGCCTGATCGTTGCAGGATTGTCAGAACCAAATCAAGGATACCATGGCAGCAAACAAAATGAAAGCGATTAAGGTTAGCAAGTTGGGGAGCCCCGAAGTGATGACACTTGAGGAGATGGACAGGCCAGTACCAAAACCGGGACAAGTGAGTTTGTAATTCATGCATTATGCATATCAGAAAAAAGCTTAGAATAATACAACGGCAGGCCAAAATATCTTTAAGGGTACAATTATTTTGAAGTGGGTTACCATTAAAAGCTACGATATTATAAATTGTACCATGCACTGGCATGCAGTAACCGTATGCCATTAGGTGCTAGTGAAAATTAAAGCCGCCGGAGTGAATCCCGTGGACGTTTATGTCCGGGAAGGACATTTCGGTTCCTATACGTTGCCGATGGGAATGGGTGGCGACGCAGCCGGCGTTATAGCAGAAGTACCGGCCGGCGAAAGCCGATTTAAAGTAAGCCGTTCGCAATAAGGCAAAGGCTGCATGCACGTTTATCTCAGTTTTCAAAATGAAAAAATTAAATTTATATTTATGATATAACATAAATCTGACAGAAATCTGTATTACTGACAGATAAGTTCTGCGGTACGTACTCACTAATCTAACCACAAATCACAGACGTTTTGCGGTATACAGTCAGCTGAAGTACGGCTGCTGTTTCTGTTACAGTGGATATAATCGTATTTCAAAAATTAATTCCATTTGTATGTATGTTAAAAAATGGTAGTGTTATTTTAGTAATTGACAATTGGGCAGGTGGGTGATCGGGTGTTTACGTGCGAAGGCGCTGACCCGCTGACGGGCGCGTATGCTGAATACGCGTTGGTGCCGGTGCGTAATGTCTTCCCGCTGCCGGATGTTCTGTCCTTCAGCCAGGGCGCCGCCCTAGGTATACCGTATCTGACCGCTCTACGGTGTCTTATGATAAAGTATGCAACGGCAACCGGAACGTCATTGCCAACTCACCAATCCATTATTTCAAACAGCATAAATTAATGTGAATGATATTGTGTTGCAGGGCAAACGCTAAACCCAATGAAACTGTGCTCGTTCATGGCGCTAGTGGTATGATACTAAGACCTATTGTCGGAAGCATGACCTTTACAAACCGGCACTGCAAATGCTTTGGATTGTTACAGGCGCAGTCGGATTAGCAGCTTGTCAGATTGCGTCGGCATGGAAGATGCAGGTATTCGGAACAGCGGGTACGGAAGAAGGACTAAAACTCATCCGCGACAACGGAGCCGCAACCGTTTTTGACCATCACGATAAGAATCACAAGAAAAATCTAATGGTAAGAGTCTCTCCGTACACTTCTCCAGCTAACCTTTGCCTTTCATTTTGTTGTTGAATTAACGCGTGTCGGTAATCAGTAACTGCATATGTCTATATTGTAAGATTCTTGTCACAGGATGCAACGGGTGGTAAAGGATTTGATGTCATCCTGGAGATGCTGGCCAATGAGAACCTGGGAACCGATATTGAAGTGGTAGCGGAGTTTGGTCGTATCGTGATTATTGGCAGTCGCGGGGAAGCCAAGTGCAGCCCGGTGTACATGATGGGCAAGGAAGCTATGTGTGTGGGTGTACTGTTGATGAAGTCCACGGATGAAGAGTGGAAGCGGATTGGTGACGAACTGGTCAAGGGCATCAATGAGGGCTGGGTTAGGCCCATTATTGACCAGGAATTCCCTCTGAATCAAGCCGCTGAGGTATGATTTACAAGTTAAATAATTAAACGTCAAGCAAGTTTTGCCCAGTTGCTATTACTTAAGTTGTGCTACCGAGTAGTATTTATATTGTATGTACCGTATATTGGCTACAACTACAAGGTGCATATGTTACAGGCGCACAAGGCGGTTATGCAGCATACCGGAGGTTCCAAGGGGAAAATCGTGCTCATCCCATAAACGATAGCGGAGAACCTGCAGGTGCACTCTGGAATCAAGGTTGAAGACTACATCAATAATGCTGTTATTTCTGCTGTTTTTTGCCGGTTCCGTTTTAAGGTACAGGATTCCATTTTGATGGTAGTAATACAAATTGTTTTTGAAGTAATGTTTACCGTTTCTAATTGCTAATCAGCTGTGCATTCGCAGCTGCTCTCTGCATAAGGCTTTCGTGATCTGTATTTTGGTGCTGACAATAATGAGCAATGCTATTGTTTCAGATAATGACGTCTTTATCAGATCGACAAAAAAATTAGGTTCCGTTCAAAAGATATGCGCGCTCCGCATAATCGACAAATAGTCCTACAACCCTTTATTCTATTTAAGTCTAAAGAAACCACAAAAAATATCCGATCAATTGTGCTATTTGGCGGCCATGTGGATAATATTCAATACAGCATTTGTCACAAGCATTATCGAAATCCATAATTAAACCAATGATTATTACATATTACAATAGTAGCCAGTTAAAATCCAAAATTGCAGCATATGTTGTCCCCAATATGAAGCACTTCATCGGAAGAAATCGGGACTGTCCCGTATACAATCAGGATGTGCCATTATATCGCGGAGAATGTCGTCGAAGATCTGTTCATCGGTTGGCTGTTCGGCATTCGAACTCGATGGACCACTGCACATACGCAACCAAAACAATTAATATCTTGCAGTGGCAAAACTGCGCCATGTACGATATTTTCCACACCAAATATGAGGAAGACACAGAAGTCTAACGCTTCACAATTTTAGTGTTCATATTTTGGTCTTTGCGCTTATGATAAATAAAAGTTCCAAATGTTAAACACACGCTTACAACTCCACCGAAGGTACAATCAAACTGATATTTTACTTAATACTAGCTACCCCTATCCAACAATTATATTATGTTATTTTCTCTCTTTCCATATCTTCAAAACTTACCCCAATATTTCCTCATTCTCATTCCACATTCCACTATACCCGCTCTGCACGATCTGTGTGTCTCCACTAAGCCCAACCTCCGGGACAGGGTTTAGTTGCTCGTTCCCTGTGGCCACTTGTGGAATGGTAATAATGATGGGAAAAGAAGCGCCCGGCGGATTAATGAGATACTGATACAATGTCGTCGTGCTGGAAACAACGCTGGTGCAGGGCACGAGCGGATCAAGAGTGTCATCAGTCTTCTGGTCCGTGTTAGTATGATCTGGGCCGGTGCTGGATGCAGTGTCAGGACACACCTCACTGATCGGACTAGTCGGCATCGAGGTCACCGGGTCCGGAGCGTCGTCCGGGGACGCACTCGGTGAGTTTACTGACTGCTCCATGCTACTGCCTGACGCATCTTGCGAAAAGAAACCGTCATCCTCGCCGCTATTGGTGGTCAAGGCTACAAAACACAACACCATTATACTAATGCACATACATGCTTTATTTTGTTATCTGCGAGATTTAATTTCGGCTTAAAATATGTACCATATTAATGCATCAGTGTCCCGGGGTCACTATATTTTCACAAGCCCTCAAGGAGGGGACTGTATTAGTTCTTCCAAAGGAGGGATTTTTCTAAATGCGTTTTTGGGAGGGGACTCTATTCGTGAGGGAGGGAGGGGGGCGCTAATTGATAAAATACGGCAAGTATGCCACAATACTATGTATATCTGTAATAGAACGTTAGTTAAAAACTTTTAAATGAAAAGTAGTGTCGTCGCCAACGCACTTTTTGTTACTCGGCCGCCAACTGGCTACATGAGCTGTAATACGAACAGCTTAAAAAATCGTAAAACAGTACGCAATTAATAATGTCATACTTTACAGCCGAACCGTATTATTACTTCCCACAGGTAACCGTTAATCGTAAGCACCACCACCTGGTACGTATTGAAACGGATACGGCTCGCTGGTTTTGTTCTTGTTCCTGACGGTTATACTGACATTAACCGGTTCAGCAATGTTCAAATCTTTATAAGCCGGCAGAGTGGCGGTCAGATGCACTCCCTGAAAATGCCTCTTCCCGACCGGAAGTTCGGCTTCCCAGACCACTTCTTCCGCTAAAAACAACAACAAAAAATCAAAGGCCTGTCATGGTGTGCCAAGAGTCACATTTAGCTCGACAACCTTCGTTAATTTCCTTCATGTAGATTCGGGTTTCGTCTTTGATGAAATTGCGCCCGAGTATTATCACTTCCCCCCGCCCGACGGGGGGCAACTACTGTGCGAGGTTCGGTGAATTTCCGGCATTCCTGGAGATGGTGCTGAAAAAACCAGGGTATACTGTCAATACATCAAGTAATTTTACATGGTTTACATTTGAAACCTAAAAAGTATGAAACGAGATTTTAGTTTTTTCAGTGTCGAAGCTTCTAACTACCAAATAGTGAGACCGCGCTTGCTTTTGAGTTTACATGGACTGTAACCAAGAAATCATGAAAACATGCATTGACGAAGAAATTTATTAATGAAGTCTTACCCGCATTTCGTCTTCAGCTACCTTTTCGCTTTCGTCTTCCGATAGACGGATAGGAAACAAAATATCATTCCCTAACTAGTGCAAAAGTATTTTATAAACATAAAACTGGTTATATCAGGAAGTAGTAAAAACGCGGTGAAAATAATCAGCATGCTGGCTCACAATTATTTGTTCAGAAAATTATTCAAAAGGTGGAAAAACTAAATTCCTTTTAGAAAGTAGGAATTACTGGAACCGTGAAATTCTCTTCGCTTACTGCAGCAAATCGTAGTGGAGGAAACTTGCAGAGTCCGCACAGCACCCCTCTCGCCTGGGACAACCGCGCGGAAGGCGATCCGCACTTGCGGCGTTCGCTTCTTGCGCCGGTTATCACTCTGTTGGCCATCATCCAGATCGGCATTGCGCAGCTTTAAAATGCCCATACAATCCACACTGAAACACTGATATATGCGTTGGTGTGGCGAATAACATACGGAATTTGACCAGGTGTGGGCAAAATGTCTTACTTGACAACCCAATTGTTTTCCGGGAGCATGTCCATCTCCAGTACGTGGGTGTTCTCCATGGACTGGTCCCGGCATGGTGTACTGTGTTTGCCGCCAACCCGGCAAGCGCGATACAGATGATGCGGCCGTATACGACCAAATTCAATGGCAATGAAAGCCTGCAGCACCGCCGACGTTCCGCAATAACCTTTTAGCTGCACGGAAAGTAAACATATACCTGCATATAGTATACAACCCATTGTTAGTTTTTTGCTTGCTAACACCAAATCTTGCCATGAATTATTAAGAGCTGAAATTCTGCCAGCGATTATAGTTTCATCCCTCATGAAATAATGGTACATTATTATTTTATAATATCACGATCTTAATATAGCTTAAATTATTGAAATAAACCAATTTACACCAAAAAATCCCATACTACAAAAGAAGTATTATTACAGGTACCTGGACAGCCGGACAGGTGTTCCCCGTGCGATCTTTGATGCAGCCGCGACTGCCCTCTTTCTGATAGCGAGCTCGATGGTGATCTTCCGGCTGACGGAGTATCACCAGTTCTAAGCCGCCTATTTTGGATGGATACGCCTTGATTAACGATGAAACCCTATACGAACAATGGGCGTCGTTATCAACGATTTCTACAAACTGCTATACTTCTAGTCTTCTACTGAATGTATCTGCCAGTTAACTTCTAACCTTTCAAAAGTGTACCAAAAAATTTCAAAAATGTATTCCCTGACAAATTAATGATAACGCTCAAAATGTCGGTCTTAATTATGTATACTTGTAATCTGTAGATTACTATTGCAAGTTAGTGGTAAGAGATGTGGGTTATAAAAGCGTTATATGCGATATATATATCACACTTATTAACCATAATCAGTCCACGTGCCATAGCTGCATACTTATAGTACTATACCATAGCTGTATACTGTATACCATAGCTGTATATAGTATATATATATAGATACTCGTAGTACTACAAGTGCAGATAGGTATATCGTACTGTAATGCCAGTGGCCACGAGTCCCACGACACAAATTTCAAGTTTACAATAATTCTGTAAAAATAATTCTCAGTTTCTTGTACCTAGGAATTCTTAATTACAAATTTCACATAGCCGTACTTATATATACCACATTAATACAGTTGAACATTTTATTACTGCAAATACGCAAAATATAAATGACCCTATACATAGCATAAAATGGCGATTACACTATTCTTCCTAAACAACATACTAAATTACAGTACATACTGTGGCACAACGGGCGGATCCTCTTTCTCCTGTTCTTCGGCCGGTTCCTCATCGTCGGCATGGCTCAGCCGGAGCTGCTCGATGTGGCGGCTGGCCTTAGCGACTTCATCCATACTGCTGAAGCGCCGTTTAATGGTGGAGCGGGAGTCGGGGGAAGCGTCCGATATGGCGGATGACGCGGAGACATCCGAACTGCCGGGCACAGAGCCCATAGTATTACAACGGGGCCGCACGAAGGATTTCTGCCGGCACGCGTCCGAAGTCGAGGCATACTGGCGCGCAGCCGGGATACCATCCGAAGGCATCGTTGATTAGATAAAATCAGCTTTTGAGATCAGATCCTGCAATTCTGTGTAATTTCCAATCATTACTGTATATTAGAGATTTTCTGTCTTAAATTGACTTCAGTCCTATCGCTTAAGACAACCCCTTTAATTAAAGCGGTTAAATTTTCACCGTTAAAATCAAATTAGTTTCACTGGTTGCGAAAAAATTGAAATAAAAATATTGATCACAGCACTGAGAAAAAGAAGGGTGTGAATTGTGGACAAGCAGCCAGCTACGGTAAAATAGACTACATGCTAGGATCGTTTTAGGATTGGCCGAAGCTGACCAAATCTTCCAGTCTTTATGTCTGCGTAACTGCAAGCTATGCATTCAACATTACCCACATAATTCCACTTACAATTGTCAACACATTCGAAAAAAAAGGCGAGGAAAATCGAGAAATTCTAACGTGTTGCGGCTAAAGGGGAATGTTCGTAAAACATCCGTAGCGAAAAAGTGGCAAATCCCAATAAACCAGGCAAAAGAATAATATCAATATTGCTGCTTACCTATTACGGATTAACTAATAAAGTGAACTGCGATTAGTGCCTTCTAACCCTTTTATTCCAAATTTACTGTCCAAAACTTAATATCACAACGGACATCCTCAAAAGTACGATGCAAATCCAGAGCTTCGCGGCAATAAGAGACAAAATTTTGGCGAAAAACAGCTGTTTTTGTTACTGCGTTACGAGTTAGCTGTTAGCCTGGTAGCGTACTGGAGTGGCGCGTGAATGGATTTTTCCAAGAAATCCGTCTCACATAGCTACGCGAGCCGTCGACCTGGTGTGAACTGTGAAGCGTAAACATCGACCAATCCAAATTGCCAATCGCTCACGCTTTGGAACCGCCTAATGTAAACACATAGATACAATGTCATAGTAGTGCTATGCAGTCTATCCTATACCGTAGCTCGTAAAAAATTACTTACGACTGCATTTATATTAACAAAAATTAACAAAACTTCATAATACTTTTACGAATTAAACATCGCATAATGTCATTGCGCAATCAAAGCAATGGTAACGCGTAAGCAAAGTACGTACGCCGTACGCATCAAATTTCTGTCAATTATTAAACCAGGGTAAGTATAATAGACGTACTTCTGTTACAGTTCTGTTGTAGTACGTACTTGCTTCATTTTGTTTGGATACGGTATATTAAAAATTATTTTATTTTTGTTCTAGACAATAGAATAAGAGCATAGATTTTGTATTAGTGTACCAAACTGTATGTACTGTACAGTGTACAATATCTCTGGGTTACAGTAGCAACAGTGTATCTCCATTGATACTATAAATATCTATATATATACGGTGACTACACCGTCTACACGGCCTACACCGAGCAATGCTTCCTGTGTTTTATGTTACTATTACTGTAATAGTAAGTATGTACTCGTACTACCTAGCCGGTACGGGTGGTAGCTGTAGTTTGGCCTTTAACTTTAATTTAAATATCGACGTATTTAGGAAAACGGATTATTTTCTGTTATAAACAAGCTTTATACTGTAACACAGAGAGTTCTTTGTTGTGAGTAACCATACACGGCACACGCTTGGCCCGTTTGCCCTGCCGGTGATTATGCAACTATGCATGCACTTCGGTATCTTCCACAGGACATATGCCAGCAAAACAAGTTGTAACATCAGCGGCTTGGCCCCAAAGATTGTGCGCCATGTACACGCGCAGCATGACCAGAGCGCATTTTAATTTCATTGATCCAAACAAGCTTACACGGTAGTGAAAGTTGGTAGGCATTTCCCCATAGTTTGTTTATAACCACGGCACTTGTTCTCTCACAAGTCAGTTCTCCTTCTCCATCAAGCGGTCAAGAAACACCGGTAGCGGCAAGAGGGGTAAGCGTTTAGTTTGGTATAAAACTACATAATACTGCTTCGAAAATGCTGCATAAAAACCATTCAAATTTGGGCCTTATTTGGCTAAAGCTCAGAATTTTATAACAGAGGAATATGCTGTCGCATTGTAACACACCTTCCCTGTACTGCTCACGTTCAGAGTTTCGCGTCATGGTTGCCCAGTGTGTCTACGCACCTGTGTGGTGAATGTGGTCCCTGGTCAGTTTAATAAGTATAATCCAGTTCGATGGCTTAAAAAACTTACTTGTTATCGGTTAACGATTTTTTAAAAAAATGCGCTGAACTGGCTGTACACCTATAGTCTACAAGTACGTACTTTAAATAAAAATTACAAAACATAATCCGGGCCAGTACCGGCCTATGAATAATTACTGCATATCGGCTAACCCACTGGGTTAGATAATATCGTACTTACCACTTACTTATTTTGGTAATAATAATATTGTACTGTACAACTGCCGCACTACGATACAGTATATGCAGATATTTATTGTTAATTAACGGCATTTTGCGACTATTTCACCTACCTCTAGGTCAACGCAAGGTTCTGGTGGATTAATTCGGAATTTTGAACCTTGCCCCATTTCTTTTTCCGACGGTGTCATCTTGACAACCGTAAATCGTAAAATTCTATAAGAAAATTCACCGAAAAACAACCCATTCAAGCATATCATACCATCCGGTTTTATTAATTACAACAGACTTTCCAGAATGGGCACCGCCACAAGAAATTTTCATCTTGTGCACCACAAAAACAGGCATACAGTTACCGACTGCAACTTCTGTCATTTGGCGTCATAAATAACTCAAAAGGCTGACTAGATAAGATTCAAAACAAACGTTCGAGCGCTTAGCGCTGTTTCCGAACGCGATGAGAAAAATAAATGACTAAATGCAGCACCACAGGCCACGCCATGGCAATAAGGAATACAGCAGCTGGATACCGGCGAAGCCTCATCTCGATCAGATGGAAATAGCGGCCAAGCAAGCGGATTACCGAGTTCTGTGGGAAAAATAAGGTACCTCAAATTAAGAATTAAGAAGTCTACAGACGCACGTCAAATTTTTATAACGAAAACAATGCTGCCTGTACATTACAAACTACCGTACAACGGTAAATTCCACAACACGGTAGTGACGGTACATTATATTTGTACAGGATTCTAACAAACATCCAGTGATCCATTTCAAATCAGTTATTATCTACTGAATTTTTAAATGAAATTTGAATCTTGTCTGAAAAAAATTAAATAGATATAAAAAGATCATGGTAAGTACTGCAAAACATTCTGAGACAAATTTATCAAAAAATTAAGTGACGTCGTTATTAAACGTTGATTTTAATTGCTGAAACTAATAGAGTAGTAATTATTCCATTTCATTATACAAAAGTAGGCTGTATCAAATTACCTGAGACTGCGACCATAATGGGCGCCCAGCATCCGAATGTACAGTCCCGTTACAGTGCGCCATTCCCTTGTCTTTGGTAATTTTGTCCACCTTCCCCTCCACCACAAGTAGTCTCTGCTCGTGCTGCATGATTCGTCGCTCGAGATTCTCTGTGCGCTTCTTCAGGTGCTCCAGCTCGGGATACAACGTCTGAAAGACACTCAAATCCGCCACCACCACCTCGTTACGCGTCGGCTCAGGAGAAACCGGCTGCGATTTGAAGGAATCACCGGACAGGCGCCGTTCCTGTGGTGCAGAATGTACCGCGTCCTGGAATGCTTCAACTTCGAGATCCTCACTGTCCTCCTCGCTGGAGATTTCCACTGCATTCAGCATGTTGGAAACCCTTTCCATTAGTTGTGGTAAACGCCTGGCGTCCCCGGAAAAGCCGTTCACCAACGAGAGTTGACTGTCCCCGCTTAAAAGAGACAAATGTGTAAAAACGTGTCCTCAAATCAGGTTATTTCATTTCCTTGAAACAGTGAAATTATTTCTATGCCCTTCACTCTTTCGTGATCTTCTGCAGCTGCTAAGCTGTACTCAGTCTCAAGCATTTTGGCTTGTAAGAATCTCAATTCAAAACTATAACCTGTTCAAAACATTCAAAATTCCAAAAAGCAAGCCTATGATAGCGGAAGATCGAAATGTGAAACAAGGAAAAAGTTGCAGCACCCATTAACATTATCCCAAAACATCCCACACTAAAGAATTACCTAATTTAACTAAACTAATTAATATTACTTATTATTTAGGTCCCTGATGGCAAAACAGAGAAACCAGAAGCATGTGAACTGTCACATATAAAAAGTAAAAAACTGTAATTCTCTACATAAACAAGTACGCACTATCCTAAAACACCTCCCTGATTGCAGAGTTAACCAATAAATATATTTAATAGAATACTCATTACGGCCCCACAAAAGACTCGCAAATTCGTAATTATTTATTTTTTAAACAAAATTGTTGAACTTTTTTAAAATTCCAGTCGCAAAGAAACAGAAAAATCTTATACATATCAAAACGTTGAAATTCACATCAGCAGCGAATTTAAACAATGTCTCAATGTTTCCATAAAGTATGCTGCGTAATAGACAGAAGTGGTACCACGGTTTTACCTTGACGATGACGAGTCAGGCTCGGCTTTGATGGTGGCCACTGGCAGCGGTGCTTGTTTGCGCTCCCCACCACCGATGATTTTCCCTTCATCATTCACCAGCTCATAAAACGAACCCAACTTATCCAAGAACTGCGAAACTTCGGGCGTCAGGGACATCATTTCCACTATCTGCAAATATTCGAACTCAGACACAAGTCTCCGGGTCTCCCACCAACTTATGTTTCTCTAAATTCACCTAACCTTTTTCAGCTCCGTAACGTACTCTTCCATGGCTTCTTCTCGCGATATGCCATTCAGGCTATTATGGGCATCCCTATGAAACAAAATTTCTGTCGCAGTGTGCTCTAGCAAAGCCATCCAGAGCCTCACCATTTCACGCATTTCGGATCGAAGAAATACGGACGCGGTGTCGTGCACGCACCCACGGTCGCCTGTTTGAACAAGGCGTAAAAGCGGAGCATCATCTCCCTGGACGGCTGGAACGAGCCTTTAACGACAGAATCGTGTTAGGAACATTATAGTTGTGGAACAGCAACCTCCGGTTCTTAAATTAGGGGTAGAGATAGCTAGACTCTTACCATTTGCTGGAAGGGTACGAATAACGTTGACGGCAGCATTGAAGCGGTCTTCAATTCCGTTCCCGACATAATCCGACATGTTGGATTACGTACGCACTCACACTGGCCGTTTATCTTATGACATGGTTATTTATAAGCACAGACTGTCGTCAATGCTAAATAGTCCACTTTCGGGTTTCCTGGCCCCTCTGAAGGGGAAAATTTTCAAATGATCCTGCGAAGGTGAAAACTTTACTTAACAAACGAGTCAGATAAACTCCATAGTGTATAGTGCAGTTTAGTTATCCATGTAGCTGCGATAACGTGCTGGCATCCTGGAGACACATGCGCTTGCATAAGTCTGTGGCCTGTGCTGTGTGCTTTGCGACACGCATAATGAGCGCTTTCTGGAACTGTTACAACAGCTGTGTGAGTGAGCGGACTATGTCCGAGGAAGCAGAGGGGTGTTTTTTTATTGTTTCTCAATTGTATCTGTGTCTTGTGAAATAAAAAGATTATATAAGAAGAAATTGGTCGTGGTTATTGACGAATAGGTATCTATACTTCATCTCACGAGAATCGGCATCATCATAACTCATAAGATCTTTTTAAATTTTTGTATTTTATTCCGTATTTTCCCGTGACGCAAAGCCACGGAACCGAAGACATTTACCGAATAGTTATATACGCGTATCCACTATCCGGAGCCCGATGTTGCCAAAAATACGGTCGCACGATTAGAACAGAAGCAGCATTCAGTGTCGGAGCTGGTACTTGTACTTGTATAACTTTCATTCGCGACAAAAAACAAGAATAACTTTCAGTTTACGAATCATTGGTAATTCGCATTGAAGTAATGACCGGTAAATATTGAGATCCGAAAACGAAAATGCCTGTGCTACACACGCATGAACACACCATTATTTAATCAAAGTTCTTCGTATCCCGCTGTGAATTTGTAGCACATATACGCCGCGACTGCTACTCCAAGAATCTGCAATACAAACGCAGTGATTTATTCCGGGCAAAGTTGCAAAAACACAGCATATGTTTTTCGCTATTCTGCTCCCGTGATACAGTATAATGTACATACGAGTTATAAGCATCGCCGATAACGGTAAAAACGCTCCTCCTACTGGCTTTTAAATTAAATATACTAAATGCAGTAGCGTGCTCACATTAACGACTCCAACGCCGACAGCCACACCGATTACTGACGGAGCTTTTTGCGACACAATCTCCATGGCTTTCTCATCACACCCCTGTAAAAAACTGCAATGATTTTTTTTGCTCGATAATGATAACCTAAATATCAAAAGAAATTGTGGATGTTCTTCCATTCTTCAATACATTCAGAAGGTCACGATAGCCAGTGGTTGTCGATATCGGCTACTTGCAGCTATATACAGATGTACGCTACCACTACTGTACTGTGCTTGTAATATTCGTATATCAATTATCCATATTAATTTTTATATGCATGCATGGGCCAAACGTACAGTGTTCATCCAGGAGTTGTCGGGATTTCTGTGCAGTAGACATGTCGGCTGTTCGAGTTCAAGTGTTTTGTGATCCTTCAATTTGCAGCAGAAGACCGGAGGTGTTCGGTTTTTAATCCAGTACGGCGAATTGTGGAAATCCGTGTACCCATGTTCACCGCCACAGCAACCCAACTAAAATTGCAACAAAAAGCGTTGTGAAATCATCTTTGCGATATTCCCTCACATGTTTGCATTCCGTACACACTTTGAGTAATTGAGAAATTTTTAATTTTATTGCTCAAATACAGCTCCTATGTTTGAATTGCAAATTTCCATCACATTTTTAACAAGCAACATTAGCTGGCTGTTGCTAGTTACACTGAATGCATAACCACCAATATTGTAGGACGGTGACTTTATTAGCCTTGAAAGTAACTGATACGAGTACACATTGCACTGACTAGTTTGAAATTACGCATATCTCAAAAATTAATAAGAAAAATTTTTGCGAAACTTTTTTACTTTGCTTAGCCCACTAAAGTAAAACGCAACGCCCTACTTCTTAATTGCTTTGTCATGATCGAAGGCAATTTTACAAGATAAGCATGATTTGTATGCAACTCTGAATATTCCATAGAAATTTCAAGATGAAGTATGTAAGCTAAATTCCATACCCAAGTTTGCACAACGTTGACCAACAGTGTGGGAACAAGTGTATTGTTATTAGCAAACCGATCCAGCACTACAACCAAGTGATTCCCAGTGTCCAGAGTGGTAGACACGTAATCATATTTGTTGAGGGCGCTATGATACATCTGCGAGATGCTCTTCGTGGTGACCGGCCTGTTTACCGCAAAGGCGATTCCAGCACCCAGTTCCATGACGACAATCAGTGACAAAACAACCGAATACTGCAACCATAAGGCGGAAAAATTATTTTTGCAGAAACACAATAGTTTATTAACAAAGCCTGTTATTTTTTACGACAGTAGTTTTTACCGCTATGGTTATGGAGCGGGACTTTTTGTAGGCCGCGTAATAGCCGACAAGAGTCACTAGCAAGGTGACAGCACCGGCCGAAATGAACACACTGGACACCGTTTGGATATGGTATAATCCAGCTGAAAGGTATTCTTCGAGGGTGCGCATTCCCCGGCCGAACGTCGGATCCAGAGAGGGATTCAGACTGCTGAGGAAACTGGACACTCCGTTCTAAAAATCATCATTTATAGTATATTCCCAGATTCCAGACAAAATGTCGTTCCAACTTGCAATCGAACATATATTCGTATTATACAGTATTATACAAATTTATACCGTAGACAACTACTGTTGTCACTTATAATTATAGTGCCCCACGATGCTGATAGCTAAACCTTTTGGCAACATGTAATAATATGTAAAAGCAAAAGTGCACTGTAAAGATATTATTTTTACTTACGCTTAACGCTATTCCCACTCCAAGAACTACGCATGCTAGGATGAGCACAATCGTGTTCATCGCATAAAAATAGTACCTGCAAACATAATATAGACATATAGATATACAAAAGAACAGGTAAAACGGATTACAATCAAATTGTAGAAGATGCTGGAGGATGTACATGGAAATTTATGGCACATTTACATCGTACCTCGCATAGCGGGGACCGGTCAGTTCTGGATGCGCCATGATTGATTACTGCAAACTAAGGTAACAGTCTCCACCCCACTTGTGAAATAATTTAAAACATGCGAGATTTTTTTCTCACCTAAGACCTTCGACGGTTTGCGCGTCGGGTATAATTGTATAGGCTAGCGGCGTGGTTGAGCCTGCAGGGCTCAAATTAAAACACTTTTTTATAGACGAAGATGGCTGCCGGCATTTAATTCTACTGTATCGTTGTACCAATGTGCACCGGGCCCACTTTCTGCTCCAGTTTTGAAATACAAAAACAGGTACTATTGCACCTAATGTCTGCAGAGTGTGCAGCTGGAATAATCGCCAACAGGGATAATGAGTGGCACATAGCACAAACATCGCTCTCAAAAGTGTCACAATATATACGAGTAAAATAGTACCTTAATGATAGAATCTTAATATCTATATTAATGACTGTAAAGATAAGCGGCTTCCTTCGGTTAAAGGCATTATTTGGTTCATTCGAATTTTATGGAAGTTTTAGTCAGCTTTCTTAGGGTTTTTAAGTTTTTTAATCAGTTTTCTTAGGGTTTCTTATTTATTTACTTAATTTGTTTGTTGTGCATTTGAACCTGTACGACGCGGTTGAAGTAAAGAACCACACCTAATGGTAAACTCTGAACAATTTCGTACATGATAATCGTTAGATTACACATTGTTTTATTAATTACTTTTTCATCGCTGCCTTTTTAAACAATTACTGACCGCGTAAATTCATGTTTGTAAAAATTGTCGCTTGTCGGGTATTTGTCAATTTCATGGCATTATTATGATTTATTGTCCGCGACACATCTTTTTGCAAATGTGGACACTGGACATCACCATCCAAATTATCGCTCTGTGTGGATCGACAACGAAGAACCTGACTAATGCATAGTTGCATACGCCTGAGATTTAAAACGGGAGGAATGGTCATCAGCTCGCCTTACGTACGCACCTATTTGCCAATACAGTCCTTTTGTCATAATTGCCATTGTATGCGGGACAAACGAGCATTTCTCAGTTTCCAGAACTTCGTAATGTTTATCAGTATCTGCATACTTAATTAAGCATTTCTCGATCGTACATCCTCCTATATATCTTTCTGGAAAATACTGTAACAGCGTCTGTTAACAAGCGGCGACTAACTGACGGTTGGATTTCCGTTCCGATTCCGAGCACGCTAACGGCAGATGCCATTTCTTAACTGTTTTATTGCAATATTTTTTACAGCAAGCACCACATCACTAACAGAATCGGAAAACAACAGTTGCGAGATGAAAACTACGAAAATAAAAAAAATGAAAAGAACACGTAGTTGCCGGTGTATTTCAGTGTGGCGTTGGATAGTACACTTTGTAAGCTGCCCAAGTTCATAGGAGCGAATGCGGTGTGTATATGCTACGTACATAGGGTAACAAAAACGTAAAAAAGACCCAAAACAGCTGCACAAGAGTACCATCCATCACTTCAAAACCGTACTCGTTTATACTATCAAATCAATTCTCATAACGTAATAGTTTCCAAAAGCAGTAAAAAATCCACCATACTACAATTTTCGTAAATGTTGGCTAAAATTCGTATTCTGGATTGCATCATTATAATCTGTCCAACTGGATAAATGGATACATGCATTTGGCGCCGGAAATATACCTAAACAAATCAAACACCGAATACATATAAGTAACCAAACCATTTAAAAAAATTCAAATATTCACTGCAGCGGATTAAATATAGCCCTTTAAGTCAAGAATTTCTCGCTTTTCAGTATTTATAAGTCCACTTTCTAATTTGATAGTCATTTTTAGTTTAGGACAAAATCATCAAAATGCCAAGGTCGAAAGGGTTTTGCATATTAGAGCATTCATTTAGCGGCGCTATACACGGCCGACTGGCAACGTTCGTTCGCTCCAGCAGAATCAACAAGATTTATCGCTTACTGAAAATTTCCATACCGTTCATCTGGGACTGCACTGAAGATAAAGCCGCTTATCCTTCTGCGTGGTCGATCTCAATCTTCTCAACCTTCATTTTAGGGTTGAGGTTTGTGGCATTCTGGATGGCTTCCGCGAGAGCTTGATCATGATCAATATCTTCGCCATCGGTAAGGATGGTAACACGCTCCTCCACGTGTGTTTCTTTTTCACCGTTACGATCCACTTCGAACTACAACACCACGAACATCAACAACTATATTTGCCAGATAGCCTTACGTGTAAATATATTTCATTTCAAAGTTCTCATGAATTATTTCGCAGTGTTTCTTTTCTCATAATGAGTAAGCCGAGTACAGTACATAATTGATGAATATTTATTTGAGACAGTGCGAACGTCATTTATCAAAAATCAATACCAAATAAGGTATGTATTAATTAAATACATCAATATCTGGCGCTATTAGTTCAGCAAAAACCCTTAACAAACTCCGTGAAAAAAAGCTATTTATTTTTCGTACCGTGGTGGTTTCGGTGGTTTTCACTTTGGTGCTGACTACGTTGGGTGCCGTTGCACCAAACGGATGGGTTTCGGTGCGTCGCCTAGGGCTGCCCAGTGGATCGCTGGCACTAGGCGACATGGAAGGTCCGTTGATGGATCGCGTCGTTAACGTCGTGCTATCCATCTGTCCAACCAACAAAAACAACCATTATTTCCAGAGCAGCAACACTCTCCAACATTGTCAACTTACATTTCCGCCAGGACCACCACCAGCGCCGGGATACTTCTCGATCGTGCTCTTAATTGTACTCGTGGTCGTTTTGGTACGTGTTGTGTATTCGGTCACATTGCCGTACGTCGTGGTCATCACTCCAACACCGCCCACCGGAATCTTCAACACCTTTATAAATAAAAAACAATTAAAAACAGGCCTATAAATTAAATAAATTTATAATAAATTAGCCCACCTTAGTCGCATCATCGCCACTACCATCGGCATTCGTATAATATTCCTGTCGATTATACCGGGTCGACTGTAACACAATACCGCACTATCAACACACTGGCCTTTGCATTAGCTCAAGTAGACGAGATAAATTCCACTATTTGCACAATAATCTACGTCCCCCGTGGGCTTACAATGTAAATGTAAACGCCGGACAAAATGTTTACCCGCTCCTATGTCAACACCACCCCGGCGCACTACTACCTACACCGACTACAGCCCCCAACAAGCCATGTCTTATCAGTAAACGGAACTGAAATTCAAAGTCAAACAAATATCCCATGCTGAAATCAGAGAGAGCGCCGACGCGCGCGCGCATGCAACCCGACCGTCCACAACAAGCCTAATGCCAGCATAATTTCATGCACTTACGGTCAGTGTTCCCCCTGGACTGCGATTACCCTCGCCGTCCAATCCGAAGTTCTTAACCGCGGTACTGTATGTGGGAGAATAGGCGCCCCGGCCATCGCCGTAGCCCCGGTAGGGACCGCCCAAATCATAACCCCGGCCGTCGCCGGATGTGGGACTGCTCGGGTAATCGGCATCACGGCCGCGCCACGAAGCATTGGGAATGTATTCAAATTCCGTGCGGGATTTCAGTGTGCCGTCCGGCGAGGAGAAGACGGACGAGCCACGTGATAGACCATCAGGACCGACACCGCCCACCGTCGTGCGAGACTAGAGTGGTGGAACGAACACAAAACACAGACGGTAAAAGGCATGCACATTCCAAATCAAAAGGAACTCAGGTACATAAATAAATGCATTCACAATGAAAATCATTCCATCAAAAGAAATAATAAAGCATTCCAAATAAAGAACTCGTTTCAAAGACATTCTTTAAAATCAGAGGAGCAAATTGCACAAACCAGCATGATAAAAGAACCGAATGAACTCAGTAGGAAAATAAATTTTTGTAACCGCTTTTTATTACTGGCCTGTTATGGGGGCACTTAATTTGCCATTTCGGGTGATAAATTATCCCGCAAATACGGTTGCACAACATACCTCTTGGGTAACGGAATTATTCGTCAACAGCTGCGCCCCTCCACCCGTGGGACTTCCCTTATCATCATGGAATGTTGTTTTCGTGTAGTCTGTCTGGTACACTCGGTCTCCCAGACCGCCCGCCCCGCTTCCATATCCATAACCACCGTGTGCTCCCTCGGCAATGGCCACCCGCCCGCCCTTGATCGGCTGATCGTATACATTGTTCGATCCATTAGCCAATTCACGGCGTCGACTCTCGTAGTCCGATACGGACACCGGGCGTCCCGTACCATCCAGGGACTGCTGGCGGTGGGTTAAAGTGGTTTGTTGATTTAATCCTGGAGAGAAAAAAAGCACCACGTGTGTTTATCGATCTACTATAAACCAAGTACCAAAACGGCAACAAAATCAATAAACAGAAAAACACCAGCACTGCATTCGGGCACAATATAACAGCTAACGCAGCGAATTTTTCCAGCATACCATCAACGCTGACGCTATACGGATTGCGTTTGCTCCATGTTCGTTGGAATTCCGGCTGTTGGCGGTCAATCTTCTCACTACTGGCCTTGGCTTCCGAATATGTGCGGCCCGAATAACGGAAGCGGGAGCCCAGACGCGGCCAGCGCAGTGTCGAATAATCACTGGGCTCTTCGCTGCTGCGCATACGGAAGAACGTGTGATGCTCGATCGCGACTTTCCACAACCGTTTGGCCGCCTTCTCGTAGGGGCACTTGAATTGGATCTCTTTCTCCGAATCTTCAAACTCCATCTGGCGGATCTTAATGTAGAAGTTCGAACGGCGATACGATAATTTAAGGATTTTCGGCCATGCGAAACGATTAATTCGCAGATTGCCGCGGTACACATGGATTCCGCTGGCAGAGACACCCACTTTGATGTCTGTATTGTCCTTATCCTAAAATATTTTGCTAAATTAAATTCCGAATCTACAATGAATTTTTCTGAATTTTTTTCTAATGTCGTTTAATGCCTGTCGCTGTCGGTGAGAGTGACTATACAATGCTATCTGTATTACCAGGCACGCAACCAGGTGAATTATGATTAATTAGCATTACCTTGGCCTTGTGTAGATCGATGCCATAGAACGCCAAACGTTTAGCATTTTCCAAATAGCGTAAATCCGCTTCAGTGGGCGCCATACCCCTATGTAAAACACCGGTTAGTCATGTTTCCACGAGTACACAGAGTTCGTTCAGGATATCCATATTATTGCCCTCTGTAAGGCTGTTATCAGCAGCTAATATTTGCCAAATTACAATACTCAAACCCTTATCATCCCTGAACTTTGAATGCAAACACCGGGCAAAAGTAAATTCAATCGCGTAACAGCCAAACTTATAACGACCACTTCTGACAAATAAAACTTTTTCTCATAAACTGCGGTATCCCGTGGCTTTCCCACTTATGCAACTAGAATAATCTCTAAACAAAAAACAGATGTTTCCATAAATTATCGACAATATAAGTACAAGTATACAAAATCCAAAACTCAATCCTGGAAATCTAGAATACATAAATAATAAAAAATAATCTGATATTAATTAGGTCGTTTTCAAAATCAATCAATTTAGGAGAGTTGAGGATACCTGGTGCTTTCCTTGTGCAGCTCCATAACTTTCTCCTCCAGTTCAGCATTCTGCCGGCTGGGTGGTGCCAGCGGCACTTCACTGACATAATTCCCACGATGTGTAGAGCGCTCATAGTCGCCCAGCTCTGACTGTACCATCAACGAGCCCAACACCGCCAATGTCGTGAACGATGCCGGCAGCCTATCAAACAACAATATTACATTTGTCAAGACTCGAAAGAGAGTACAGGTACATCAAGCAGGAAGTACAAATTAGCGGCTGGTATTTCAGCTTTGAACAAACGATGACTGTACACAAAGACAAGGTGTACAGACAAGGAAATACCGCTGAGCCAGCGCTTAAAGAATGCCGAGACCTACCTTTCCGTGATTAAGTCGCGATGGATTTGCATACATAGGTAATATCTGTAATGACACAGCATGCAGAAATTGTAGGTGAGCTAAGCAAGTCACATCGACAAATTTCCTCAAAACACTTTTCAACAAATTAATGACTTTAATCTTTCTCATTGTCAGATTTGACACAGCGGGTCACAGCTGCGCGAAAAATATGACCATAAAATTTTTAATTAATGACAAAGAAGATTTACCGATCTGGTTATGCATTCATCGGGGTCATTTAAATTCTGTATAGTTTGAAAGTTACTGAAATCCAATGGACCAACGAAAACCGCTGAAAATCGCTTGGGCACGATAAAATCAACACGCAATATTACGAAAATAAACACAGTAAAAAATAACTGCCAAACTTAAAAAAATCACTGATAAGTTATGCTTTTTTAGGAAAGCCGTTAACTATTTTTTTCCTTGGTGTTTTTAATGTAACTTTTTAATGTAACACAAAATGTCATGTACAAGGTGTGCTAAAACGAATGTTTTGTACCACTTAATCACTGACAAATGATTACAGGTTGTAATTAAAATGTGTTGATGGATACCGTGTCAGATCCTCCTTAAGCTCAGTCGGCTGTGGTGGATAGAACTTGACAAGGAATTCAAACACCCATGGCCCGCCTGCAAGACGTTAATTTGCATAATCACCAGCCGTTGCCACTGCTATAACAGCTACGCAGCAGCGCGCAATGATCACGACAACAACAAATTCATTAACGATTATGTCCATCCAAGCGAACGCCTTCCTTCCGCCTTTACCACCATTACTCACTGTCCTGATCAATGCGCAAACGCACCAGTGCAGCCATAGCAGCAGCCGCTGTCGCATTAGCAGACACAACCGGCAATCTCGTTGCACCCAAATGCTGCTGCACACTGTAGTGAATGACCCAACATTTGCTCTTGCTTTTCCTGTCACTTCAAGCACATGTTATCGCTAATCAGCCAGTGCCTATCAGCCACCCACATTTGCTTTTCCAGACTCACGCGTTAGATTTATTCGAGCCATTTACGCTTTACGAGCCTGCGTATATTATCGAGGGAACTGAAATGGATGCCATAATCCACTGCTGATATTCACAGATCAACTGCTAAACGCGCACCAGCAGCAATCAGCAGCGCGCACAAAAACTCAATCCCCTTCCGTCGTCGTCCAAAAAAAACACCACAAAATGCCTAAAGAGGCTATCGATCGGCCTGCTGGGTATTGCTGCGTTATGACACCATGTGGCAGCCTAAATCACACAACTTCCGCTTGTCCCAAGCTCTTTGCTCCCTATTCCCAGCGCTTATCGATCTCGCTTTGTCCCGATCACTGCTGGCCTCCTGCTACCGATCGCACGCCAACGACCAAACGAAACGCGACCTCAAAAAATAGGAGAATGTCCTAAAAATACTTCAAGTTACCTTTCACTTGCTGCTTAATGGTTTTCTCCATATTCAACCAGCTTTTTTCGTTGTCGGTATCCATGAAGCGGATGCCAAAATAGTCCCGTTCTTGCAGGTTGATGAACTCGCAGACACGCTCGAATAACTCCTGCCCGGTAGCATTTTTCTGAAACACAAACGGACAGCCAATATCAGTCAGTGTCGTGCAAGAACGGCGCGAGAGAGTGCTTTCGTTTAAAGTAAATATTCCTCATCATATGCACGCAGAAAAAAATCATGCCTGCATGCATCATCAGCTGTCATAAGAGATCAACTGCACAGCAACTATCAAACAGGAAATAGAAACCATTCACGCTGAAACAACTGGGCATTATGCACGTACACCTCTATAATAATACCACCGAATTGAGATCCACTTGAACCGATTATTCGGGTTGAAAAACACGAGAGACGGACAGATATGTGTGTGTAAAAAAATAAGCGAGCAATTCTATTCATTTCTTTTCAACAATACAAAACAGAAACCGTAGCACTCTTCCAAATCCGATCAGCAAAAATTTTAATCCACTAAATCTTTTAACACTCAAATTTATCGAAGGGATAAGTGTCTTCCACTTACCGGAACATAGAACTCGGCGTCCTGATCGCTGAGCAGGCGCACGACGGCCTTCTGCGTTGAGCCGGGTTTCAGGGTACCGCCCGGCGTGGCCGTGCGATCGGCGGGAATCACCGGCACCACCAGATCCCGGGTGCGGCCGTTGGTATTGACGCTCAGATTGGAGCGGATGGTGTTGCTGGCATAGGCACCCGGACCCGACGCCTGCGCCGAGATCTCCTCCGTCACGTGCTCATAAGCCGCGGGGATCGTTGTCTGCATGGGGACGCCACCTGCGCCACAAACAACCACTCATGTGCCAATCAATCAAAACCACGCTACTTTAACTCAAGTAATTATCATCTCATCAAGAAGGAACAAAGTAAAACAACTCTTGGAAACCAGCCAATCAAACTTGATCTATTATGCAAGCAAAACGATGCAAAATTTATTAGTTTTTATATGCGGAACAACATACCAATTCCACTGTCACAAACTGATAGCAAATATGCACGATGAACTTAGAGAAACAAAGATGTCTGTGTTTTTTACAACAGGAAACCGGAAGCAATTAAACCGGAAGTGCATAAGCAAACCAACTTACCAAGTGTCTAATTCGTACAGTAAAAATGACTCATCGTTAGATGTTGATCACGGAGAGAATAACACAACTTTATCACTATTTACTAATTATTATATTGCTCATAATTATGAATAATTATCGAAATATGGATGGCACAATGCCGCAGTCACATGACAGGAAATATTACCGATAATAACAATGGCAAAGCGCGCGAGATTTGACAACATCCAGATTACTAATTAAAACCTGTACTGCGCGTGCATTAACCTATGCGTCACACACTTTGATCATTCAGACAATTATCGAAAGGGATTTGAGAACCCTATTTTTTATGATCATCAATAGAAAAAACGTGCAAACCGCCAACCAGCAGACTTACCCACTGGGGAGACAGGAGGACTCATATCAGCGTCATCGACTTCGTCGGTGTAGGCGGGTGACGGTGATGTATGATCGGTACGCACCATTGTGGTAGTGGTGGATGTTTTGGATGTCTTCCCCCGTGACTTTTGCTCTTCCTTCTCCTTCTTCTTCGCCAACTTCTCCAACCGATCGTGCTCTTTTTTCGCCAATTTTTCCGCTCGTTCCCGATCGGCTTTCAGGCGTTTATCATGCTCACGGCGCTCCTTCTCCTGACGACGCAAATCCTTCTCACTCAACACCTCACCACCGCCGTCGTCCGTTGACGGAGAATCGGGACGGTGGTCGGCTGTCGTGTGGTACTCCACGGTTTCTTGCACCATCTCCTCTCCTTCAAACTAGCACACCATACACTACACTCCCACGATAGACAGCTGCCAGCCAGCGAGGATGAAACAGATTAGTAATCGATAAATCAAGACAAATCACAGAGATAACGATCCACGCATCGATTCCCCAGCCCAAGATATGGACAACATACACACATACGCTCTCGATAAGCGTATCCTTAATTACAGTTCATCAGTTATTAATGCGTTTTTTTACGGCCAGCGTGTCAATAGAAAGATTAAGGCAACGGAGGATGACCCATTTCTGCTGATGGAACGATTATCCGGATTTTACGAAACACCTGAGAGTTTTAACAGGATCTCGTATATACTCCGTATATAGCTTCAATACACTTCAAGACCAGAATGAATCAATAAACAAATAACCACAACTGATCAATAAAACGCTGGTCTGCCCAAAACAAGATGGAGGGTCGGGAACGTAAAGTGAAAAATATGCAACATGAAAGTAGGTCCACAATGCTTGCCACACATCAGTGATTATGCTCTCTTGTGCCATACACTTGTAACCATCCTGTACGAAAAGCACTTCAGACCACTGTGCAGGCGGCGTTTGTAAACGTCGTTGTCGGCAGAGCATACACAACCGACTGGCGAGCTGAGGCACTTAGTGGTCAAGTCCCAAATGCTTTACATTCCATTCACGTCGATCTGGTACTGATGCTTTTAAAGGAAAACTTCCAACTAAGGTGAGTAAAAGATACGAATTAGGGTGCCATAGAACATAATATTTCGGCCGATTTACACACCCATCACATCAGTAATGGTTCATTATGGTTGAATAAAGTCTAGTGAATAATGGCCCTACGAGTCTACACTCGTAGTAATCAGCGCAGATACCGTACCTCGATTCGCCACGCCACAAAACAAACAGACACTTGGGCCGGCTTTGCTTTCAAAACCGGTTCAAACGGAAACCATATTTTCGACGGATTGCACCGCAGAATCTTCCAGCATGTCCTTGGTTAATGATTATAAGTAACGGTCAAATTGTTCTAATACGGACATATAAATTTTTATGCTTATATTTTGCAGATTCTTTGGTGTGGAATATTGCAAAACTGTTAATACACGCCAGGATCGGCCCACTCCTCTGACAACGTTCTCAGAAACAGCCGGCCCACCATTCAGCCGAAATGAATGGTCTGTCAGCGTACGAAACGGCAGGAGGCATGGCTGGTTGTGCTTATTTGATTAGTCCGTGTAGCGCTCTTTCTTGCTTTCTCTGTCTGTCTCAGTCTCGCCACTGGCAGCAGCAGTAGCAACGAAGAATACACGGGATTGTGCGCACCCTCCCCGGGGGTCCACTAACTTTTGAGCGTGCTGATTAATTTTACAAGTCCCGCCTGTTAATTAGGTATGCCATCCCAATTCCTATGCATAACAATCACCAAGTCTGTTCGAGAAAATAGTTTTACAACTTTATTTTTCTTCGTGTACTGCGTGACTGCAAATCGGAAATTAATACGCATGCATGTAATAAACCGAAAAATCTGGCGTAGAATCGTAAGAAAATCGGTCGTTTTGTGTAAGTACTAAGTAGTTATATTGTAGGATCGAGCACGTGATGGATGTCTTTCCAGGGCACCCAGAATCCGTCATACAAATCGGGATTAGAGGCCGGGTCGTAGGGCAGGATTTGCGGCGGATAGGCCGTGTCGTTAAGCGCCCTTAAGCGCAGCTGTAGTTTTCGCAGAGTGGATGGATAAACGCTGGCAATGTTGTTAGTTTCACAAGGTTCACTCGTAATGTCAAATAAACAATCCGTAAGCCACGGCTGGCATGGCGCACGCTCAACGCCTTCCGGTGCGTTGCAGTTGACCGACAGCGGCGTCCAAGACTTCATCTCATCTGAAGTGGATGTACCTTCTGTTCGTCGCCTAAAAAACAACAAACTGTAAGTTTCGACATAATTCAGAGCAGCGAAGTAACCTATATTCCACCTGCCGCGCGACCGATTTCCATAATAAAATTGCGGTACTGTATGTGGTACCTACGTACCAGTAGTCTGCCTTGTAAGTACGTAATGTATGTAATTAATTCTTTGCTGAAGATAAATATTATTTAATCAAAACTGCATAATACATACAGTTTTGTAAAGTACAACAATTATGATTTACTGATAATGAATAACAAAAAGATGCTTGTTGCACCGCTTATATATATAAATCCACCGTATGAGCAGCATAAATCGTGATCGTGAACTGAATCCATGATCAAGAGACACTGCTACAAGCCGGAAATTTGTCATGCACGTACACGTTGTACGGATAGAGCTGTTTCTTATCAAAACAAAATAGCCCAGTGGAATTTCAGAATAAACAAAAACACTTTTAAGTTGCTAATATATTACGTTCATTGAAAGTTTGAAACTTACAATCAGAAGTATTTATAACAATATTTTTCTTCGAATCCTTTGCCGCTTTATACTGGTATTCATCCCCAGGTTAGATGTCGATAACTACTGTGAAACATTCCGACTTTATGAGACCCTTACCATCCTAGATAGCTGTTGTTGAAGACATTTCCACCCAGCAATTTATACAGTTTTCCGTTGTCCTCCATAATGGTGATGGAATACTGATTCGTAACACCATCGATATTATTCACGACCTCGTCTCTGACCGGACCTATGGCATAATAGTCGTGAAACCTTTTCCAGTGACTGACTGCAGAAATTCCAGTCAGATCAGCTGTGTTTCCACCAGCGCCTTCGTACAGTGTAGGCAGCCAATCGGATATATGGAAAAGGTCATCGTATACGAAACCCCGCCGCTGCAACATGGGTGCCCAGATGAACGACAGCGTTCGAATCCCGCCTTCGAACAACGTCCCCTTTCCCTGCCGCAGTGGCCAGTTACTTCCGTGATTGGTCCCGTGGATGAAATCAGCGGATTCCGGTAAGGGTGCGCCGTTGTCGGCAACGAAGATGATGATGGTGTTGTTCAGTACTCCCTTTCGTTTTAACGCTTTGACTAGTCTGGCGAACGTTCGATCCAGAGCGTGGATCGAACCTGAACATTAACTATACATTCATCTGTGACTTCACTTAAGGACTGCAATACGGCAATAACTTTTTTGAAAGGTCATTCTTTTGCCCGATACCTACCGAGTTGTTTAACACGTTCTTCGAATTTCAGAATGGCGGATTCGTTTATGTGCAGATGGTATTCTTTTACGGGATGTTGGACGGCATCAAAATTGTCAAACCCTGTATGTGTAAGGGGCGTGGCGAAAAACATATACCATGGTTTGTTTGGAGGCGACGCGGCAATAAGATTTTCGGCCCGGGATGCTATGAGCTCAGGAAACGGGGTAGTGCTTTGATTCAGCGGGAAGATCTTTCCATTCTCACGCAGGGCTCGTCCGCTGACTGGAACCGGCTTCATCTGAATCAATGTATGGTACAAATACAATATACGCCAGAACAATACTTAAAACGTCCATAGTGCAGATTTGCTATGTCGCAATATTAGTAGATACTTTAGTTAGATTGATATATTACTCATTTAAATGCACTGGAATCAGATGGAATTAATCTTCAGATTGAATTAACTGCAGAATTAATTATATATATCAGATTAGTACGAGTAGCTTTTACGTAAAAGCGGTACTCTTATAGTAGAGTACCGCCACAATTTTGTTCTGTGATGCTAAAATATGATGTTGACCCATATGGACCACATGGCAACTTTTAAAGTAGTACATCACAGTAAAAGTTATTTAATGGAATTTCCATCTGAAATAAATGCAGCCCTCTGTTAAAAATTACTCAACCCAAAAATTTGTTTAGGCTACGCTGATAAGTTAATTACCCATCCTGCCGTGAAGTCATACCAGTTGCAGTCGCCGCTGGTAATACCGAAAGAGTAATCAAATCCTCTGGAGCCTGCAAAGATAATCATCACACGTACTTCGAAAACTAGTTAGCTATTTCTTCTTGTTGTAAATGTTCAATAAAGTTTTTGTTAAGGTTTGTTTTTAACAAATTGTTAATAACGTACTGGGATAATGGTTCCTAGTGTGCGATCCCAGATGCCACTGAAAACAACACAAGAATCACTGACACTGATTTACTTAAAGCGGTGACCTTTGAGACTATATGCTGTACAAAGGAGCAAATATATGCTTACAGTACTCGGCTGCTTGTTTCTGCGTAATACATATAATTTGCTTAATTGTCAGCACGTTGGAGGTCTGCGCTTACTTTTCCCACAGTATACGTCGAGTATCCTAAATCCTTAAAATACTGTGGTTGGATTTTAAACGCCACGGGCAACCCCCACGGTTCGCCTTCGCTAATTGCCCCTGTCTGCATGCCTAAAATTTAAACAATTTTAGCGCTTACAAAACTTCATATGATTTTGTACATAGCTTTTCTCAGTTTTCTGTAATTTTGGAAAAAGTGATATACTTCTAATGCTGTTGTGCTGGACTAGGAACAAAAAAACAAATTTTTATTTACAGGATTTTATTTGTTGCACTGCCGAAGCAGGTTTTGCAGATGTCTCCCTGTTAACTTGCAACGTTTGTTCACTTTATATTTGCGAGAGCTACTTTGCATAAACGTAGGGATATTTGTTGAGTCGTTTACATTGTTAGATTAACGCATTGTGAATCCAAAAAAAGACCACATGCGCAAATATTATAATTAACAATAGAAGGGTCAGATATGTTACTGGTTGTATCGCGTAGCCTACCAACTTGGAAGGCATATTTTCCGGTCATGAATGCCGAACGTGTTGGCGTACACAATGGATGTGAATAATGTCGATTCAATATGATCCCATCATACGCAAATTTATCAATGTTAGGAGTCGGCGTCTGGTGGCTGCCCTCGGAGTAGCCAATATCGGCATGGCCCTAATTCGTGGACAGTACAAATCAAATGAATTCTATCCAGACTGCGTAAATATACATATTCCGCCAAATCGTTTTAAAAGCACTGAAGTCCTTTACCAAGTCATCAGCCATGAAAATGAGTATGTTGGGTCTGTTAGCGTAATTTGACAGCTTTCCTGGTGGAAGTGATGCGCACTGATTGATAGGAGTCGATCCGAGTTGCCGAAGGAAATTGTTATCCAAACGCCGATCCGTTAACAAACTTGAAATATCCATCGCATTGCTATTAGCCGCAATAATTTCTACTATAGCGCAGCAAATGCGCAAATTGTACAGGAAGCGATAACCCTCCATCCCTGTACAGAACGATGCAGAACAAATCACTAAATAAAAAAATCAGAGCAATCATGCCACGTATAACTAAAAGCTAAAAACTAAGGTTACGTTCACGAATTTCCAAAGGCTAACAATTTAACAATTTAGTTGACACAGCAAGAACGAAAGTATTTATAGCAAAAAGGACATTATGTTAAGGATTTCTATATTATACTGTAAATTCAATGAAATATTAACGTGTACAATATTCCAATAAAAATATAAATCGCTTTCTTTGAAATCCGGATATTAAAATTCGATTTTTGAAGCATTGACTCTCTGGAAATTTAAACCCAGTAGCTACTTATACCCACGTTGGATGGTCTTCCAGGGTTCTTAACTGCTTTATAAGAAAAGAAACTTTCATGACTGTCTAATAAGATACCATTGTTAAAAGCATAAGTACATTATCCATTTAATGACTAGGATTGATACATATTATTCAATCGATCTAGAGAAATGCTATATATACATTAACGATGTCATAGAAGTCGCCATTTATTAACTGTCAATCATAGTTTAAAGTGTTAATTTATACATGTTAACCTGCCATAATTACCGATCTATTGATAATTTGATACATGCTTATGCGATTCGGTCGTTCAGTCATTCTGCTGCATTTTGTATAGAAGTACCTCGAAAAACTGCCAACGTATTAAATTTTGCTAACGGATTTAGCATTTTAATTCTTTTCTGTCTCTTCTGCACGCGAGATATCTCCGCTATAAAGTGTATAATACATTGAACCAGTCTGAATGTTACGCCACTGATAATCTGAGGAGAACAGGCACAGATTTTTATTCACCCACGTGAAATGTATATCGTTAGATGCGGCTACTTCCTTAATTCACAGCAGAGCTTAACAATTAAAGCTTACTGTCAGTAGGCCGTTGACATACGAACGCCGTAAAATGTACATAAAAGTACTGCATAACACTGATATCAATTAAACCAGTTTCGTTAACAAGAAAACATAAAACAACGAGAACTTGCCGTTTTATTATAACGTATTGGTTGGAGTAAATGTTTGAAAGGTCAGTGGCACTGTATCCAAAACTTCCACAGGATCTAGCCACGGTGTCCACAAACCCTGATGAAGATCGGGATTGGAGGCGGGGTCAAAAGGTCGCACTTGTGCGGGAAACGATGAGCCATTGTAATTTTTGATTTTCTGTTGGAGAAGCTGCGTCATACTCGGAAATGATGCGGCGATATTGTTCGTCTCACAGGGATCGTTGATGAGGTCGAACAGACAGTCACTCTGATACGGCCGGCATGTGCTGACTTCCATACCATCGGGAAAATTACATTCCACAGATACCGGGCTCCAGCTCTTCATCTCATTGCCAGGACTTGTGCCTTCTGTGCGGTCCCTAGTTAACAATTAGCTCTTCATAATCTGTACCGCTTCAGTGTCAGATTTCTGGCACTACGGTAATTTATCCAGTTTGTTTGTGCTTACCATCCAAAAAACTGGTTGTTAAAGACGTTTCCACCTAAAACACAGTGTGCTAGTCAAATAAAAGCCACATAGACGAAACACTTGCTTGGGCCTTTGAAATGAAAACATAGATAGGGTTAGTGTTAATTGCGACCTTTACGCACCCTCAAATTTTTTTACCGGTCTTAGATCATGCTTACAGTACATGCAGGTACACATGTACATATTTCGACATGCAAAGGCGAAAGCCTTTAGAAAATGCAGTTTTACTGATTGCTTGATGGAGAAATTGTTGCGTCTTAATAGACTGGGATTTCTTACCAATAAGTTTGTACATTCCACCGTACTGATCTTGATACACCATAGCATACTGGTTCAAGATGGAATCAATGTTGTTCACGAGTTCAGTTCGCGGGCCATAATTATTTCCGTGGAACAAAGATTTCCACTGACTCACTCCGGTGACGTTAACCAAATCCCTTACATTCCCGCCAGCAGCTTCATACAGTGTCGGCAACCAGTCAGAGACATGGAACAGCTGGTTGGTCACTCGGCCGCGGCGTTTTAGCAAGGGTGACCAGATAAACGATAAACCGCGCACTCCACCTTCGAACAGCGAACCTTTACCCAAGCGAAGCGGCCAATTGCTAGCGTGGTTACTGCCATGAATAAAACCGGCAACTTCCGGCAGAGGTCCGCCGTTATCCGCCATAAACACAATTATCGTGTTATTAATGGCTCCGGTGTACGTCAGTGCGTTAGTTAATCGGCGAAACTGCTCATCTAGGACTTGAATTATACCTGAAAGAAAATATTTGAGAATATAGGAAAAGAATATTTGAGAAGTGTAATTAACCAAAGGTCACCCGCTCTACAGAAAGATGGTGAATTATTTACTTCATATATACTTCAAAGGTCATCACATCTCCAGCAACTGCTCTACAACTACTGTTAACACAACGCATACCCAGTTGTTTCTTCCTTTCGGGAAACTGATTTGAAAATGAGCGGACAGGCGGGCGAAGCTGATAGCTGGCCATGACGTGCTGTTCTGGTCCGTAGGCTGCAATGGCGGTGTGCGTGACCGGTGTGGCGAAATATAGATACCAGGGCTTATTTGGTTCAAAGTCGTGGATTATTTGTTCGGCTTTTGCTGTCATTTGTTCAGGAAAATAATAATTGTTGGTTATATTGGAAAAGATTATCTTTCCGTTTTCGCGAAAGGCTTTCCCGTGATTGAGAACGGGTGTGAGCTGTATTAACAAATTAAATTCTAACAAAACATTTAGTTGAAATGATTTCTTAAATTAATGCCAAAGTACATACCCATCCGGTACTAACGTTGAACCAGTTCGCATCGCCGCCGTGGAACCAGTACGAATAATCGAAGCCTCTTGCATCTGTTATGAGAGATTTATACTTATCTTCTATGACAATCTTCTGTAATACGACTCACTACTCGTAGTGAACTAACTAACCAGGGCAGTATTTCCGCCTCCAAATTCAAACAAATATCGTTTTTTGTACAAAGGTAGTAGACTACCGTGGTTTGCTTAAAAAAATAATTTAAGCTGCAAAGGTCAGTTGGGCGTGGTCTAATATAAATTTAATGAGTACAGAGTGCGCATACTATCAGAACGTAATATTAATTGCATTTTATGTCGCAATATCGTTTTTGCGGGCACTGGACGTCCCGTGGATCTTTCGAAATGCCGATCGTACGTGCGCGTGCGGTGATCACTGACCATCGCAACAAAATTATGAAATTTGAGAAATTCAATAACTTCGCTAATTTTTAAGCTGGTTGTATGTCCATATGCTCAGGAACTATTAGGAAGCATTTAGGTAAAACATTTTAAAAAATGCATATGATGTAGCACTTGCCAGGCAAGATGGGACTACCGGAAGCGTTTTTGGAGTTATGTCGGTACTTGACACCTGGAAGGGTCCACAACTGGTCCAGTGGCCACAAAATTAATATAATATTATGGTAAATGCCAGTACGAAGTACTGCATAATAACAGTATGCAATACTATGTACTCATACAATTTATATCAGACCACGCACAACTGACCTTTGCAGCTAAATTTATTTTTTTAAGCATACCACGGTAGTCTACTACCTTTGTACAAAAAACGATGTTTTTTTGAATTTGGAGGCGGAAATACTGCCCTGGTAAGTTTGATATTTCTGTGTACCTTGTGTAACTTCTTTTAAACATTATGTGAACTTTTCTGCAAGGCTGAATGAATTTTTTTTAGAAACAAATTGTAATTCTGGTGTGTTAAAAAGGTTTTCGTCAAAAAAAATAACTGTATGATCCATGTGTAACAAAAATCATATTAAAAATTTTATTCTTACTGGGGAAATGCTGTCGCGTGTACATTCCAAGATGCCACTACAAAAGGTCACAACTAGTTAGGCACGATAGCTAGCTGGTAAGTCAGGAATATGGGTTCTAGAACCCATAGTCCAAAAGTTTTAGAAATTACATATTGTGCGTAGAGAATACGAACTTACTTTGCCAACGGCTGCTGTTGTGTATCCAAGATCCTTGAAATACTGAGGTTGTATTTTAAACTGTAAAGGTAACCCCCATGGTTCGCCTTCGCTAATGGCTGCTGTTTGTAAGCCTAAGGGAAATTTACGTCTGTGATGGTCGGGGGCGCCGATATAATTACATGATTGCACCTATATAAGCTTACCAACACGGAACGCGTCTCTTCCTGTCATGAACGCTCCGCGGGTTGGCGTGCATATGGGATTGACATAGTGTCGATTCAGTATTATTCCATCCCAGGCTAATTTGTCGATATTTGGTGTTGGGGTTTGCAGATTGCCTTCGGAATAACTTAAATCGGCATGGCCCTTGAAACAATGGAGCGAAAGCTTGATTTTGTTTGCTCTAGATTGCTCATTGTTGGTAAAGGTCAACACTGACTTGCCATGAGCTGCCATGGTGTTGTTCGCATTTCTGATATGACAGCGATATTATTTTAAAGTGCTTATATGTATGGTAATGTTTGAAACAAAATGCAGATATTACAATCATTAAGCTGAAATACGGAAGTCCACGGAAGTCCATACCAAATCATCCGCGATGAAAACAAGAATGTTTGGCTTTGACGCGCCGGTTATGGTGGCATTGTACACGTCTGCTCTGGGTTCAAATAGCGATTCCTCCAAATCAGGTTCAGCAGAATCTTTAGTGTTGCCAAAATCCGCAAGATCTGTTGCCATAACCGAAAAAATTACAATTACAGTTGCTATAAAAACACCGCATAATAATCCCATTTTTTAGCAAAAGATGCCCACGATGTACTGTAAGTTTCTCCACTCACCGCTATGTGCATCTTGGCAGTTGGCATTTATGTGATCAATGCATACTATTTTAGATTCTTGTCCAGAACGAACGCGCAGATTAAGGCCAATCAAAAATATTGTACATCTTACAACTACAATACCGTTTACGGTATTGGCAGGGTGGTAAGATATACCACTTTTTTATGGAACATAATTTTTGAGTTTTTGAGTGTATCAAAACGTTGTTATGATTTAGATTATTAGGCCTTCGCTCAAAATCATAAATCGAAGCTGGGCCATGGCACGTGGCTACTAAAAGGGAAATAAAAGTGACCGTAATAAATTTTGACCTGGTGTGGTGGCAAGTACGTTTTTATAATTATGCAAGTATTGTTCATACTACTGCCCTTCTGCGTGCCGATACATTGATACGTTATTCAAATAATTCAATTACAATTACTGCATTGTGTAGTTATAATCTGTAAAATTGTATTTATATGTTATTACATACACTAGGGACGTTAATCACACAAATGTTATTTCACAGCTAAAGCTTACGCTGACAATTAATTTAACCTGAAATGTGTTGCAGTCAGAAACATAATAATATCTATATAATATTGTAGCCGTACAAATGAGATCTGTAGTGAAGGTGTACATCTCATTGGTGCTAGTTCAACCGGAAACATCTGAATGTGTACTTGTACGAGATGACCAGTTCTAACGTGGATTTTCTAGACTTCTGAGATTGTCTGAATGTTCTGAAATCATTCTTGCTCTTGCCCTTGCCCTTGCTCTTCGATCCCCAATGACTTTTCAGCTGATTAAAAATGTTTGTGCACTTTGACAATCGCGCCGGTATCGGTTAACATGTTCGCAATTGCATAACTGACTTTTGGGTAATTCGCTAACTCGTAACATCACCGACGGTCACCGACGAACCATCAAACCTCGTTTTATCGTGGTACGGGTGGATTAACCCACTCCACTAGTGGCAGCTTAGAAGTTGCCGTTGCAATATGTAGATATTTGTATCGTATTGTGCTCATACAATGTGATGGCAGCTAACGTAAAAATTTAATGTTCGTATGCTCATAAATTACTGTAAATGCAAAACCGTGGTCTAACTACAGTATTCGGTAATTTGCTTTCGGCAAAACAGTGAGCTGTTTTTGCACAGTACCATCATGTATTAATGTTTTACGTTATGACGTTGTATGTACGTAGTGCGTTACAGAGGTCCCTAGACCGCGTACCAATGTTCTTGTAGAAGCTCACCAGCCAGTATCAGTAGTAGTGTATTATACGGTACAAGTATAAGTACCCATGAGCGGAGTCTAACGTGATCGACCGGCGTGAAAGCAAACGTTGGTCTTCGAGGTCCGCGAATGTGAACTTTTCGTGTGCGGTGTAACACCACTACAGGCATGGGAACAGTCAACAGCACTACGAGGCTCGACCGAAAATCAAAACTGATCAGCTGTTTAACCCGACGAACGTACGCTACTCGTATTACACGCACAGTTCTGCATGTACTGTAGTAACTGTACTGTACTGTACAATAATACGGTACATACGCGTGCAGTGGAGTTAAGTACTAGTAAACTTGTTTATTTGGATTGCTGTTGAGCGCATCGTATATTGTGGTCGCAGTTTTATCGCGGCCGCTTTCGCTAATCAGAAAACTGTTCTAATGTGCAATAAAGCATTATCAAAAGATTCTTCGAAATTCGATTAACAGAATCTGCGTATTAAATTCGTTTTAGAAAATTTCGGGTTCTTCTACTGCCGTTCGGCACGTACAGTCTGCTTCTGATTTACTAGCTATGTAAACGATGCTGTCGATATCAAGATCATAACACTGCTCGTCTTCAAAGCGCATTTTAACCCGCATTTGTTGGATCCGTGACTTAAGCAGCTGATTTAAAGAAATGGCGAACGTCGCAACTGTAACCATCAACGGAACGCAGTACCAAGGTAACCGGCTTGTTCCTTTTAATGAAAACGTTGTTTGCAAGATTGCTTGAACCGGATAAAAGCAAGTCCATCAGAAGTTCCAGTATTGCCAAAATCGTGGTTACAATTTGTTGCAGTTCCTGACAGTCTTAGCGATATTACCCTGAATGATTATCTCCGGAAGAACCTGCTGATTACCGGAACGAAGGTATTCTGCCGGGAAGGTGGATGCGGCGCATGTGTGGTGTATGCCGAGTACGAGAATCCTAGTGGCGAAAATGGACTTGTTCAGCGCACCATCAATTCGGTACAAAATCTAACCAATTTTATGCACCCTTGGTACATAACTATTTTCAAGAAAGAGAATGCAGGGTGTTAAATTTGTCGAAATAATGATACGACAATGCGCAATGTTTTGTAAATCATCTGCAAAATAAAAAGCTGGAAAGATTATGCAGTTAGTGTTAAAAATGGGCATCATATATACAGTATGTCGATAAAATGTGGATGTTGCGAGTAAAGTGTGTCTGACTCTGCACATAGTCGCTAAAATCGGCAGCGGCTTCGTTGTTCACAATAATTGTTACAAAGCTTGCATAATTACGAGTATGTATCATCAATCTGCTTTACGGTACAATGGCGACTAATATGATTTCAAATAATTTCTGTATTTTCAGTGTCTTTGTCCGATCTTGTCCTGTGATGGTTGGAGCATCACGACGGTGGAAGGTATTGGTAACCAAAAAGCGCCCCATGTCATCCAGAAAACCCTGTCGGATCACTACGGGACACAGTGCGGATTCTGCACACCGGGAATGGTCATGAATATGTTTGGGTACATGATCGTCGTCGAACACATTATTGACTAAAATATTTTTACATTTGCTTTGTCAAAAGTATTAGAAATTGCTACAACTGTATGAACAACAATGACAACCTTGCACGATGGTTTATATCTGAGCAAATGTATTATCGATTTGTGTTGTATTTGTGTAGCTTGACAAAAAAATATCCCGACAAAGCTCTGTCGCCCAAGATTGTGGAAGATTCCTTTGACGGGAATCTTTGCCGATGTACCGGTATGGTGGAATTTAAACTTAAATACCTATTAATACTATTTTTCTTATTAATAGAAATTTGTGGTACAAATGAAGACGTACTGTAGTTGTAATATTTTCTGCGTAGTGCTTAGACTGCAATGAATATATTTGTTTACTTATCCTCTATGTTGATTAGGCTACCGTCCAATTCTGGAGGCGTTTAAGTCTCTGGCACCAACAAATACCTGTTCGACAACAGACATTGAGGTAAAAACTGTCATGCATTTGTGTCCAGGTGTAGATAAGCTGAAGCGAGAAGCTGTACTAGAATATGTTAAATACGATTTCTGCAAGTCTGAATATTTTTTCACTCAGCCGTAGCAGTTTTTTATGGTTGCGGTTAAACGCGACCAAGTAGAAAAATGCGCAACAAAGTTACCTTGCGGCTAGAACATATTACACTCTGCATTACCGTATAATCGCTTACATAACCGTCACAAGGTCTCCATAATACAATATTTTACAGAACTACGTACTTATCCCAGATATAAAAATTGTCTCCGCATGCACCTTAAATAAAAATGTCTGAAAATAAAATTTTAAGTGTGTCTAAATGTGTGTGCGTGTTTATTCGTATGCATTACATTTTATTTGTTATTTAAATTTTTTATCGTAATTACTAAGTAGTGTAATACATACTTCTATTAATAACGGGTGCAATATTGTCAGGAGACGTTGGGAAAGCTTTGTACAAAAACAGGCAAACTATGCAGTGGACATTGCGAGAACCACCTCCCGCCGGTCATCCTTCCGACCAACCCGGCCGACACAGTCAACAGCACACCGTGGCAGCAGCCAAAAAGTCTCGAGGAACTCCAGAAACTGATGCAGGGATTCCAGCCGGAGCAGAAGGTGTTCTATGTCGCTGGCCGTACCAGCATCGGAGTGTACGATGACCGTCCGTACGATGTGTACGTGGATGTCAAGAAAATTCCCGAGCTACATGTCAAGAATATTAATATGAACGATCCATCAACGGTGACCATTGGCGCATGTGTCTCCCTGACGGATGTAGTGGATTTCTTCAATTCCACATCCAGTCAGCCGGGATTCAAGTATCTGGGCATTATAGCGAAACATCTTCGGAAAATTGCCAGCGTTCCCGTTCGTAATGTATGTCGCTAATTTTTAGAAATTCCGTGACGTATGATAATTAACTACTTCAAAAATTTTCTAGTATGGAATTTATGAAATTTAGTTACGTACTAAAAGTTGCGCTTTGGTATTGTGATCTTTATTTAAAATCGCATTGCATGCACTTCACATTTACGTTCTACTTTTTCTTGGCAGTTTGTACATTGAATTTACGGGTGTCATGTTTGTAGCTTGGCACATGGGCCGGAAATTTAATGTAAGTGAACGCTTGTTCAACCGAAAAACTGGCCGAAGAATAAACTGAATACGGCATTAATGATGCTATTTTCAGGATAAAGAATAAACACAATGAATTTCCATCGGATGCGTTTTTATGCTTTGAGCTCGCCCAAGCAGTATTGGCCGTCGGTATGTTCGTTTACTTATATATTTGAACTAATACTTTTACACATATGCAAAATCAGTTATTACTAAAAGTTGCAACAACTCGTTTGTTTCGACAGCAGCGGTCTCAACCGGCACCATATACGGTGTACACCATAATTACAGCAAACGTTTATGTACTTGTGTTTTGCGGGATACACTGTTTCCTTATTATAATTTCAAAGGTGTAATATTTCTTGTTTCAATAGTGGATGCAAATGGAAAAACTACAACACTGACGCCAACGAAATTCTTCAAAACGGACATGGACAATCCACGCCGCGTTATCCTGAATGCTGTGTTTCCCAGCTACGATGACGATGTTTTATTCCGTAGCTACAAAATAATGCCCCGATCGCAAGTACGTGTAATAATGTGTAATATTTGCATAGCATGTTAATGCGAGCCTTTTTCGAAACCTGCAGAACGCGCACGCCCTGGTTAATGCCGGGTTCCGGGCGGAAATCGACGACTCTCAACCAGGAAAGTTTATCTTCAAAAATCCGCCGGCACTCATCTTCGGAAATATCACCAAGGATTTTGTAAGTACTTAATGGATTATTTTTGTATTTCCGTTTACTGCATACGTTTTCTGTGCTTTTCTCCAGGTCCATGCGGAGAAGACAGAAGCGTATCTGGCTAAGAGAGATATTGGGGATCCAGCTATTCTTCAAGGTATGCTAATAAAACTGATCAAGAAATATATGCAAACCGTCTTTGACGGATGAACTGTGCTGGATGAATATTTTCAAGACAAACAGATCTTAAAAATATTCTGATTTGCAGTACTTTACCCGGAGATTTGTGGTACATTAATTTCTAGGAAGGACAGTGCATTTTTCTTTTGCTAACAGTAACGTTTAAATTCCGGGATCCTTCCCCCCACAACGTCATGCAAAACAAACAAGCACGGGATTCATACTTTATACAATACTAGCACACTGAAGCGCACTTGCACTTGTCGTTTTTATTATCTGGTAAAACTATAAGCTTTCAGTTTCGCCGACACAATCTGCGTAGTGTAGTGGATTATAGTGTTGCATTCTTTTTAAACTTTTTGATATAAATATCTGATACTTAGAGATACATAGACAGATTGTCAGAGCGGATTTTTAGACAGTTTTTGTATAGGTGCGCTCAAGACTTTGAAGGGAGAGATAAATCCTACACCGGATCCGGCAGATGCAAGCCCAGCATACCGTGAAATGCTGAGTTTAAGTCTCTTTTACAAGGTCTTATACAGTTTCGTGTTTGGTGTTTTTATTAGCAGCAATAAATTTTTGTTCTTTCAGTTCGCCTTGGAGATTGTCGGCAAATCAGCTGACCAGCGCTTCCAGTCGGCCGTAGGCAGCTTAATCGATATGCGACCACTGTCCACTGGTCAGCAGAAATTTCCCACTAATCCCAACGAATACCCGCTGACCCAGCCCATTCCCAAACTGGAATCAATGGTGCAGTGCACCGGAGAAGCCAAATACATTGCCGATGAAGATTCCGCTACGATGTGCTACGCGACGTTTGCCCACTCGACACAGGGCAACGCGGATATACAGGCAATCGATTCGACGGATGCGCTGAAAATTCCCGGTGTCGTACGAGTTATCACGGCCATGGATATACCCGGCGCGAATAATTATAATCCGGCGCAGGTGTCGGCTGAAGAGCTGTTAGCCACTAAGCAGTCGCTGTTTGCTGGGCAACCTGTTGCTGTTGTTGTGGCAAGTAAGTGTGAAATCGGTATTTAATTTAAATTCCTAGATACCTTCTAAGTATCCCTTCTTGCGACATATACATATAAGAGTACATATATCCCGGACAAATTTAAAAAAAATTCAATTATAATTAAATAATATTATTAGAATAAAATTAGAATTAGAATATTAGAATATTATTAGAATATTATTAGAATTAGAATAATATGCAATCTTAGTCATTATCAGACTGTTATTTACAGCCTCTGTAGCACTTATAAATACCATAAAAAATGGAGAATCGTAGTCAAAGTCAAAGGGTTTGGCAATCGCTTCGGGGCCATCGTTCCGTAAATACTACTTAGACTAATTCAATGAGCATGATACATAAACCGACATTCACAACTTTTAAATACCGTTAGTTACTTTTATCATTTTTGGTTAGTAATTTTCCTTTTCCTCTAGCTAGTCGCGATGCGGCAGAAGCAGGAGCCAAGGCAGTAAAGGTCACGTACGCTAACGTCAAACCACCGTTGCTCACGTGCCAGGATGCCATCGACGCTAAGTCCTTTTTCCCGCCGGTAAACGATTTGGTTATTGGTGATGCTGCCGGTGCCATTAAATCCGCACCCCACCAAATTTCCGGTCAAATGGAAATCGGAGCGCAGTTTCATTTCCATATGGAAACACAGGTGCGACCGGTCGTACGTAATTCACATTATATGCCAGACTGATATCGGGAAACAAATTAATGATCGTGGTATGAGTACTGGGTTATGAAACCTTAATAATCCAGGATAATTCATGGACACAACAAAATTTTTCATATAAATCAGTGAAGATGACATATGCCCAACAGTAAAGGTTTTCTAGGAACGTTTTGGTTGTTTAATAGGCTGCCGTTTGCCGACCAACGGAAGATGGTATTGATGTTGAGGCAGCCACACAGTGGGTGGATTCCGTTCAGGATGGTGTTGCACAAGTGCTCGGCATGACCAAAAGCAGGTATTTCCGTGTTTTAAACTCGGTTTTTTGGCGCTAACAATTGTAAGTTTAGCGACCATGTATTGTAATCCGTTAAAGTGGTACCTCATTTGTACGAAATTCAATAAGAAATGTCAGTATCAACATTAATAATACATATTGCAGGGTCAACGTTCAGGTTAAAAGGATTGGCGGTTCTTATGGTGCGAAAATCACAAGGAGTAATATTATCGCCAGCGGATGTGCGTTGGCTGCGTATCTTGTTAACAGGTACAGTTCTGGTTTAATATGCGTGCTTATTTGAACTCCTATGCACAGCGCTAATTCAATTTTTGCAATTATTAATCTGACACTACTTAATCGTTGGTATAGACCAGTTAAATTCCATATGAATCTGTGGGACAATAATCGCGCCATTGGAAAGCGATTTCCGTACTTGACAAAATATCAAGCTGGTTTCGACAACAACGGTAAACTGATGGGGGTAATTCTGGATGTGTACGGGAATATCGGAGCACAAGCCAACGACTCGGCCGTCAATGGCGAATTAACCTGGGGAGACAATAGTAAGATGTTTTTCTTTTGACATCTACAGTATGGGTATTTTACTGTATTTGTATTGTTTATTTCAGCTTATAAGTGCGCAAATTGGAAAATTTCCATGCAAAACTGCAAGACAAATTTACCTCCCAACACGTGGTGTCGTGCTCCCGGTAAGAATTGTTTGCAGATTATAGCAAACCTTTATAGATGAAGCAATACTGCCAGACAATTTTTTTATAATGAAAATTTACATCCTGTCCCATTAAGATTGTTGAGAAGTGCGTTTCAGTCACTACGTATGCAAGTTTTCTAATGCGCATCGATGCGCATTTTCGACGCCGCAAGCGCTGCACTACAATACTGCGTATTACGACGGCATTTGCAGATGGAATATGCCAAAAACTGGTTGTTAGCAAAGCGATCCAAACATATTTAACTTTAAGTACAAATTATGTAATTTACTGCATATAATGAAAACTTTGCGCTCTTTTCTGTTAATCTTCTGAAAACTGGTTTCGGAATATAGAAAATAATCGTGAGTCCCAGATTGTGTGTAATATGCTGATACTGTAAATATAATGCTTAATACTCTGCTAAAATTTCGAAAACCTTCTATCTTTATTATCGTTACCGTGTAAACTGTATTTCCAGGATCAACGGAGGCGATTTATTTTATCGAATATGTTATGGAACACATTGCCAAATTCCTAAAAAAACCCTCCATTATCATTAAACAAGCCAACTTTTATAAAAACGGTGACAAACAAATCACCGGTCAGAGTATATCATACTGCAGCATTGCCGACGTGACCACCCAGCTTCTTAAGTCCGCCGATTACCAGAACCGGCTGCAAGTCGTTAACGACTTTAACAAGAACAACCGTTGGCGGAAGCGCGGTATATCGGTGACCCCTATGAAGTACGGCACCGTGTGGAACGGGAACCAGTACAGCTGTCACGTGGCGATTTTCCACAACGGCGGTGCTGTCGCGGTGTCGCATGGCGGTGTAGAAATCGGGCAGGGACTGAACACCAAAGTGGCTCAGGTGGTGGCGCATGAACTCAATATTCCCTTGGATCAGGTTTCGATTAAAGCCAATATGTCCTTCACAAGCGCCAATGCCACCAGCACCGGAGGGAGCATGACGAGTGAATTATGTTGTTTGGTAAGCATAACCGACGATGTAATATACACAATTTCGTACCTGAATAAGTATTGGTCATGAACCATTCATAAAAACAATATAAAATACTTTAAATATTGTATCACTTATCTGCATACAGTTGCTTGTTAATTTGACTCCGGTATCCGAGTACAGTTATGTAGAATTTAGAGTAGCTTCCAGAATAAACCGAATACTAAGTATTAAGTTTGTCCGAGAAAAAATGGAATGTTTCGTAGATTTTTTAACACTTTCCTTGAATAGTATTAAATGAGGCAGACATAACCCACCGGGTAGCGCTTATCGCCCTTAGTCTACGTAAGCTGATTAATTGGTGGTTGGGTCTAGAATATTTATATGCATCGGATGGTTTTTTATAAAACATAGGCTGCTCTGGATTGCTGCTCTTCATTGCTTGCTCGGATGAAACCGGTAAAAGACTCCATGAAAGCCGACACGCCGTGGGCTGATCTGGTGGAAAAGTGTTATTCGCAAGGGATTGATCTTTCTGCCCGCGCTTGGTAAATCCATATGAAATTTCGTTACCAGAATAAAAACCGAAAAAAATATGTTACCGGAAAATATATAGATATGTCACCAGAAAACATTCTTGTACATTTGGAATGTCTTGCAGGACTGCACCGCAGACCGCGGATGCTCCCATTTGCTATAATACATACGGCGTGACGTGCTGCGAAGTAGAAACCGATATTCTAACCGGCGAATATCAGATTAACCGATACGATGTCCTGTATGACTGCGGTGAATCGATGTCGCCTTTTGTCGGTAAGAAAAGTTTCCATCGTGTTCTAACGTATCATCTAAGTACTTGCATCTTTGTATTCCGAAAGAACCAATGCGTCAAAAATTCGGGAAATTATTGATATCTAAATCGTTTTCTTCTGTTTTTCAGATGTGGGTCAGATTGAAGGTACGGGTGTTTTATAGCACTTCGGTTAATTTGTTGCATCTATGATTCCCGATCACGACCTCACAACATGGCGGAATTTAGGTGCGGTCATTATGGGACTGGGATATTACACTTCGGAGGAGCTAAAATACGACCCAAAAACCGGTGAACTGGTGACCTATAGTACTTGGACTTATAAGCCCCCGTCTACTAAAGACATTCCCATTGATTTCCGAGTAGAAATCCTCCAAAATGCTCCAAATCCACTTGGCGTTCTACGAAGCAAATGTAAGCTTTTTTATTTAGTATGTAGTAAAGCTATGACAACATAAAATCGAATGCTTGTATTTTGACAACAATGACAAAAATCGCTATAACTGGATGAAATGTTCCAGTGGTCGCCGAACCTCCGCTCTGCATGACAAACGCCGTTGTTTTTGCATTACGCAACGCGTGCAATGCCGCTTTGGATGAGACAAAGAAAGGGAATGATTGGTTTCAGTTTAGTAAGTGACCACACTGTTGTTTTAAGCAAATGCTTAAAGTAACATTATTTTTGATAAACAGCAAAGCAGCTGGCGTTGGAATCATTACTTACACGTGAGCGTTTTGTCATTTTGCAGATGCACCTGTAACACTGGAGCGATTTCAAGGATACTGCCAACTGGATGTGGCGCAGTTTACATACAAATAGATTCAGAAAGCCAAAACGATGCAGCATTGTGCATTAGGTCATTCCATGTACAATACACACTCATAATGTCCTTATAGTTGTTACATGTTTTTTGAAAATTCGTTTAAGTATGATTACTGTGATTTGTGATGAATCAGTTAGATTAATGCTTTCAATGGTAATTTTGTGGTGGTGGTGGTTGGGAACGGCGATCGAACTTCCGTAAGCAACATTCTTGTAAACCGTAATGTCCGGCAAGTATACTGATGGCTCTTCCAGCTAAAAAAACCGATGTAGTATGTGACCTTCCGATTTAAGGCAGCAGTGAAATCATGTTTTGTAATTTTTTCGTTTGATTCATGCACGATATACTGTATCTGTTGCCTGTTGGTATAAAGCCGGCAAAAATAGTGAACAAATTAATGTTGTAATTGTAATATCGTATTTGTGAATCTGTGCGCTAAAATGCCATAGCATACGGAATTTAGTCCAGTTCAGTCGGAATCAGAGTCGCTTTCCGTATCCGAATTCTCCCGACTGCTAGCATCTGGACTGTCTTCCATAACACACCAGTCCGCTGTTCTACAGTGATACCATTTGCCTAACATCAGATCCATTGTCCGCTGAAAACTTTCGAAGGACGTTAAAATATCCAGCCCTTCGACTACCCTCCCAAAAACACAACTGCGGTCACTCCGCCTATATCGTGACAATGTGACAATGTGAAGGTCAACGTAATTTTCATTGCCCGCATCATCGGGTTCCGTGCTCCATTCGTACCACACCTCGTTGGCGACAGTACGACCATTTGTTATTATATCATTGCTCACACCGAGAATAGCAAAAGCTTTATCTGCTCGATACGTAATTTATATATTTATGTTATAATTAATGGGAAGGCAACAATTCAAAAACTTACTGCTACCGGGCCGTCAGCTAACTGAGAAGCCGTGAATAAAGGGAACCGGATGGAGTGAAAGATGGTACCGAGCGCTTCGCGCAAAGCATAACCAGACACTGGACGAGTGATATCTTGCTTTGCCCATCTGTGCACCGAGATACCGTTTATATTCGTATAACAGAAATCTTGTTAATATGAAGTTCAGATATGTGTTTGCTTTTTTTGGCGGCTAAAAAATCATCTATAGCTAAATATACTTAGCATATGCTATTTTTTATTTACATTATTTATGCATGTTACCTTTGCTTGTTTGCATTACTTACTTAAAGGAATACTGCACTAACTGCAGCACCTGCTGCAGCTCTGCTAATATGCCAGAGTAATTTTTACTGCATTTATTTACCGGCACACTTGATCGTAAACTGCTGGTTCCGAAGCGCTCAAATTCTTACAATCCACAATCTGCTTCAAAGTATCAAATGGGAGATCTATGAAAGCGTCGCTCTGCATAGCGACAATAGTGGATCGCGATATTTAAGCTAAAGCCAGTGTGGCTAATTCGCTTTCACCAATTGCTTGAGCCTGTGTATATACGCGAAAGGTCACATGATGCCGTTGGTATATGCATTCCCGTTTTTCTTTCAAATCAACCTTGTACCTGTTGGAAGATATCGCATGCGCAGTCCGCAGTGAGATGCGACTGCACATAATCCCGACAGGCTCGACTCAGCTTGTCGATCATGTACTTTTTAGCGCAGTATAACGTGTCCATGACATTGTGCATTGTTATGCCGCTTATGTCATCCGTAAATGCGTAACTGAAACCATCCACATCCTTGCTTAATTTACAGTCTTTTAAAAGGTCTCCTGAGAGTATGTTTTTTATATACGAATTACGCGATAGACTGCTAAAAGAAGATAAGCTTACGTATAAGCTTACTGTAGTAGATTCTGAAACGCTTCTGGAGTAATATCCGGGATTTCTACTCGTTCTTCCTTGAGCTCGATGGAACCGTAGAAAAGTGTTTGGAATACAGCGCTTACCAGAGCTAAAAACAATCTACAAGGAAAAGTTACTGCAAGGATGCGCAGCATGAGATACGCAGCAGTATTTTGCGAATGGTTAAGAACTGAATTTATTTATATTTAAAAAATACTGCGAGCAGTTTAACTAAAAGCATACTGCATACTTGTGGGTCTTGAAGACCTTTCCTGGACTCACACCAATTTCGAACTCAATATCAGTTGGTATTTCCAGGTCGGGATGCTCTAATAGAAATCGCGCTCTTTTACGGAGATGTTTGGATGATCGGAAATCAGCAGGTGGAAAAGCTGCCGCGCTCATTTTAACTGGGGAAGAGGTATACAAAAAGCTTATGGAAATACAATTCTGAGGAAATAAATGCAGTAGACAAATACACAATTCTCTTCAGGAGATGTCCTCTAAAATGAAACGTTGCTAGCGTTTTCAGTTACGCTAATTAAACTTCCACGACAATTCCATAATTTTAAACCAAAATCAACTAAATAGATGCTACACGTGCAGACTTCCAAGAACATATTCACAACACTGAGCTCTTACTTCACTAAGAAGATAAGATAACTGATAAGTATTTATTTGGGCATATTTGGTTTATGATACCGATATACTACTGGGTGCGCACCGGCCCATGATCAGGATAGCAACCTAAATTCCTAGAGCATCTTAATGTACTGCAAATTCGGGGACTGAATGGCACACGCATACATAATTTGGGCAAGTCTAACAAAAATTTCTTACTTTGTATAAGGTTTTTGCTCTGCAAACCGTAGTAGGTTTTATGATATTTCTCTGCGTAAACTGCTGTATTTTTAGTGACCAGTTAATTTACCTTGACACGTTACAGACAAGTGAGACAACAGTTCTAGTTTATTCGCTCGGTAGAGTTGCGCTTGTCTTTGAACGTTCTAGTTGTGAGTTTTGAGGGCAGGTTTTACTCTTACCGTTAGTGGAGGTTCATTTCCGAAAATGAACGATCATTGCCCAGCCGGATCGATCCGGCTGGGCAATGAGCAGCAAGTATCACAATTCCACCATTTGAAAGGATTTTGAGAATCCTGCCGACATTTACTGATTCATGTGACATTATAAAATTTTTTTTATTATAACATTGTTTATGTCATAGCATTGTTATAGCATTTTGCTGCGAGTATTATAACATGCTGCACACTATCCAGTACACACTATGACCACGTCTAATAGATTACTACCAGTACCGGGTAGTCGCTTCACGTTTGAGTGATTAAGGACGTGGATAACATTACAATTTAAAAGGTGAGGTGGACGCCTTAAGGAAACCCGGGTCTGGGCAGCTTTTCTCTTAAAGCAAAACTGTAGATCTAGAGAATGATAGCGCACATCCAGGTGTATGTAACTGCGCTTTATTTAAAAGAGTTTTGTTGGTTTACCGGCTAATCGTCTAAGTCCTACGGGTAATGCTGCAGGTATCACTCTAGGTAAATTAGGCGACGGTCAACTAAAATTTGGGTGGATTTGCACACCAAGTCACCAACAAATAGAGAACTATACTTATTACAGTACAATTTTTGCGATGATGTGATCTGTGGACATTTAGCGGCCTAGTCAACAATACATATAATTTCGAAAAGACGCTCATTTTTTTATTGTAAAGCAAAATCATTCGGCAATTACTCAATAATCACTGCATCCCTGACAAGAGGTGGTCTGTAAAGAAAAGCTTGTATAAAGAAGAACAAATTATGTCATCTCATTCCACTAATAACTAAAAACCAACGCTATCAGTTTACCAGAAAACGTTTTATATTAAACAAGTTTCAAAAGTTTAAGCACGTCGGAATTCCAGGGAAGAGTTGTGAACCGATGGACTGTCGCGTTTCTACAAACGGAAAAGGCAAAACTTTGCAAGTATTTGGCAAACGATGGCTCGTTAGTTACAGCGTCATCTTTTTTTATATAAATATAATATAGAAAAACAGGTACATAATCACCGTAATCTTACCAAGGTCATTTCGTTGTCGTTCTTAAAAATCAAATTCACCGACCACGTCAATCCATCGCTGTTGGTATATCTGCCTTCCAGAGTTTTTGCTCCATCGTTCCAGTTTGTGGTGCTCTGCAAATAAAAATTATTCTAAGTTTATGGAAGACCCACCGCGAGAAAATTAATAGTAGTACAGCACGGCACTTCTCCTCGTATATGTACTTTTTTTTCGTATCACATATAAATGCGCAACTTACCCATTTAACATAAAAAATATGGGCTATAAAACCTCTAAACACTTAATTAAACTGATAGTCTCATATGGGTAACTGACCTTAACAGTTTTTCCGCTAGGCAAAGTTTGAGTTTGTTCCTGGCCAAGCTTAAAGCGCAAGTCCTGCTGACGGTTCAGATCCGGCTGGGCAACAGTCATTACATATTCGTCGCCTTCCTTTTTCAGAGTGACCTCGTTCTTCGAGTTGTTAATGTCAGAAGCCACTTGCTCAGTATATCCTAAACATCGAATTGATAATATTTTATTAGTTCTACGTACATGTACCAAAGTTTTTACAAATAATCTGGTACGTATACGTATGTTTCAGCTAAAAAGCAGTTTTGGCAGTTACTTCCAGAAATCATCAAACATCATATATAAATATGATACTTAATATTTCGAGTACTTTCGTGTACTAATTGTGAGTAGGATAAAAATTAATACTGAAATACTAACCAACACTGGTGAAAAAGGCGGCACCGTTAGGATCTTGGCCGACGCTAACAAATTTGCCGGTGGGAACAGCCATGGTATATCAGTAATTCGAGATTATAGACTCAACTGGTAATTTTGGTATAAAAACCGAAAAAGTACAGTCGAAGAGGCAACAGCAAAACTTTTTATGACGGTTGAAATGTAGTTTGCCATTCCTATGCATCTACCACTTTATATACGTATGGCCAGACGTTTCCGGAATACGAATTGCCGGATCCGAAATCGTTTGAGGCAAGGACTATTTTGTACACTGCTTTTTGTGAAACCATCAAAACAATTGTAACAGTGGCGTGAAAGTGAGGTGGATGCCTCAAGGGAATTTGTTTCCGGGCGATGTACTGAATCATCTCTTGCAGACAAAAGCCCACAAAGAACAATTTTATTGCTTTATTTTTTCGTTTGTAGATAATGCGTCAAATGGAGCGAGAGTCATCTAGAATATTTTCCATCTAGAAATTATATTTTTTGTTAGGATAATTCATAACTGCGCAGATTTTACCGTCACCCGTGGGTGCGTTACGGCAAAAATATTTAAATCTGGCGCGGTACATAAGCGCTATGTACATCCGCAAACAAATGAATACTGTACAGCAGAACGGTGGAACACGTTTACTTTTGCCCCCTATATATAATTATCTTGTATGAAACAGCTCATTCGCGTATATTTTCAAATTTTTTTGAAAATACATACGTACTACGTTTACTGTAGAAGGAAATACTGAAGCCAGGATTTCAAACTTGCTCTAACTATCAAAATATTTTAATTATCGTCATTATTATATCGTTAATGTATAACGTTAATGCACACCGTTAATGCATAACAACTTGAAAGTTAAGTACTGTGCTTGAAATACTCATACAGATACTAAATCTCGCTCTGTACATTTTGAGAAATAAATCTTCATTTAAAAAAAAATTAAATCAAAGACATTACTTAATAGAATATCAATATTCTACGCTACGATTATTTCGGCTGTTTGTTATAAGTTTAAACTGTTTTACGGTCGTCTATCACGTGCCTATTAGGCTATAGTTTGCCGTGATTGTTTTTTGTTCCGCCGAAAATTTTCTTGCAATTTAACATAACTCCCACTGCAGTTTATTACAACTGACATTGTTTTTATGGAATCTGGCTGCTAATGTGTAAACATGACAGCTCAGCGTTATCGAAAATTAACACGAACATCATCTAATAAAATATTTGAATTCTGCGTGTCCGATATTGATCTGATCTTTTATTGTTACAATTCCGATATCGGATAGGGCAATCATGGGATGCTGCCTGAGTTAGGCACCGGATGTGACAACCGAGTTCGCACTGCTTTATTCCAGGACCAGACCGCGCAACAAAATGCAGCTAATTCTCACCAAAAACAGGAAAACCAGCGCGTCGAATCTTCTCGTTACGATAAATGCAATTCGTCAACGCAAGCAAATACAGTTCAACATTATTATCCGCGACTCTATATCTACACAGCTGAATATGCGCACCACGACAAAACAACAATCTCCTGTCTGTCACACAATTTCCACTCCTTTATCTGAAACAGAAGATTCACTCAATATTTTGATAAAATTTCGAAGAGCACCAGAACAATAACAAATGAATTTCGCTACATACTGGGGTGCATTCTTCTTCATCAGCTGATGACGAACCACAAGGAACGGAAGACCAAATCCGCTGGCAAAGAACGCTGTGTAGATAAGCGTGAACTTGTATCGGTTGGTTATGTCGAACGGAAGGTTCTACAATGTATAGATCAATCATAAACCATGTTTCCAGAGGAAGATCTCCGCAAAACCCGAAACGCAACATTTGTATAACCAGAAACGGCGAAACGCATTCATTCATACCTCGCCAGGGTTGCCACCTTCATCATGGTGATCACCACTCCGTCGACTCTTGCTCGTAGAGAAGTTCTTCTTTCCACGGGCAGTTCGCGTAAAAACGCGAGTGAACAGTCTGGAGGCGAGCATTCTTACGACGAATCCAGATAGTTTCCAAAATATAAATCTCCACACGGGTATACGAAACCAAAGGATCCAAAACTCACTGGAAAATGAAATAATCCAATATCAATAAATTCTTTGATTTTTAATGATTTATCCTGAATTTTCACGCAACCCCAGCCAAGAGGCTGGTTACTGAACGTTCCCTGTATCGGCTACAGTTTCAAGCCAGTCTAACAGGGACTATCTACTGAGCAATATTGGCCGGCGTCCATTGGCTACCCATTTAAATGTCGAAATACCATTGGCCGACTGCCAGATAGAAGGAGCCGCCTTGATTTTCCTTGAACTCCGTCTAAACCAGTTGAACTCTCAAACGAGTCAACTCTGTCTTTCTCAAGAATGAACCTGTGAGTGTGCATATTCTAAACTTGGAAAACGAGTCCAACGATTGAATTAGTCGATATTTCCAACAAAGAAGCTTATGGGGGATTGGGTGTGATTTGGATTTTTATCTGGTAAATTAAAACGGTTTTATCGTCACATTTTTTCGAGATTGAAGCATCAATCATTCCTACTGTTTGCTCAGACACACCGGACCGCGGGCAGGATGTAATCGCATTCCACGATTATTCTGGATCTTTGTTGTTGCACTGGGAGAAACATTCTGCTCACGGGTCAGGTCGAATGGGATTGTAAGCGTCAACGGTGAGTCTAATTTTCTTTTATGGACATTTTTACATGTATTGAGCTTTTAAGTTTTAAACGAGCGCGAGTGGTGAACATCCGAAGTGTACAACTGATCTGTCAGTGCGGATACTGTTTCCTCTCATCTTTTCCGATCTACTACGACTGTATTTAAACATTTGACTGAATTGAGCGTCTCTATAGATAAAAAGTGGGTTAATCGTTGCTCTGTCCCGTGCCTGTCCCTCTCAGACGTTTACACACATCGCCGCAGTCGCAAACGCTTCACAATTTGACGCTTTTTGACTGAAAAGTTTTCAAATTAGGCTTAGGACTCAAAAGGATGATCGTGTTTGTTCATGTTCTTGGATGGTCGTCCACATCCATGGAATACCACATTTTCGTTTATTAAATTAATGCGTATTATTGGACATTTTCAGCGTGTGGGATGCACACTGCATGGAGCATTCTGGCTGATTGCCCGGAAAGTGAAACATGCTTGTGATGAATGCTGCCCAGTTAATGAATCACTGTAACAGTATCGACAGTTGGCCAACGGTAAGAAAAAAAATTTAAATCGCGCACCACTTGAAAACGCTTTTATTTGTTTTAAAAAATACAGGTTTCCTATGCGTTGCACCTCTGATATTTCCACGCCAATGTTTTGTGTTTGTTGATGTGGATGCGTGGGATTCCGATCGATCTTTCGTATTTGATGCCGTTGAGTGAAATTCCCTTGGTTGTCCACACCGATCTCAGCGATGCAATGGAGATGTTATTATTCCTGTTCGATGGTTCCTTACTTGATATTTTACATAATATTGATAGAGGGTGAGTGGTCATACAATGGCATTTGTGTACGGCACTACATTGTCCTAGGTTGTAAAGAGTTTCCGGTTGGTTATGCTATGATGTTTTTCACCGGCTCTCGGTGATGTTTGTGGTTGTGAGCTGCAGAAAAAGCGTCGGACAGGGTGGTCTGCTTAGCACCCATAACGTGGCATTGTAGGCATCTATGAGCCACTTGAATTAATCCGCGAGGACGGATTTTCGCGGATAAATATTCCTCCGAGCCACAGACGCAAAAAATTTACATCTTGTCAAAGTCGTGAAATTCAGTAATTTTGTTATCTCTGAACTCTGAAGGGTGATTCCTACACGGCTTGCTTGTAAAATTTTGTGGATTTCGATAACCATAAACCGATATGAATACTTCCACAGAATAGTGATCACTATTTTTAGATTTATGACTGGAGTAGCTTTAATTCAGCACAGTTACATATTTACGCCCTACATTTTTTCGTTTCGGAGGAATACACCATTTCGTCGTGTGGATTCGAAAATTAAGGGTGTTTTTGGCACAGTTTAGGAGTTTTTCCGTTACGTATGTAGTTTATTCACTTTCGTGCGAAGCGGGTGCTCTTATTACAACTTATACGGTTTTAGTGATATACAGCTTAAATGGTAGACTTAAATAGAAGCAGCTCAACATTTTTCAGTGTGCTTAGAGTTTTTTTTGTTGTGTTTAAACTTTTTGTGAAAGAGCTCAAACGGCGTTACATTCCTTCCTCACCGCTGGCGCTGACTCGCCGAGTGCTTCCGTGTGTTTTTTCTTTGTGGTTTATAGTTTGTGTTAAATTCAGGCTGGTGGTTATATCACGAGTTTTTGCCATGCATATGGATATATATTGATCAGAGAGTGCGATAAAATCACTTTTCGTGTCAGCAGACTCTGACGATGGAGTGAAAAATGCTGAAAGCAGGATCTGCAGTGGCATCGAGCGAGAATCAGCGCTGATTGTGAGGAGTGGTTATGATTCATTAAGTCGGCTGGACAACAAAATTTGGGTCGTTTGATTAACGGCGCAATGCATTTCACCACATTAAAATGGAAATTTTATTTACTAGTAGATTCGGCGAGATTTTGTTCAGACTTCAAATTAGTGAAATTACGTCCTCGCAAAATCGTTATTCCAGTTTTGGTAATGACTTTTTTGCTGAATGTGTTAAGTTAGTAACTTTACAAAGGATTTTAATTCATGGAAAATCTGATCTGAACAAAAATAAATTGTTAGTTGAATTTTATGTTGCATTGGAATCTTTTTTTTAGCTAAAGTTGGCTAGAAAGAATGATTTTTTGAAGATTTTTTGGAGTGTTATTTGTTTATCGAAGCCCGTAGGTGCCAAGAAGGAATAAGTTATGCTTGGTTGCAGTTTGCATTTATGCTTTACTTTCTGTCAGCATGTTGTCGTTCATGCTTTCCATACCTGGTGATGCAATCAAACATATTTGTAAGTAACTGGAAAGTTATTCATTGGCGCTTGCGGCTTGTGAAATATGCACAATGATGCCTGAAAGGCACAAAGTAATTAATCACTAATTTAGCTGCAGTTAATAAAGTAATAAATTGGAATGCGTAACGAACGTGCATTGTATACGCTGCTTAAACTGCACGGGGTGTATTGTCCATACGTTTGGATTAATTGACATACAATAATTATTGTACAATATTTCCCTCGTCAGAGAGTAATGTTGGATTAATGTAGTGACTGCATGTTTGAGCAATCAGTAGTATTTAATTTGAATTTATTAGTTGTCATTGCTCATGGTCAACGATTCTACGGTCGTCGCAGTTTGTTTGCTGGCAGAACGATCAGTCTGAGTTTTTTATGCATTGTTCGCAGTATGGCTGATTAATTACTGCGGATTCTGCATGATTGGCTGCCGTTCTGAAAGACGCACTTGTATCCATTTTTATACAAAATTGCTTTGTTTCGAATTTTTTGCATCAGCAGAGAATAATTTTTTGGTACGACTGATAAGAGCATGGTTTTTAAGACAAGACGTGTACGTTCGCAGTTCTCAGGAAAGAAATTCGTATTAAAATTGGATATCGTGGCATAAAAAGTAAAAAGATTATTTGATTTACCATACTATTAGTCAAACTGGACCATGGCTGCTTTGGCATGCATTAGGCATTTTAGTTATTTGCTGTGGGCAGGCACTACGAAAATCATGGATCAGCTGTCTTAAAACGTGATAAGATGATAACTTTGAGGAAAGAAAAAGATCTTGGTTATTTTTTCAGGTTTGAGAGTCGTAGTACTCTGCAGTCGTTAAAGTCGTTTTTCGGTTTTTAAAGTACTGTAGTGTGCTTGCGTATGTGCTTCATGTCATTTAGTTGATAGCTTTTGGTTTTAAAACTGCAGGTTTTGATTTTGGCTAAGGGCATGTCTGTGATTGGGATTTTGTGTTGTTTCCTTGTTGCTGTAGGATGAAAATTTAATGGACATTTGTACCGTAATGGACTTTACATGTAGTGCGGTGTCCGTGGCGTTGTTAACTTTTTAGTCTCGTTCCACCGTGAACACGATGATGAACGGTACCGACTCCATTTAGCACGTCGTCAGGCCTAAAATGTATTTAATGTGGCACGACCACTTCCGCCCTACTGTGAGAGTTTATTGTCATACCTAGTTAATGATAGATACACATATTTCGATGCGTTGCATCGCTGTGTATGGGTCTAGTGTAAGGTACCGTAGTGTTATTACTAACGTTCTTTTACATTTGCAGTGGCACAGGGGATCCCGTTAGACCGCTTTGTACGGCATTATGAAACTTTGTCGTATGATCATCAAGCGCTTCATGCTCGAGCTCGACGCTCCATAAAGGATGATGCTGCAGAGGTTGAGTTCAAGTTCAAATCTCATCAACGGTAAATATCACTAGATGGACGTTAATAAATGCCGTGTCACGTTTATGTATCGGTTTTGATGATGTTTTTCACCTGCCATAAGTAGGGATTAATAACATTTCCAAAGTTATTCTCAAGCTCACAAAACCCCGATTTATTGTCGATGAAATGCGAACGATCATATTACTTGCTAATTTGCCGGTGATATCATCTGTAGTGATACCTGTGTTAAGTGGCACCGTGACACATAGTAACAAAATTTTTGAGATTATTTGTAATTCTAATTCTTTGTATCACTTTGTAGGTAGTGTTTTCAGAAATTAAAATATTAGTTTTTGAAATGGCTTTATCTCATCTTTTGGAAATTTCTCTGAATGAAGTGAGAACTTAATCGACAGTGGTCGATTGACTTTTTCCTGTGACTTCTGTAGTGTTACTCTTTCTGACTGTTTCCTGTAACTTTGAAAATTGAAAATGGTTGTCGTTGCTACAAAAGATGATGTTCATGTTACAGGGATTTCCATTTGAAATTACATCCGGATAACTCAGCGTTTACTGCCGACCATGTGATTACCGATGGAAGAGGACGGGCGATCAGCGTTGACACTTCCTTCTTGTTTGATGGAAATGTTGTCGGTGTAAATGATTCGACTGTTCATGGTGCCATTAAGCAAGGAGTATTTGAAGGAAAAATTTATCTCGACAATGATACGTTTATTGTGGAATCTGCCAACAAGTACGTTTTTCATAACAATGGACAAGGTCTTTCTACTCTTTATTCTGATGCAGTAAAACTGCAGCATAGCACAAGTAACCATTAAACAAACAAACGATGCATTATTCCTTTGCACCTTTACTAGGAAATAGGGCGCTCTTTCGTAGAGATTTTAGAGACTTTTGATAGGTGTCTTATCTGACCGAATGACGTTAGAAAAATTGGTTTATAAGCTGATTTCCTAGTATTTTGCCTGAAGTTTTCCAGGTGAAGCTGCATTAATTATGTATTCGCTTCTTTAGATAGACATTGCTTATGGTTACGTACTTCAACGCAAATAATATGGAATTGTCGAATATTTTTCGGCTTTTTCGTAAACACTGATAGTCGTATAATTTCTGCAGTTATCTGATTAAAATTAATTTAATTAATTATTGCTACAGGAAAGAGCTTCCCTGCTTTTTCTATGATATTGTAGGGCTAATGTTGCCTAATTTGATAACCTTCAGTGTTTATGCAAACAAGCATCGCCAAAAATTATGGGCATCCAAATCCATAAACTGTTCCACTTAACATGGGACAGGTCACTGGGACAGTACCCAGAATCTAGTAGTATCACAATATTTAATTTTTTCTTACCCGCAGATATTTCAAAGGACCAAAGAGCTTTCATTCCGTGATATATTCCGAAAGGAATGTTTTGATTCCTTCCATCGCTGGTAATATTTCCGTGCCGCATGAAGCGCACAGTGGCTCATGCGGCTTATCGGATCCAGTCCGAGATTGGATGCGCTCAGTGCAGAATTCCGCTGAACCCGCCATCGATCCAGCCATACCGGAGAATGAAGTGTGGATATCGCCGGCGGACAAGTATTCCCGGGCAAGAAACGTCAATAGTACGCGGAGAAAACGAGACGCTCCAGCGGACACTGACAAGAACCGACTATGCAATTTGTACATTCAAACTGACAAGTTCCTTTGGGATGCCGTGTATGAGCGAGAAAAAGATGACCAACGGACACGGGAAGAAATTCTGGCCATCATTTCTAGTCACATTAAGGCCATAACGCGGATTTATGGCAATCACAAATTTGGTGATATTGTTGGGATCCAGTTTGCCGTTCAGCGCACAACGGTATGCTTTCGACGAGTGTCGGTTGCTTTTTTTTGTGATATGAACTTGATTTTTTGAAAATTGCCATACATCAGAGGATTTTTTGATTTGTAATTTTAGTCAGATGCTTGCTAAACTGTCACGCGTGAACTTAGCATTTCATTATGTTTTGGTAACTACTAACTACTGTAAAAATTCCTGGTTCATTCAAGCGTACGCTATTTCCTAATCCAGCGCAGATTCAGTTTCCTTGCATAAAATGCCTTCTAGTTTTGAATTTTTTTAATATTGCCTTTTATGTCCACGCGCAGCATGAAGATTTGCACATGAGAAGCAGGTCATTTGAGCAAAACGAGTGTTTCGTTTTGCGGTCAATGAAAATGCGAGTTAGTCAGGCAACGAGCCGTTTATTTATGATTAGCGTGTAATTGGGGAGTGTGGGGAGGTGGTTGACATGGTGCATGCCGTAGTGGTCGGCGAGAGTGTGTTGCCTTGTTTAGGACGTTTGGGTGCTCGTGCTGGTTTTCGTGTGGTGGGCTCTGTTTACATGTGCTCGGTGTGGTATTACGCTTAACTGAATATGTGTTGGTATGATTGCAGATCAATGACAGTAGCAGCTGTGCCAGTGAGGATCGCAATCCGTTTTGCCAGAAATACCTTGATGTCTCCAATCTGCTCAATTATAATTCCATGATGGACCATTCGAGTTTCTGTTTGGCCTTCTTGTTTACCTACCGGGATTTTTCTGGCGGCACTTTAGGATTGGCATGGGTGGCGTCGGCAAATGGTAATAATGCAGCAGTTTTCCCAGGCACTGCTGGCATCTTTGAGAATTTCATTACTGGCGGCTGGAGAAAAAAAGCTAAAATTTAAAGCTTTATTTTTTATGAGACAATTTAAAAAAAAATATAACGTTTTTTATTGTTTGGAAGTTGATGTCAAATATGTGACATTCAGAGCACGTGACATAAAAGTAAGGGAAATAACAAGTTTTATTATCCATTCTGATGTTTAGTCGATAGGTAAGGTACAAAGAAATCTCTACTGGTACCACGTTAGCTTCGGGTCTGACATTTGCAATGTGTCTCCAAGAATGTGTTTGATACTACCACAGATTCACATAGCACTTGCGAGATAATTTTGCCAATAATAATTTGTGATTTTTAGGCCCATCTGGTGGAATTTGTGAAAATTACAAGAAATATACGGAGACGGTCGGTGGCAAGCGCGTGCAAACAGCCAAAAGCCTAAATACCGGTGTAATAACCTTCGTCAATTACGGTAATCGGGTGCCGCCGACGGTGTCTCACCTTACACTCGCCCACGAGATTGGTCACAATTTTGGAGCCGCGGTAATTACCCTAATGATACGCGGTCACTGTGAAACTTGGTTATTAACGTAAAATTTGTTTGTTGTGATTGTACGGTGGCCTGATTTTCTAATGATTTGTTTCTTCTTTCTCCGCTCTCCAGCATGATCCACCCAATGCACTGTGCCAGCCAAATGGCGCTGCCGGGAATTACATCATGTATCCGAGCGCAACGAACGGCGATCGACCCAACAATGACAAATTCAGTCCGTGCAGTATTGAGAATATGACGGCGGTGCTCAAAGCCGTCTTGACGCAGATGAACGGCAAACGGAACTGTTTTGTCCGTAAGTTATACAAAAAGGTGTATATAATATTATGGTAATTGTCATTGTTGAATTATGGTGTGGATGGAGGCTGTGGAGTGGCTGTTACGTCCGGCTGTAGTGAAGGTTTTTGGCCGTGGTGCTCAAAACGCAGATAGCATGACGTCGTAAAATGTAAAGTTGTCAAGTGTGTTAACTAATATTGCTAAGAGCAACCTTTTTCAGAAAAAAATTGTTAAATACGAATTCTTCATAACATCGCCGTTATGAGCATTCGAAGGTACTAGTGAGTAACGGATCGGCATGAGTGGCTTAGACTTACAGTAATAAAAACTCTTGCTTGATACTCTTGCATTTTTGTACTGTAACAGCGATTATTAATTTATTCAGTAATATGGGACGTATTATTCCTGTTGATTGTTGATTAGTTAAAATTTCTTTATGCAGAAGTTTTATGCTTGCCTGGTTGTGTTTAGAAAGGTTTCCGCCTTTGTACTATATGAGTATGTTGTAAACTGGTTATGACTCTGTGTTTGGATTTTTTATAATGATGCAAATTATACCCAGCGTTGACGGCAGTAGAGTTTTCAGGTCGTTATCGCTTAATGATAGGCTTATGGTAATTCACTGTCACTGATTCATTGTTAGTTTGCCGCGTTTGCATTTTAGATCGTGGGAATTACAATAGCCGTGACTAGCGTTTATGTTTATTTGACAATTTAATAAAAACTAATTTTTGCAGCGAATGACTTGGCTTACTGTGGAAATAAAATCTACGAGAAAGGAGAGGATTGCGACTGTGGATACAATGTGGACGAGTGCAAGGAAAAATGTTGTTATCCCCGCCAGATTGAAGATCAGTGGGTGAAAGAGCGCGCCAAGCCATGCACACTGCGCTATTCGCCAGAGTTAGCCCGCCACTACGACTGCAGTCCTTCACAAGGACCGTGCTGCACCAACGACTGCACTTTCACGGCGCACGGTACCGAGATCCCTCAGCAGTGCCGAGAGGCCACCGAGTGCACTGAAGCGGCCCAGTGTCGTCCCGATAATGCCACTTGCCCGGCGCCCGTGCCCAAACCCGATATTACTCCCTGTGATAATAATTCCAAAGTCTGCAAGGGAGGAGAATGTAATGCCTCCATTTGTTTGTTGTTCGGCATGGAACAATGTTTTTTAACCGAGGATAAGGTGCCTCGGAACAGGGAAGGGAAGGAAGCCATGTGCTTCGTTGCTTGCCAGTTCAAAGGTATTTAATTCGCGGTAGAAATTTTAAATAGGGAATGTTGCGTTGAGTGGTAGTGGTACAGTGCGAGTATGGTCATTGAGATATTGTTATGGTTTATAGATCAATTCGGATATGGTTTCAGAAGTACAGTTGCTGTAACTTTTTGGGTAATTTTTCGGCATTGTTGTATGGGTGCAGTGTCTAACGTCTAACTTAGTCCCTCTTCGTTTCAATTACCCTACATCGTAGTGTCAAGGCTCAATGTAACCCATGTTTCGGTTATATGAGTGTGGTTCGTTAGAGTTTTGTAGAGCAAACAAATAAAGTAAATAGCATATTGCACGTAATTTTTTGTTGGACATGGATTTGACAAAGCTTGGTTTTATTCTTAGATCGACCGGAAAGTTGTCAAAGTACCAGAGATAAAAGTTTTCCAGTCAGGAACGCGTATAACGTTACCATTAACGGTGGCATTCGACTGCGCCCAGGTGCGCCGTGCAACAACTTCCGAGGATATTGTGATATTTTCTATCGTTGTCGACGGGTGGATGGTGATGGTCCATTGCGACGGTTGACCAACAATTTATTTAGTCAGGAAGCACTCGAAAGTGCTGGTGCTTGGGTTACGGTACGTAATTTTATTTCGACTTTTGAACCTGCGCGGGTCAGTGTTCATTAACCATGATATCTTTTCTTACAGACAAATTGGTGGGCTGTCATGTTAATGGGAATCGCCTTGATTGTTGTTATGGGATGCTTTATCAAGTGTTGCGCCGTGCACACCCCGAGTTCCAACCCGAAGAAGCGTCCAGCACGACGGTTAGCTGATGATTGGCATTCGATCAGTTCCACCCTGCGCAGAACTCGTCGTTCGGTAATATTGCAGTAACATTTAAATGATTGCGAAATTAAAACACGAGATTTGTTTATTTATCCGTGGAATGCACGCATTAGTGTCATAGGAATTGAAGTACTTTATCGGTTTTTAGCGGCCTGACGGTGTCCGGCATCATCGCGACCGCGTTCCTAGACACCGTGACCCCCGCCATGGACGCGGAGGTAACCGCCGCCGCAGCCAGCCTCCTGCCGAAGCCAGCGCCCCGGTCGATGCCACGACGACATCGGCAGCCATTCCCCTGGTGCAAGTGCACGAAGCGCCGCCTCCCTATAGTGAGGTGATCTCCGAAACCAACCACCCACCCTTGCCCATCCCGCCTAATAAAAACGGCGGACCACCGCGCGGCCATCGCAAGAACCGTAAAGGTGCGGGCCCGTCGTCTTCCGCCGCTGTTCCCCCTCTCAGCAATGCTCACCGCTCATCGGACCAACCGAGTTCCTCACAGGTACCCCCGCCGCTGCCTGGACGGAACCCGCATTATGTGAAGAAGGATCAAAATGGCAGGAAAAAGTGAAGAGATTTGTACGCTTTTGTATTATCCCGTGTTTGGTGTGTATGGATGGGAATTTGGATGAATCTGTTGTGGACTCTGTTGTCCGTATATTGATCAATGTGGATATAGCTTTTATTGTTGTGTTGTTGGTTTGTTTTGTTATTGTGTCGCCTCGCTTTTACCCGTAATAGATACCCGTGCCATAATACGCACTTCCTCTGACCTTAATTTTGATTTTGGTCTGTTTTGATTGTGTCATTTTGCGCTGTTAACCTTTGAGCAAGAGAATTCACGATTTATGATCGCTTGCCGCATGAAATAAAAAACCCGCAAATTTGATGCATACGTGACTCGTGAGAGAGAAGCCGAAAGGCGAAAACGACATCCCAACTTATTATGCATACATGTGACCGCAGTCTATGTAGCCGAACATAAAAAGTTTGGTCGGGATGCGGTTCGGCGGTTACTGCTCTAAACAAAGTAAAAAACTCTGTTTTAGATCATATCTCTTTACGCTTAGGTCGTGGGAAATCAAGGGAGAGAAACGAATACGAGTACTGTATTTAAATTTCTATCGTGGAAGGAATATCTGTACAGATTTGGTTTGCCTTCTGCGCAATTAAAAATGTACAGTTTTTACAGTAAAAAATTAACTTTGCGATATCATTCATCCAGAGCATCGCCAGATGTTCCAGAGCAAAATTAATTTTCATAATCAATTTTAGCTGTTTCCTTTTGCGGTCGCGTCCGCGGGTATTGGTCCGTGTCAGTATACGTGACCTGCACAAATGCTGTCCATGAGGCATCAGTCCAAAGGCCAGTGTTTTGCGACTGCTCCCGTACTACTCGTTCTCTGTAGTGGTCTCTAGTGGCGCTTTGGCCTTTGCCTGATTACTCGTAAAATGACATGCCCAGTTATCGTTCAGGTTTAGTGATCGACATTTGCATCTGTTGTTATCTTTCCAGGAAGTTTTAAGGTGTTAAGTTTTAACGGAGATCTTGTAAGTTATAAATTTAAAACTTTTATTAATAATCTATCAGAATTCTATGGTATAAGCAAGAGTACTCGCCATGACGCACCCAAGTACAGCCCAGTGGTAGACTGACCCGCATTGGACGCGGAAACTTGTCCAAGATTTTTCTAGCAGCCATTGCAGGCATACTAGACTGAAGCTGTAACTCCACTGCATCTGTGTATTTTGCAGTTTCCAGCTTTGTTTTCCGCTGTATCCGCGTCGTTTACCTTCCGCTGAATCCGCGCCTAATCTGTCGGTTTAGTTTTAACTTTTGTCCGCTGTGTCAGAATGGCGCTAATGCAAGCGTCTGAGGAAATTCTCGATTACGAGGACGCCGACGATGTGGTGGTGCCGAATGGCAAACACGATCACAATCTTGATGATCATGCGCTGGACTACATGCAGGAGGATTATGTGGGCGAGGCCAGCGTGCATACCGCGGAGTTTAAGGACCTTATGTTGAAACCCGAGCTTCTGCGCGCTATACAGGACGCTGGATTTAAGCATCCGTCAGGTAAGGTTGAAGCGATTCCCCAGTTTTGTTAGGGACGTGAAACCGGGAAAAACTAGAGCGGCCGTCGTAGCTTGTCGAAGCCTATGATAGATCAAAGCACACCAATAGTCGTATGCTTTGTCGGTTTGCCCTTCCGGTGCCGACACCGCCACAATGAATGGATGTCCGAATGGCGTTAAGAGCGGTGACTTTCCAGTTTCCAGCTTTTCATGTTTCGAACTTTTCAGCTTCTTTTTTTCTGTGTGCAACTGACCGCCGTGTAGTCGCGTACATACTTCTTAATAGTTCATATGCTGCTTACAGCTTTTTATTGCTTATGCGAAAAAAATGTACTTATTAGTTATTTGTACTTATCAGTTATAGTTATTTGTACTTATCGGCTGTTTGCACAATTTTAAACACTTAAAAAATAAAATATTAAAAATAATTTACTTTGAATTAATGATTCAGTTATTAATACGGAATGTTTTAAAAAAAGAGTTCAGCACTGTAGCTGCAGGCAGTATTTCACTATTTCCTTTTTAATGTCTCAACATGTGTACGGTAAGTTCAAGCGTAATATTTTTTTTAGAAGTGCAGGCGAATTGCATCCCGAAAGCCGTACTGGGAATGGATTTGGTGTGCCAGGCCAAGTCCGGATTTGGCAAAACTGGTTCGTAATTTCAGTTTGTTGAAATTTCAGTTTTATTTATTAAAAAGCTTTTTTATGTTTTTTCTGTTCCGCGATTATATTTTCTGGTTGCTGGTAATGTAAATCTATTTATAAAATTAATAAAATTTGAAATTGTAAACTAATTGAGCAGTTTGTTTTGATGCACTTGTTTTTGTGGTTGCAGACTTTTTGGGAGCTGCTATTTCGATACTTTGCAATTAAAATACTTGTGTATTTTTGCAGCGGTCTTCGTGATTTCCACTCTGCAGGAACTGGATCCAAGCGATCCCAATCAGCCGTCCGTTATTGTCCTTTTGCCGACTCGCGAACTGGCCTTTCAGACGGCTGCTCAGTTCAAACGGTTCAAAAAGTACCTTCCATCCATAACGCTGTCGTTGTTTTTCGGTGGCATCGCGTACGAAAAGGACATCACGAACATTCGCAACCGCCCGGATCTGAACGTCATTATCGGCACTCCAGGTCGTTTAGCAGCGCTCGTCCGCGATAAGATTCTCAAGTTGGATCACGTTAAGCACTTCATCATCGACGAGTGCGACAAGATGTTGCACCAGGAAGACATGCGCGCGCAGATAAAGGTCATCTTCGACGCGACTCCGGCGAAGAAGCAAGTGATGCTATTCAGCGCCACGTTATCGAAGAAAATTATGCCGATTTGTGAAGAGTTTGTGCAGGTATCAAATTAAATCAGAATAAAATGAAAGCAACTTTCCAGTCTTCCACCGTGGTCACTTTTGCAATATGAACGCTTACGCCTTATGGAATGCATACAATCATATTCTTTCCGTGTCTTACTTCCTTATATTCTTTCTGTGTCTTACTTCCTTCATGTTTCTTATGTTTACGTTCTTATATGACTTTATAGCTTACGGTTTTCGCAGTAGTGAATGGTTTAAATGTTTTGTTTACAGGACCCATACAGGCATCTGGTGGATGACTGCGCCAAGTTGACATTGAAGCACATTGTCCAGTATTACGTGAAGATCACCGAAGCAGGAAAACTGGAATGGTTGATTCATATTCTGGATACCTTGGAGTATAATCAGATGTAAGTGATGTTTCACCTTATGTTGGCTTACGTATGTGGAGAGTTTTCAGCATTAGACCGTGTATTCATCATGGTTTGCTGCACTAGCATTATTTTCGTGAACACGGTGGACCGGGCGCAGATGCTGGGCACTCATTTGTTTGAGAACAATTACCCTTCCGTCATGATCCATTCAGGAATGGAGCAGATAGAACGACTGGCACGATATCAGCAGTTCAAGTCGTTTTCATCCCGAATTATGGTGGCTACCGATTTATTTGGTCGAGGTACATCATTCATTTAGTTTCGTGAAGTCGCAAGGTGTCTAAATTGTGATGGTGTAATATTGTACTGTATGTACATCATAATGTACCCTTTCTGTATTCTGAATGGAAAACAGTAAAAAGGAAAAACTTTATGGTGTGTACACTGTGTAGCTCGCACGCTCCAGGATGTTAAGCGGTCTTGTTCGTCGTTTTTTCTACGGTTTTTGCGTTAGGTATGGATATCGAGCGCGTGAACATCGTGATCAATTACGACTGTCCGTTCAACAGCGATCAGTATCTGCATCGGATAGGCCGGGGAGGCCGTTTCAATCGGAAAGGATTGGCCGTCACGCTGGTATCCGACGAAAATGATTGTAAGAACTTGTCCGCTGTTCAGGATCGGTTCGATATTGACATTGCTCCCATACCGGATGAGTTGGATGAAACTTTGTGGGCTAATTGAGACACTGCGGTCAGCGAGATAACCAGGGTGATTTTGCGGTGACGATGTTCGACTTCTGTTACTTTCGGCTTACTCAAAGTTCTCGTTTCAATGATCTTCGTGAGACAGGACAGCGGAGTTCTCTTAGGAACTTCAGAATTGGAATTATTTTGTTTCTGGCATTCGAGAAATACATCGTTATTACATTGATTTGAGCTGGTTACTGTGGCGCCAGTTGCGTTGCGCCTTTTCTTTTGTTCAGTGTTCAGTCGCAGAAACATTACGCAAATAAAGCATCTTCACGGCAGACTTATCAGCAGTAAACGATTTTCTGTTGCAATTTTTCCAGGCCAGTAAAATTAATTTTAATACGCGTATCATCTGCAACAAGATTTGTCACGTAGATGTCAATTAGCCAAACTATTAAGTAATTAAAAATCCAATCATGTTAGGGCCTCCCGCAAATACAATATAAGAAAAAGTAAAAGCAAAACAAATACAACCACACCACCTGCGATTGCAGTGTCGCAACATAACAACCGGAAATAAGTTATTTCTTGCTCGTCCCGGCCCTTGTTGCTCCTTGATCATAACCCAGATCAGTAAGGTTCAACATCAAGGTATTGGCATCCAAATAGGCACGATTATTAGACTGTGCGATCTAGTAAACAAACAAAAAATGTTAAGACATTTTCCAATTCTGATAGAGTTTTAATTAGCAAAATAAGTCGAAATGTATCAGATTCGTCAATGGTTGCTTACCGTTCTCGCGATGCTTTGCGCAGCACGGATTTTCCTCAGCTTCAAATAACCTGGATTTTTCGTCACAGCATCTCCTAAGTACACGAAGGAAACACAAGCTACCGTTAAAGAAACCGCATATAAATTTGGAATACCAAAAATAACACCATCTGCCACAATTTCCCGGGGAACTAATCAGATTACCAAAGACCACATCACACAGGAGTTGAAGAACTGTACCGCAATTATCGAACAGCCGCTAGCTGAAAGTCAGTGCTAAAAAACTTTCATCTGCCGTATTAAAAGACTGCCCTGATACTGTACGTATGTGATTACGATGAACCCCGGTGAGAAATATCTACGAATAACCGTAAACGTCGGAGTTCACCAAGAAAACATACGCCTCCCTGCAACTCAGCTCAGCTCTTCCCGCTACGGAAGAGCGATAAGCCCTGAGTTATCATCAGAAAACCCCAAGGAAATTGCCAATAATAATGCCCTATAAAATAAAGGTGTCGAAGAAAAAGGATATCAATAGTGCTGCTTGAGCTTCTCCTTCCGCTTGGACGATCTTCTGCTGGCGCTCCTGTTTGGCTTTCTCGACCAAAAACTGGGCCCGTTGTGCCTCTTGTTGAGCAACCTAATTAAAAATAAATTCCTCAATTTACTGTTCCAGATTCAAAACAACAAGCACAGCAATCTAAATATCCAAAACGAATATACCGAAAAATCATGCAAAACCGTACCTGTTTAGATTCAACGGCAGCGGTGTACTCTTTGCCGAAGCTCAACTCCGTAATGGCCACATCGTCCAGGATTATGTTGAAATCACGTGCTCGTTCAGTAAGTTCCTTGCGAACCAATAGCGAAACCTACAAAAAAAATCTTCCCTGAAGTACCGTGTAAAATTTGACAAAGAAACAAGAGACGAATACATAATTCGAAAAACAAAATAACTATAACTTTCTTTGTACGTCAGTCGCAAACTAACAGGAATAACTAATTTTAATAACAAAAAATTACCTGAGAACGCTGGGTGATCAGCTGGGATGCGTTGAATTTGGCCACCACCGATTTCAGGACCTCATTACAGATGGAAGGCAGAACTCGCTCATCATAATCGGTGCCCAGTTGGCGATAAATACGCGGCAGCGCCACGGCATCGGGACGGGCGAGAACACGGAGACTGATGTTAACCATCTGAAGATCTGTACCAAAAAATAAACATGTTTTATTCCAGTTATCCCAGACGTCTGTCAGCAAATGATTAACCTTTGCTTCCCGTTGGGGAGGAGATGGACCGGGGTCGGGAACGGATGTCATAGATAATCGGATAATGGAACCAAGGAATTCTGGAAACGAAAAATGTCAGGTACCCGACACCTGTACACTAATTTAAAACCCTCAATAAAATACTTAACAGTTTTAGAACAATCAGTACCAATAAATGTACCAAAAGAAGGTGTCCTAGCCGTTGTTAATCAAAGGGCTAAGAGCATTATCTAGAGGCAACATTAATGTCCGAACTCAGTAGCACCATCTCGATACAAACACACCTCAACGGTGACTCTTGGCTCGTTCTATGTTTTGGTAGTTCTAAGCCTAACAATTCAGCACTTCAAACAGCAGGGTATACCCGTGTACAAAGGTGTTTTGAGGGGATTATTGGATATTTAACCAACTCAACGAGGAATCAAAAATTTCAACTAAAGACTGGCTACACAATTTTTCCAAAATTTCTCTACTTGTAAGGGTTCGCGGCATTCGTCAACACTGCCGCAGAAATCGGCTCGAGTATCGATCGTAAAAGTAGATTAACCAAATTTTATGTCAACAGAAAATTCATAAACAGCAAACAGTTCCTGTTCAAATTTTGATTCCACGTTTTTGAGTTTGACTTGCCTGAAGTGGAGTCCTTCGGCGTACACTTCGTTCTGCACACCACCCAGTCGACTGAAGATGATGGCGCGATGACCACCCTCAACTGCAGAAGGAAACCGCGGTGTCCTTCACGGAACTGCACAGGGATGAAGCAATGGCGTACCTGTATACATGGACTGGGATACTCCGTAGGCCAGACCACCGGCTCCCACCAACAACTGCAATCCAATCCCCACACCGCGGCCGGGAACCTTACCGAGTCGCCCGAACAAATCCCCCACTTTTTTCCCCGTATCCATTATTCAACTGCTTGTGAGCCCCTACACCAAACTCTAATGTTAAGCTTAAAGCGAGTTAACACACCCGTTTGTAAATTTCGGAATACGATTTGAAAATAGGAAGTTATATATTTTTTGCTCAATCACAAACGAAAATTAATGCAACAAGCAGATGTTGTGACTTATGAACCACTGAAGTGACTGAACAGAGAACTGACGCAATCTATGGTAGCCTTTTCGCACTGTGGAACAGAATTACAGAACAGGGATATGATTGTATGCGCAGCGTAACAGATCCAGGGTTGTTTCGACTTTCGGTACTTAATAAGGAGGAAGACCGGAAATGGCAGTTGCAGTAAAAATCATGCTCTTACTCGGGTTTAATTTTTAAGATATTGCTACAATATAGGAAGAACCAATTAATGCTAGAAATTAGAAAAGTAATAATTAAATTATATTCAAGAATCAAGAATGAGAAGATGCACAAGTGTTGTACAACTGCCACTGCCACAGTTGGTACTGTACGCACAGCACTTCCGGTGGTCGGTGGAAAGCAGAAGCGAAAGCCGAAAGGCTGATTTTATAGAATTCAGCTAATTCTAGTTTAATTACTTGGGACTGATTATTAAACTTTCAAACTGTGTTAAAAAAATGTCTTGGTTTTTTTAAGGAAATGCCAACATCAGTGGGTTGAGGGAGTGATAACTAACTCCACCCAACGCGCGATCCGATTCGTCGTTGCTGACGGTGTACTTCCGCTTGCAAAGCGTTATGCGGAGTTCGCTAGGTCTGTTCTCAGTGTTCTGGACAGCCAAGTGAATTCAGATGAACGGTAATCTGATTGCGTATACTTGTATTAAATTTGCACAGCTGTTACCAATTTTCTCGTGATCAGTTTACCATGTTGCAAAAATTGGCTATGTTCAATTCATAAATTTTCTAACCGACTCCAGATGTCATTTGTTCATGTGCCCATCAGATGCCATTCTCCTGAACGTGTGGCACACGGAGTGGTGCGTACGGGATCGAGCGCCTATGAAATGAAATCCCTTTTATATCGCGCTGTGGCTGCACTGTCTGCACTCTGCACATTGATGGATGTGGATGGCATCGGCAAATGTTGTTGTGGTTGTTATGATCCCACCGTGTCGCTGCTGCAACCTGTTTTATGAATTATTATGGTTTATACCTAATTTATGAATGAACATCCGGATGGCATTCGAAATGCCTAATCACACCGGAATACCGTAGTTTCACACGACGGATGCAATTCTGCATGTTTCTGCACCATTTATTTCTACGGGAGATTGTTTTTCGTGTACGGTGTGCTGGCTAGCCTGGCTGAACAACAGATGGTCGCGCTCCTATTTTCATTCATGAAATTGTATGCATTTCCCAGAATCGGACGATAACTGCGGAGCAGGTAAAGCCATTTGTGATTTAGCACTGGAAGTTCCCGTAAATTAGAGGACTCAGCAACATTGCTGTATTATGTAGTATATCGGCGGCACTCCCTTCTCATTACATAGTAAATAAATATAACGAACGTTAGTTCTCGTATTAAAAAAAGACTAACAAAAATTTGATAACAGAATATTCTTTAACCATTTGCTTTTCGCTGTATGTACATTTGTTAACTTTGTTTGATGATCCAGCTTTTTCGTAGCATCATGTTTGCTTGAATTTTGTAATCGTATAAGTGATGGCCGGTTACGGCTTTTCGCCGAATTAGTTATTTTTTCAAATTTACGATGGTTAAATTCATTTCACATTAAAAAGCGAAATTCGGAAATTGCGTTATCTTTCGAGGACATAAAGTCATGAAATTCTAACCAGTTTTGGAATGGACGGCAAGCTAGGGAATTTATTTCCTTGCACCTCCGAAAATTATTTCGAACAGTGAATGCGGCACTGCGGCAGCGCTTTTTAACTTGCGATCCTTGTCCGCGTATCGTTTGTTTACATCAGAATTAGTAATCTTACCAGATGCAAATTAATTTTTTGTAAGCTTTGCACCGTCTTATCTCTTGCGCTCCGATCTTATTCGTTTCGGTAAACCGTCTTATTGATCAGATTCTCCTTGGCTCAATAAGTGACTTATTATCATTAATCGAAAATCATTAGGTGAACAAGCACGTCTGGCGTTTTTGAATGCTCCTCAAGGAAAAAATGGGCTAAATATAGCAGCTGTTGGCCTTGCAATGGACAGAATGCAGCATCCATGGTGCGCTGCTTACGCTCGCATCAAATCCCATTGATTCATGCATCATAAACAACAAATAAAAAATTCTATGGCACGCTCAGCGGGTGTTCGGTTTCTTACGTTCCGCACTGCCGATTTGGTTTTTTCTGTTTGTATATGACGCTTTTGTTCGGATCATAAGGCATGCCTTTGTTCGGGAATAATTAGCCTTTAAATGTCAGCGATATTTGTAGTCGGGAAATAATTATTTGTCAAAGCGTGTGAAAGAAATGTCAATTTGCTTATCTTGTCGTTTAGAGGAAACTCCAAGTGATGGTGCAAAAGATCCACCACAAAGCTATTCACGAATCGTAGCTGATTATGTTACGAGGGTTGGTAGTTATGTTCTGTCGTATTAGTTTTATTTATTTCTGGATTCATGCAATTATTATATTATTTTCATATTACTATTACTAAACTTCTAAGGCATCGTTTTCATCTGTTGCCAGATTTGTAAGTATGATACAAAAAAAGTTATTAATTTTTGGAACGATGGCACCTTGAAAATTTCGTTTAATTTTCTTATTTTTTGTTATTTCGTTTCTCTGCAACGAATCTTTCCAATTCGGAAAAATTTTGAACCTGTGCAGGATCAAGCTTATCGAATATTTAGGTTACAGGAATATCCAAACTACAGATTAAGCAAAATAAATTTTTTATTATTAAAGAGGCTTTTGGTTTGGGTCCGTCGTGGTGCCAATTACACCAATCGACCAACTCCCGCCTCCATTTTTTCGCGTTTTCTCAAAGAAAGAATATATACGAACGACAGAACATAACTACCAACCCTCGTACAACGAGGGTAAACGTAAATATTTTCTTTTGTCATTGTGGTTATTCCCTACAGTAAATAAATTTACGCTGGTGGACAGCCGGAATTCGAACTTTAATGCACCAATGCATCGAAATTGCGGTTTTATTTCAGTTGCTCTTGTCTCTTACGATTTCTCCGAAGCCGCAATTACAGATTACAATTACATCGCGAGCCGCAATCACATCGCGAGCCGTATTAATTTTCCTAAAAAATTTTGTACGTTAAAATAAATTTCACACAAAAATACCAATGTGTGATGGCTTAGTTACTCATTGCTCCTGGTTCTTTTGTTTTGAAAATGCTTCAAAATGTCATAAGTAACTTGATGCGAGGTTGAACACTCCAGTACTGGTAACGTTTCGAAAAAAGCGCTTGGCGACACCGAATCATTATCTTGAAAGATTGACGCGATGCCAGAAAAGGAAGAGACAACGTACAGTGTAGTAGCATTCGCACTTCCCTATCGTACAGCTACACACTACACACGCAAAGTCCGTAGTATCACCGGAAATGACCTGCGTGGCAGTAATGAGAAAATTTCTCTGCCATTGACAGTGTGATGTTGGCACTTGTTATCTTCGGTAAAATGAAAAGAGCAAAAAGCTTCTATCGGTTTCGGTGCAGTATTTGTCCAGAAAGGCCGATGTGTGAACGCCATATTGTAGCTAAGTAACGTTTATTGCCTCCGGTTCGGCAATTGCGCCCGTTGATACCGGCGATGTGTGTATACACTGGGATGCGGTAAAAACATCATGTTCCAGTATTTAGTGAACATGTGTAAATGGACACCTGTTTGGGTGGAACGGTAATCGGAGTGGAAATTGTGAAAACGTAAATTAAATTAGACTGTCCATTAATGTGTATGCTGGAGAAATTGAGCGGGATTTTCCGGTGTGCTTGAAAAAAAATTCATTCATCGTACTATTGTGTCGTTGCTCGTGCCGTTTTTTCGTCGAGTGCTACAAGTGTCATTTCTGCAGAACATTTTCATTATAAGATGTTACTATTACCTTTTATGTCTTGTAGATCTTGTAAGGATTGCAGTTGTTGCTTTGCAGGGTGAGGAAAGAGACTTGCCTCGATGTGCAAAGCAGTTTAACGTCTTGGTTTTTATTGCATTGTTGATCAAAGAGGAAAAGTGGAACGATGAAGAAGCTAACGTTTCGGAGTATGCTGGATAATTTGCGATCGTCGGTAGCTGGGGTTGCTGATGCAGTGACTGGTGCCAATAAATTCGACATTGATCCAGATGAAAATGTTCGCCCGCAGGATTTTGCATTTGCCGAGGTTGGTATGGCAGTAAAGATAGCGAAGACGTCAGAAATGTCTGCGGTTTACAGTACCGAAACTGCACTGGATTCAAACACAAGGAAATTTAATGCAACGATGAACTAAATATGTTTGTAACGCCCTGTAAAATATCAGTTAAATATTCAGTTTTTGGAAGTGGTGGAAAAATTTTGCTTTTTGGCTTAAGTAATAGTATGTGCAAAAGTAACCATAGGGTGACATCGAAACCGGACATTTAGTCCATGATATGTTAAGGTTTTTTCGGCTGTAAAGGTTGTAAAGGTACGTTAAAAGTTTCAGTAATCTGTAAAGGTACGTTAAAGATTACAGTAGTTTTTAAAGTTTAAAGCTTGGGTTTTGTAGACGCTTGAGAGTGTTGTTTTTGTAAGCGCTTTTAAAATGCGGTTCTGTCACATTAAATAACGACTGACAAATGCTTCTAATGTTTTTTCTTATCGATTTTAATAGTTTTTACTGTCACCCGTCTCCAACGTAATAGTAGAAGTTTTTTGTTTTGCTGAAGAAACCCACCGCTTTATATTGCTAAACGCTCTGATTAAATTCCTTTGCTACCGTACTTAACCGCTATGTGCATGGCAGACCAGGTGTGCCCAGCGCCATGCGGGCCATGTGCTCCGGCTACGCTTAGTCACGCTTCCGGAAATAATTGTCATTTTTGCTACGGCAAGCTACCAAGACTGTTTATTCAGTGGCCTGCCGCAAAAATCACATCCATAACGGTTGTATTGGTTGTTGTTTTTCAGGTCTCCCGACACGGCTTCCCACAGGACCCGACGACCATGGCACTGGAGCCGGTACAGAGGATACTGGCGATCGGCACACGGCATGGCCTCATCCGACTGTATCCTTTTTCTTCATAACCCTGCTCCATAGGCGTAGCATGATTAGCTCTCTATAGACGCATAGGAAGTAGGAAGTCACAGATACAGCATGCAGTTTATGGGAAAATCAATAGGACGGCAGTGGCAGTGCTCTCTCATGGCCACTAATCTCGTTCCCTGATATATTGTGGAAATTTATAGCCCAATTGGTACGGGGTACAGGCAGAGCGCAGGCATGTTATTCGGTTCGCGGATGGGGAGATGAAACTTTAATCGCTCCTGACAGGCTAAGCAGGGCTCAGTTGTGGGAGATTGTACCTTTTGGCGGCGTTGCCACAGCGGCATGTCAACATGCGCAATGGACATGACACCTCCAGGCACGGAAAGCCGTGCCGAAAATCCTTAATAGTGGTTGTTATAACTTGTAACCATACCGTTAATTTCTGCTGGTTTTTAAGGTTGCGTACTTCCTCGCATCCTCTCGCACTCTTTTATCCAACCTGCTGGATTTTGAAAAATTAGGAAGTTGATGTAAATTATTTTTCACTCTTTTGTTTTTTCTTTTCAGATTATTAATTTTATCGCCATGAAAACTATCCCTCAGCAAATTTACAGCACTTAAGGATCAATAATTGACGCTAGGTACTCTGCTGTACTGTTTTCTAAATATTTTAAGCTCTGCATACTCGTTTGTTCTGTAAGTGCATCAGTGTATTATGGATATGACAGTAGCATTGAGAGAAACATGATTCCGGTATTCACCGGAAGTTCATGCGTATCGGATTTTATCGAGGCGTAATTACAAAGGCACAGACTATTTTTGGATGGCTATTTTCTTTAATAATCTTTTAAATTGTAATTGTTAAATAAATATTGGACTGCAGGGGCAATCATGTTTGAGATGAGAAGACTTTTGCGCAACATTCCCCGTAATTGCATTGTCAGAATGATTTGGACTGTGTGCCTGGCAGCATAATTCGATCTGATGCGGCTGCTATTAGTGTAAGAGCATCCCCCACATGCCCGGGATTTGAAAAACGTACCACCGCACACACACAGAAGATCGATGAACGATATCACTTCAAGGCCCAAAAATCAAATTGTCCCTCAATTTGGTCGCACACAAAAGCCAGGCCGGGACATCTTTATCCGTACAGTTTGGCACAGGACCTTGATAAATTATGCAAAAGCGCGCGCTTTCCCCGAAAGTTTCACTAACGATTACGGTTGGTTTTTTCGGGTATGAGAAAAGCATGAATCGAACTATCGGTTGGGATAATCTGGCAGAGTAGACTGGGCGAGAGGTCAGCTGATTAGACAGGGCTAGAAAATCGGGAATTACATGTACACCATAGGCCTGGAGCGTCAATTAAATCTCTACGCTTGAACGATTCATAAAAATTATGATAGTGACCGAGAGGGAAGAGTCGTGATATGTCAGCGGTTGAGCCCTTGCATCATGTGCTGTTTGTGTAGAATTGGACGGCCGGGTGTTGATTATCTTCTTAAACCTCCATCCGGCGGCTCGGAGCAGGCCGGCGCCGAGCGGGATGCACTGTTGGGCAACGCATCCGGATCCCATTTTCCCAATGCCATTGTACAAATTGCTTTTCTTGTTAATGAGGTGCGAATACTATCAGAGTTCATCTGTACGTTGCATAACTTTAAATGGACATTCCATAGAATACGCGGCGTTAAATAACTGGAAATAAGAAATTCTTTCAAAAATATGAAATGCTTACCTTGTTAACGATACGTAAAAACTAGCACGGAAAATTTGATATTATTTTCGATAAAAATGTTACATTATTTGTAGGCCACGGAATGTGGCTATGCATAGCTGCACGTTTGTTTTCGCATCTTTCGAACAATGTACGAGGAAAACTTGAAATCATTTCCTGCATCGATCCCAGAATACCGAGAATTTCATTGTGTTTAGGGAACATTTGTCAGTTTAACGGCCAATAGTTGGCTGCATTTATGGAATTATAAATCCAGCAAGCCGGATATCGTGCAATCGTTGGAGTTTCAAAAAGAGGCGTAAGTGATATAAGAAGCTGCCTAGATGGTGTGGGCGGTAGCGGCCAGACAACAATAAAACATTTCCCGTTTTTTCCCTGAGCTTTTTATGCATTGTTATGATGTTTTTCAGCTTAACCGTCTGCCACGTTCCTTACCAGAGTAAATGGCTGTTTGCCGGCACCGACAAGGGTAATGTGCATATTGTACAAGTGGACACGTTTTCCCTCTCAGGCTACATCATCAATTGGAACAAAGCTATGGAACTGTAAGTGCAAAAACGCGGAGAAATGCGATGTGATGGTGGCGGTGAATACGTTTCCTAGATTGATAGGCAAATGCACTAGGAGAGATTATTTTACATTTTTATGCCGGGTTCGGTGGATCAATCGATCGGGTTGGGCGTTTTATCATGACGGGAGAACGGTCGCATAGATGTGTAGTGGTCCTTGTGGATGATGACCTTGGCTTATGTTGGGGATGGGGTCCGGGGGTTCTTGGATTTCCCGTGTAATGATGTTAAAAAGCATTTGAAAATGGAGATGCTTAAGATGAAACTGTGTAAACAGGGTGTGAATATGCTGTGGTTTCTTGGGCGTGTTTCTTGCCAGAGTAAATTGAATCCATTTGTCAACATGACGGATTTTAACAGCATTTGAGATTTATTTTCAAGTTTGGATTGTATGAATTTGTACTTCAGTAACTTAATGATTTTATGAATATGTATTGGATAGCTCGCGATGGTTTCAGTGCCAGATTACTAATGTCAAGAAATTATTTTAATAAAATTTTCTACCTTATAGCTTTAGTCTTTTTAGGCTAACCACACCCACCAGGAAATTACTGTTACAACTTTGTTCTTTTAGAAATGTGTACATATTAAAAATAAATGCCACTGGTAATTAAATTTCAGAAAGGGGCTCTGAGAAACGACAATTCGTCTTTTGATTGTAATCCATTTTATTATTCAGGCACCGACGTTAGTTGAAAATCTTATATCATTTTATGCGTCATATAAATAGTAACACTTGATTACAGAAGGTGACACTTCATATTTTACAAGCTTAAAAGTATTTGATTTAACGTGACGTAATGGTGACCTTGACGCTGGCGGTTTGATTATGATCGGCGCATTTCTTTGGGCTTTTAATGTTTGGCCATAAAGTTGCATCATTGAAGTTGTAAGGAAAGTGGGAAAATATGAGAATGGCAGTAATATGTGCCTTTATGACTGCCCTTTTCGTCTTTAGCGGTTTTTAACAGCCGATATGTTTAAACTCAGCCTTTTTTATTCGCCATTTGTTTTTCCTTTCCCAGTATAAATATGGCGTACATTGTGAATGCATGATCCATTTGCATAAGCGGCTCACACAAAGCGTGTGCCGGCTAGTCGTTTGGCGGGATGTTGTTCATCGATTTCCTGTGGACAACATGTTTTTGATTATTATACGATATACATAATAGAACATTACTGTAAGTATATTCCCGCTCTACAATTTGCCATCTAAATTTGTTGCTTTCTGTTGCAGCACTAGCCGTAGCCATCCGGGCAAGGTCATACATTTGAGTGACTGTCCTCATGATAATAACAAAGTAAGCGACCCAGTGATTTTGCTTTTTAATGTATCACCTTTTGCGATTACGGAATTCACTTAAAAATTAATATTCCCTGAGAGATGTGCAAGGCGTAAAATATCGTGCAACATTAAATAGTTCTTTGCAGTTAGTCTTAAGGATCTCTAGATAATTAAATAGCGAAAGCCTTAACATGAAGATGCAGGCTTTCGAAGCGTCGTTTTTTTGTTATTACAGTTCTTGTATGGCATAATAATGAAATATTCTGCTTTGTTCTTTTTCCGGAATTCTTGTATCTGTAGAGGGTTTGTTATTTTTATTTGGACTTTATTATCTTGTTTATTCGTATTGAAATTGGAATGGTAGGCATATAGCACAAAATGTTGGCTTACGTTGCGGAATGGAGTACAAAAGCGAGGAACTGAATATCACGCACTTTACGTATTAGATGATGAGTTTCTCCTTATACCTTCCAAGATTATTTTTCAGAAAAGTTACTAGATTCAAAGTGGGTCAATTTTAATTAAACTGATTAAGTTTTAAATTTTCTGCAGACTGTTCCATTAGGTACAGAATTGTGAAAAATCGTTTTTCTGGGATTGTAGTTGCTCATCGGATTTGAAACGGGTTTAATAACTCTGTGGGATCTGAAAACAAAAACCGCCGAACTGCGCTTCCAAGCTTCCGAGGTGAGCTGCGGCCTACACTGGCGACTTTGTAGTGTGAAAATGATCGATGGTGGTTGTTGATTAATGCAGCAGGTAGTCTGATGGGCGTTTGTGTATATGTGTGTGTGGATCTATGTTTGTATGTTTTTTATGATTATTCCATCCCTTCTGGCGCAGACTAGGACAAATGGCGATGGATGGCGTGCATACGTGTGTTTGATGTCTTTTACAGACACTTTGCCATATATCTTGGCATTTCGATGGCAAACAGTTCGTGAGCAGCCATGCTGATGGCACATTAGCTGTTTGGAATGTTAAAGTTCCCGGAAAACCGACTTCCATTACATCGCCACATTGTGAGTGCCACCGCGCCCCGACGGAGACACGGGCAATCAATGGACCGTTACTTAGACTAATGGAATGCTTGCATTACAATCTAATTGTGACAAACTGGCCAGGTTTAACTGCAATTTTACTAAATTTATTATCATTTCTTTCCCATTTTAATATTCATAAAGCGGTGCAAATTAAGTTCCAGTACAAGTTCCATTAATAATAAACTGGGACATTTTAACAGGATTGTGTGGCCAGAAGAGCGTTTCCACGGTATTTTGCTGTTAGTTATCGCTCGATATGTATCTTTTCCCGTGAATTGACCTTTTTATGTCAATACTGTAATGCGATCGATCGAGTGGGTGAATATGTGGTTGATGTGTGTTTTTTCTGTCTTTTAGCTCGTCGTTCCAAAGATGATCCCGTTATTCCCATCGCGCAAGTCGAGTGGAAGAAACACAAGTCAGGGTAATCATCCGTTGTGAAATGATTTCAGTTTTACCCTGAACATTTTACGGCTGTAAACTGCAAAAAAATGTGAATGAGTGCTGTTATTTAGTATTATTATGGCATTATCAGCCTCCCTGTTTTAGGTTGCGATTGGTAAAAGTTGTAGGATCGAAGTTTCTGTAGCTTAGACGTTACATAGTATATGGAATATACTAGGCGATAAAATTCCGCACTCGCTTTTGCTTGGATTTCAAACCGTTATAGGGTTCCAGTTCCAGAAATATCTTTTTCTAGTCATTTTATTTGTATTTTTGTAAGGTCTTTTTATATCTGTAGTGTCTATTTCCATGTGCAGATGTTTACAGATTTAAGATTGTGACCTTAAAATCTCTGTAATTCCTGTCATCGGGTGGAAGATTTCGCTTGTTAGAATTTTGCAAATATTAGGTTGTTTCATCAGTATTCACTGTAATATGAGGTACGAAGCAAATGATAGTTGTTTTAGAAGAAATTCGCCGAAAGCTACTACTGTACCATGTACATGCGGTACTACTAATTTAACTTTTGACCTTTTGAACCAGTCTTTAGCACCTTTTTTTCAGTGATTGCAGTAATGCTCGGTTGATATTTTCGGCACACATAATTCTTTCTTATTGTGCTTTCTGATCGTGAGTAATTCACTGTTATTTATAACCAGCTTAACATAACCATTTTCAGTTTCGAAACATTGCATCGAATGGTTGAAAATGCTGTGGTGAAATCAACAGTTTACTGCGTTTCATGGATGGAAACCTGCCCGATCTGCCGCTAAATTTAGTTATTTGTAGGTCTGAGCCGCTTCTTCTTTTCTCTGGTGGAGTTTCCTTTGAACAGAAAAACGAAAAACTCAGGAATATTAAAACGCAGACCATGACGATCATTCATGGTAAAAGCACAACGGTGCTGGAAATGGAACATCCCATCGTGTGCTTCCTTTGCATACCAGCACAGCCTTGGATTCCAGGTACTGTATTTAATCACGTTTGCGTAGTTCTGCTTCATGGTTATCGTTGAAAATTTTTGAAGATCGATTTATCCCAACGGAACGGTTGTAAGCATTCAGATCATTAATTGTCGCCAAGCAGTTGTAATGTTTAAAAACATCCGTCCAGTATTTTCAAGTGCATAGCGAATATTGTTTCTGCATCCCTGGATGTTGGCCATCCATTTTTACCAGTAACTGCACTATACATATTTTTTTCCATCAATACACTTTAAGATTGTACACTGGACCCGGGGAAAAAGTCATCCGGGACTGCGTAGCGGTTAGAAATCAGAATACGACAACGGTCGTCACAATTGCATTGGCGAGTATGTTGTTAGTAGTATATTTGTGTTCTGCTTGATTCTTACAGAGGGTTATGATAACGAGGCCGTGATGGTGCTGCTGGAGAACGATTTAGTGGCGATCGATCTCGTCACTCCCGGGTACGTGTGCCGCCATGTGTGTTGTGTGTGTGTTTGAAAAACGCCAATGGAGTGGGATGGGCAGCTGTGATGCAGAGAGGGAAGAATGGGAGAGAAGGAGAGACCGAAGCCATGTCTAAAAATATCATCAGGCCTACCTAATTGGACAAATGTGGTTTTTGTCATTCCCTTAGGTATCCACTCTATGAAAATCCTTATCCAATGGATCTCCACGAACCCACGCTACTGCACTGCCATTACGTCGCTGATTGTCCCACGGATATTATTCCCACACTGTATACGGCCGGGGCGAAACATAAAAAATCCAATTTTACAAACAAGGTACATGTATTTGGACGGAACACACAATAGCGATTATACGAGTAGTTTGAATGTATTCTGATCCATCGTAAATAAATATCTAAGTTATAATGTTTCTCTTTTACGACAATTTTGAGACGACTAACCTGGTGAAACTATTTCGTGTTATTATGGCGTAATGAGATTTTCGATTTTAAAAAACAATACGAGTACACATTGATCGAAACTCACGCTTTTAATTAAAAAACTTCAAAGTATATTGTACCTGGCGTGGTTGTACCGTACAAGTTGTAGGTGCCCATGTACGGAAAATCATGAAAACCATTATCTGTTTTATACTGAAAGTTTAGCTGTAGTTGCATTAGCTGGTTATATGACATGACTTCAATATGCACATGTGTTTCAAAGCAGATTTTATAGTTTGTACGCAACACTCAGAAAAAGTTATTGTCTGCGCAGACTGTGATTGTTTTCTCGATACGTTCGTAAGTAGATTTCAGTGAGTAAATACAAGATTAGGCTAGCGTTTTTTTCATACCGTAAATAGCTATCAGCCAGAAACGTTCTGTCAATATGATTGTCAATGATTTTCTTCGGTAATTGTACAGGACTGGCCGATTGATGGTGGAGTATGGGCCACATCCGCCATGGGCTATTCGGATTTTTTATTGACAACGTAAGCCTGCAGTTTTGTGTGTGTATTATTCCTTCCCAGCCCCTCGACCGACAATTGCTGTACTGTGTGTTTTTTCTCCATCGTCAGTCACCATGAGGGCACTATCCGTTTTTGGGATGTCTCATCAGGTCAGAGATTGTAATTGCTTTTGTCAGTTGATGCTGGCCATCGATTATGGAGCAGCATGTTGACTTTGATTGGGGATGATTTGGTTGGTATTGTAATAGCGGCCCTACAACATCTCGACCGGCTGAAGATATCCAAGATCTTCGAGAGGATCAAGAAGGGATCGTTTAGTGTGGAGCCGGTTGAGAATGCCGGGAAGAAGAAGTCAGAGCCGTTGGTGGGAAAATCTTCGTCATCTCTATTGGATGGGCCGTTTGAGATCCAAATGGTCACCCTGGATCCCGAGTGCCGGTATCTGGCTGTGGCCTGCGTGGGTGGATTGGTGATACTATACTTGTGGAATAAGCAGGAGGTGTCGTCCGAGATTTCGGTAAGTTGAGCGCCATAAACATTGAGAACCTGAGAAGAATCTCATCTCTAAGCAGAATTCTTGGTTGAAGTTCGTTACCACAAATTCCCACAATTCGGTATGTAAAGTTATAGTTGAAGCTGATTTATCTGAGGCATAAAGTGGGTGTTGAAAATTTAAAATTAAAAAGTACTCGGCTTTTAATTATGTAAAATAGGAAGGGATCATAGTGCATCGGCGTTGTTGGTGGTGCAAGTTGTTTTCATTTATGCGTTCTGGTACCTAAAAAATTACTCGAAGCAATGGAGAATTGCAATGTGATTTTAGTAAGAGCTGGTTTTTTTTTATCGCGTGAGATGTTGATTAAATAATACTAGAATAGACAAAAATGCGCTACTCGTACAATGGAGTCTGTGAATGGACCTCGAAATGGGTTAACGCTAGTGGATTACGCAATTGTTCCGGTTCCCCGGAGCGGAGTAAATCGTTGTTCACGTTCCTCTCGCGTTAATTTTTTGTACCGCAGCGAATTTGCATTTGCTTCCATAGCGTTTTTCTAAGACGAGTCCGGTTTTGCGCCGTACGAAACAAGGACTGAATCGTCCATTTTCAGCCCCTGTTAACAATAAGAGGCATCAGTATATATTATACGGTGCAATCTGATCGGTCGTTGTCAGCTGCGTGGGGTGCATGTGCTTGTTTGATTGCCTAGGCACTGTAGTGGGTTGCAATACAAAACCGTACAAATCACAATATGGTTAAAGCATACCAAATTTCCATTAGGTACTGGAGATTGCGATCCATTACAATTCCCACGAGAATTCCACCGTCGAGCCGCCGCCGCCATCCAGCACAACTAGCCAGACAACGTCTCCGCCCGTTTCATCAGCCAGCGCCGGAGGCCAGAATTCGCTGGACAAGCCGGAGAATAATGGGCATGCTGCACTGTCGTCGCCGCATCCGACCCGCCGTATCAAAGTCAAGCCGGGTACACATCGCCGCGCAGCCGGATATCAGCCGGTACTGGTCTGCTTCACCCATACCAAGTCTTCCGCAACGTCCAACGATCTGGATACACATCCGGCCACCTCCTTGATCACCAGCCTGGCTGTATCAGCTAAATATGGACTGTAAGAGTTTTTGTGATGCACTAGTTATTAGCAATTACTGCAGCAGCGAAACAGAGGATTTTTGAAATTATAGAACAGGGTCCATTGAGTGACCCAGGACTTGCAGTATGCTTTATGCACCTAGAGATCAGTTATACAACTTTGTAATACACTCTCAAATTAATTTTTAAAAAGCAAGGAGACTTATCATTTCAGTAGGGTAAGTAACAAAAACCTTTTGTAGTAAGGAAGGAGTGTGTTGTAGTGTGGTGGCATCCTTTGCTGCAACAGATTTCAGTATGAAATATCATGGATATGATATAATTTCCGACCACAGGAGCGAGATTTGTAAAATTAGCGTGGTAGATTTTTTAAACCTTTTGGAACCTCTGAAATGTTTTTACATCGCTAGTTTGCATAGGCGAAACCGATGCAGTAACGTTACTTCATGAAAAATGCTAATGGATCACAAAAATTAATGTGCTGAAAAGGATTTGAACCGCGTGGATTCGAAAATGATGCAGAGAATTTAATATGACAACAAAGGTGCTCTGCGGTCGAAAAAGAGCAGGATTGTGTCGTAGAGCGGTGGCGTGTTTATGGGACGGATCAATCATTGTATCGAATGTCGCAGTTTTCAACCGTAACAGCTCGACTTAAAAAATTAGTTTTTAGACTTTTTGGAGCTGTTTTCACGTTTTGTTTTCCCTGAAATGATTTGACACCGCGAGTTACGCAACTGCAAGCGAGGCAGCTGTGCTACTGTAGATGGTAATCAGTTGATGTGGATGGTTGATTTGTGCAGGTTGGCCATCGGAAATGAAATTGGACTGGCTGTGATTGACATTATTCAAAAGCATTGTGTGATGAGCATTGGAACACCGGATTTGTATGGTAAGCCTCTTTTTTCCCCCTCCTTTTCCTTACGGTGGTAGAGAACGAGAGCGAAAGAGCTGCCTGGCCAGCTTAACGTATAACTGCCTAATCCCCACCGATGGCCCTGGATTAATGTCATCCAGGGACCGGTTTCCGGGATTGTTGGCTTGTGCGGCTGATTAGCCAGCGGCGTTGTGCGGATTGTGATTATTGTATACGCGGGGGCTGCATGTTGCTGTTTGGAGTGGGTCAGGTGATGTTATTCCATCTACCTGAGTGGTTCACATAACTTTTGGCCTGCCTTTTTGTGTGTGTGATGGCAGGCCCAATGTTTGTGATGGGAAGTTCGGCACGGAAGGGGAATTTTTTCCCTGAAGTGTTTATTTTCTCCAAGATTGTTTTCTGGCTGTTAGAGAGTGTAGTGCTGCGGAACGAAGACCGTCGAGAGTGCGTGTACAGTGTAATAAAGTGGATTGTTATCTAGGCTCCGGGGATCCGTACAATCGTGGTTCAAAATCGCCAAAGAATGAGAAAGCTTCCCTTCCCGGAAACGACCAGGTAATGCTGTTCTTTTCCGTTGTTCAGATTCTTTTTATGTGGAACAACCGTTTCCTGGTCATATTTGTATTTTAGACACTTTTTTATTTTCCTTACTGTATTTTATTAAAAGTTTTGCTTTAAGCGCTTGACCGTTTAATATTTTATTTTTGTTACTGTACGTTTAATGGTTTCAGTCGTGGGATCCGATAAGTGATCGCCAGCTGCCCACCACCTCCCCCAAACATCGTCCCTCGTCCAGCGCGGCCGCAGTGGGTGTGTCAAATACGAAAGCTAAACATTTAGAGCACAGGCCAAAACTGCAAAGAGATAAGACACACTCATCGCCGCAACAGCGCACCGCTGTCCTGCAGCGGATGCAGAGTCTGGCCTTGTCCTTTGATGCGGAAATGACCAAGGAGTCACCGCGTCGTACCGCCCGGCACAGCTCCAAAGACCGCGCGATTCATTCGAGTTTAGGTAGAATTTTCGTTTGTGCCGGTTTGCTCGTCATGTTGTCTCTGCTCATCGCTGCCGAGACACACCCGTCCATCACTCACACATACGTATATCACACCGCGTTCACATGGTTGTTGTTTTTTGCACCACAGTGTTTTCTTCTGGTCACTCGTTTTCTCAGTTGTCAATTTTGCGACAAATACATTTCGGTCTCATCCGTTTCTTCGGTCACACTTCCATGTTTTTCGGTTTTCACGCTCGAAATCGGTCTGGATGTTCTGGCTGATTGCTGCTGCTGCGTTGCTGCGATCTATGTAATTAGTTCTCTTTGCAGTTTTGTATTCGGCACGGTTTTCACGCTGTGCCAGTTTTTTCGATATTCGTATTTGGTTTGCTGGTGAAGATTGTGCGCTGTAGTGTGGTGATTTAGTTGGGTTGTAATTCGGTTTTTTGTCAATGTTATGCAGAGAAAACAGAGTTATCCCGATCGCGAAGCTCCAGTTCGTCGGAAGTGGATGTTGTCACGTCGGAAGCTATTTTATTTTTGAAATTCGCAGATACATACGGAAAAAAATCGGGTAGGTTACGGTATACTTTACTTTATTATACTTTACTTTATTAGTTTTCGTATTGACCATTTATGGGTTTTGCGCTTTGCTGGTTCTACTAGTTGGAAACTATTGAAATTCCAGTTAGTTTCTTCCTGATCATGTCGCACTGCGTTTCAGAAGGGATAATTTCTCCCTGCCTATGGATTGGGACGGCACTCGGTTCGGTTCTCGTACTGACCTTCCAGGTTCCAGGTTGCTCCTCATCCGTGGATCCTTCCCAGCCCCAGCAAACCCAACGGCTGTCCCAACCTGTGATTGGAACACCTACTGGTAAGTGGTAACGACTTTTTCTAATTCTGCCGAATTCGATGACAGCGCTGTTTAGAAACAGCCTGCGTCACATTTTGATGCATTTGTTTGAGCCATGTTTCAACATACGCGTATGTTCGATTAAAAACATTTTATAAATTAAATTATATATTTTATAAAAGTATTTAAAAATAATAAAAATTATATATTTTATGAAAGTATTTTATGAAGTTCACCAAATTATGGTGGTGACGTGTTGGGTTTGTTACAGGAACACTTTTCCGGTATAATAACAGCGGAGCAGTAATAACCATCGGATTCCTGGATGCCCGTGGTGCCATATTAGGTGATTCCAATATATCACCGCCTCCTTCCGCCAGCTCAACAAAGGACGATCCTAGTATGGCCTACTTCACCCACTGAATCGCGAACTTTTCGGAAAAATTAAATTAATACTGGTTTAAAAAATAATTTTATACTATATTTTTTTTGTTTTACATAATTTAATCATTACAAATTGTGTGTTTGTAGAATCTTCCGCTCGCCCGAGTGATGCTAACGCCGCGGCCATTCCACCCTTGGCCAATCTCCTGGCCGACTCCCGGCACATTCTTGTGATATGTATGGAACGACAGATCCGCACATTTATACTGCCCCATCAAGGACTGTATCAGAAGCTCAAATTAACAGATCAAAATAGCAATAATAATAACACATTCCTCAAAGCGTCCGTAGAAAGGATCAAAGGTACTTGTTAACTTGAGCCTAATTAAAATGCGTGGTCATTGCCGATATGCATGGATTTTCTGTAGATAACGCCTGCATCTTTACCTATATGTCCGCCGGAAGGATTGCAGTATTCTCCTTGCCCACCCTCAAACCGCTACTCGATGTTAATGTATCGCAGCCTAATGACTTAAGGTTCGTCTAGCAAATTCTAATGCACTATATATAGCGCTATTATTATAAACGTGCATTTTATTCTGTAGAATGGCGCGGACATTGTCGTTCAGCGAACACGGCAATGCTGTGTACTTGGTAACCAAATCCGAACTACAAAAAGTGACGTTCGCCGCAGAGACAGCGTAGGTGACAGGTGTTTTGTCATATTGCTGTTTGTGTTGACATGATCCAGACATATGTGTATCGCCGTAGTGCAGTGTCATTTGTCTTATTTTGGGTCGCAATGACCATAGCTGCAGGCACGACACCACTGCTTTTAAATTATATTTTCGTAGTGCATGTCTGAATCAATTGAGTGGTTGCCTGTATTCCACACGGGAAGTAGTGGAAACATCGTCGAAACCGTCCGTCGTCCCGTCTGTTGGCTTCTTCAAGGGATTAATGAGCACGGTATCCACTGTGCCCACCCTGAGTCCTGCCGAACAGCTTGCCAAGGACCGTGAGGAATTATGTAAATAAATTAACTCGTTGAAAGTTGTAGCTGTAATGATTTTGCATAGTTCTGCTATTTGCAACTTTGTATGGCATAGTTGGGGACGCCGCTGGGAAAGGATCGCGCGCTCTGGCCCGCCATGTTCCTGGTACATCGGCCATCGACCAAGCACGCATCAGCAGTCAGGGAGCAACCAGTGAAATTTCCAGAGCTAAAATGGTACGAATTAAGAAAATACATGTAATGAAACAGGAAAACGATCGCACTGGTTTAAACTCAAACTGGAGAGCAAAATGTCGTTTTTGTGAGATTTTGGTTCCTTTTTTCGTAAAATGTGATTTTGCTGTAGGCCGCCAGTAGGATTTTGATTTGCATTGAGTTGTTTTGTAGTTGGCTTTGGAGCGCGGTGAGAAACTGTCGGAGCTGGAGGATCGCGCTGAGCAGATGCGAATGCAGGCGGAAGCCTTTGCGGGGAATGCGCACCAACTGGCCAGTAAATATAAGGACAAAAAGTGGTATAAGATGTAACTTGTTGCGTTCCTCTGGTCCTCATACGAAAAAGTTCGGATGTGGGTTATTTGATGTCGATCCGGTGGAACTCTGTGACTGGTTATAATTGCACTGGTTGGATTTAAATTGGGAACTTCAGTATAATTTTGTGATTTGTCAGATTTAATTAATGCTGGTTTAAAGAACACCGGTGATATTGTACAACTGTACCGTGTACATATCTCGCGGGAATATATTATGGCACTTCCGCTGCGTGAAAATAAAGTTGATATGCAGATTGAGCTGTTCAATGTTTTGATAAGATACAGGTGTAATACTTTGTATTTTCATAGGATCCAAGCCATAACTGTATTACAGCAAACTTGCATTTTAAAGAAATCGGAAAATCTGACTGGAGCATAAAAAAGAATAAACCACGTAGAATTCATTGTTTGTTGCGACATGCGGAGTACTTAAGCTTTGTTCCAAAGTCGAAACAGATATCTATACTAAAAATTAGCCAGAGAAGCATATAGATATATCTGATCCTAATGCATATTTATAATTGTTTACATTAAAAAAGGATTGCTTTATACATAGTAAAAAACGCACAGTTCATAGCTCCAAATCGGGAATATCCATGTGGAATGGACAACTGGTTAACACATTATATATTTGCATTGGTCGAAACCGTCAGCCTCGAGATCTTTGTATGGTGCACGACCTATTTCCGCGGCTTGGATGTAACCAGCGACAGCAGTCAATACCACAGCGATCCGGACTATAAATTTGCGGAGTGAAACCATTTTGGATTGTTTTGCACACTAAAGGTCATCCACAGCAAATTTAGAAATGTCGGTATGAAGTATTCAGCGTTTCGACAACTGAAGTGTAGCTGCATTGGAAACAAATCGCTTATATGCGGATCGTTCAGTTGTTGTATTTGAAACGGTCTTTGTATTTTGCAAGTACTTTCCTCTGTTAGTTAGTAACTGACCAAGAAGTATTTTTAAGCATCAAAAAGTGATGCCTGTGGCATTGCAGCCTTCTGAGAATTTCGTGACTGGAATACCAGAGTATATGTTGTTATGTAAAATTGCAAATATCCAATAACAACCTCGATAACTACAGATACACGCTGTGTTTCTTATTTAGTGTCTACATGACGTTACAAAATTTTATGAACGGAAAATTTCGAAGAACACGGTCAACGCTTGTTTTCGTTCCGATTGTGTGACTAAAGTATTTTTCGCAAATTGTATGTCAACGTATGTTATTGAAAACTGTTGCAAACGTCAACATAATGTGGATCACACTAGCAAAATTCGCTGTCCGCAATAAGACAATGTAACCCTCCTCCCCGAATTACGATCTTGCATTAGATTGATCCGTGATTGTTCTACTGCAAAATTGTTCAAAAAAAAACTGTTTACAAATTTAATATCGCCAACTATATATTAGTGGAATACAAAAAGTATGTGTCTGCTAAAATAATTCAATCTGTTGCACCATTTTAACCTACTATAGATCTTTTGGAATTCGGAATGGTAGAGGGGCCGTTACTTAGAGAGGAATACCTTGATTAAAGCGGCAATAGGTATCATTATTTTATCGTTTTCTTCAAGTATTTCAAACCCCTGGCAAATTTTTATTGCTAAATCAATATTTCATTTAAACGGTTATGTTGTCCTTTGACTCCTGTTTCGCAGTCTTTTGGGAAGTTTTCATCATATTCAGTTCATATTGTTTCATTGTTCAAAACTTCAATGTAAGTTGATTTCCGTCCATGCATGCTATATATGGACCAGATAGCTTCCCTCCATTGCACTCATTCAATCTCGGCGATCTTCTAGATCTGGCATATGCATGGCACGCTGGCCTGAATCCGAGTTTGGGCACACAGTTCGGCTGCACAGCTAACCGTCGAATAGTCTAAAAATTCCTCCAAAACTGGAAAGGTCACGAACCCATGAATGATGAGAGCGTGATATTACCGTCTAGATCTGGTGTCGTAGTATCACCAACTGGAGCGGACTGGTTACAGCGAATGCAGGCGGATCCCTTGTGGCGAAATCGGGGGAATGACTACTAGTTTGGTCATGACTACTCAAGAGCAAACCGGGGTAAATATTATGACCTTTTGCTTTTGGATTGTCTTGCGAAAGGGTTCGGATGTGGACTGATTTAACGGTGCGCTTTGTAACTGGTTATGACTGCTGTGGTTGAGTTTCAATTGGGAACTTCAACATAATTCTGTGATTTGTCAGATTTAGTCAACAGTGATGGTTTAAAGAACACCGGTGGTATGGTATCGTATCTGTACAACTAAGCAATCTGGGTGAACCACCTGCAGAGAATTTATTTTTGCACACTGCTTGCTTGAAAACCGTCTCACGTAAAAGTACGAGTATAACTCGCTATTCTTTGTGCAGATTCAGATTAAGTTAGGAGATTTAATCAAACTTTAGTCAGAGAAGGATACGACATTAATATATTAATGCACATGGAAAATGCACAGTATATTAGAGTATACTTGAAGTATGGAAAAGCGCACATTATAGTACAGTATTGTATTGTACATACATACATATATCATAATTCATGGAAAAACGCACAGTATAGTACACAGCTACAAGCCGGAATATCCATTTGGAATGAACAGCTGGTTAACATGTAAGTATATATTTGCATGGGTCTCCATTAGCCTTCTTGTGTGGTGCCCGGCCTATTTCGGCGGCTTGGACGTACCCGGCGACAGCAGTCAAAACCACAGCGATCTGGACGAGAAATTTGCGGATTGAAACCATTTCGGATTGTTTGCAAATTAAAGGCCATCAATAACAAAACTTAAAAATGCGACATCAAGTTGTTGGCTTTTAAAAATTTAAGTGCAATATCATTTGAAACAAATTTTAGGCTTTTATATATCGTTGAGCATTCAGTTAATGCGTTTTGACCGGTCGTTCGTATTTTGCAGGTATTTTCCTTTGTTGGTATATCTATAGTGACCGAGTATTTTAAGCATCGAAGTGTGGTGCCTTTGGGTATTAGTCTTCTGACAATTTCGTGACTGAAACACTACGAGTATATAGTATGTTGTTCTGTAAAATTGCACAAATTTAACGTTCAATAACGACCTCGATAACTGTGCGTTGTTTTTCCTGTTTACCGTCTACATGACGTTTCGCAATTATATGAACGAAAATTTTCAAGAATACTGTCAAAACTTGTTTTCGATACGGCAGTGTAGGTGTCTTTCACAAATTGTATGTCAATGATGAAAGATTATTATTAAAATCAGTTACAGATTTACAATTACGTAAAATACCTAGACCCAGTTGCACCAGCCAATTCAATCACTAAACGTACAACTGTCTATAAGACGCTATTACTTACCCTCACAAAAGTGCATTTAAATTCAACCCTGTGTTGTATTAAAGCGCATTAACAAAGAAATCATCACCTTTCAGGAAAAGAACTACGCTCAACATATGGAAGTGTTGTATTAATCCGCTTTTGTGCATCAGAATAATCTGGTTTGACCTTATCGGGGTTCATACTCGAGGTTACCGTGGCATTATCCGGCACCAGCCAGCAACTGGAGCGGATTGATATTCCCCGCTCAAGAAGAACAACCCCTAAGAATACAATTCACTAACAATATTGTAATATGACATGCTGGTACGGTGACCTTTCGGTACACAACTGGTAAAAATTAATTTCCTGTTGGCCATCACCACAACATATTCTTCCAGTAAGTATTTCTGCGCCCAGTGTAATCATATACAGCCATTACGTCGCACCTTATCCGTTACAAACTTACAACATCGAACAGCAAATTACCAGGAAAGCGGCTTTTTTACAGATAAATCACCGAGCAGAAAGGCTTACTTATTACGATAACACACAAAACAGACGGCATGTTATGTCCAACCCATTACGGAGATGAGGGCCTGCGAATAATCGTAACCCGGGCAACACTGCTGACGTGGGTTGCGGCATAAGCGCGTTGACCTTTCGGCTTTCGGGGTCAGCATTCTCCTTTACCGGCTGCTGGTACGTGAGCGCTTCATCCTCTGCATCCGCCGATTCGCTTCCCGATGTCGTCAAACTTACGTCGCAGCTCCTGCAGGCGGTACAGCCTTAATACCGCTCAGCCTGGCTGCAGTGCCATTGGGATGGAGAAGACGTTTTCGGTTCGCAGCTGCAGTTTGTACGCGGCCGCCGTGTCCTCGGCGTCGTGGATGGGCGCTTGCTCTTTTCTTAGCTCGCGGCGAATCTCTCGCATACGGTCCGGGGATGAACGCAGTAAAGGTAGCGGTATGGTCAGGTATTGCTCCAGTTTATCGGCGTCGGTGATCTGCTGCTTGTAAGCGGCACTTTTCCACAGCTTCCATGTCTGCGCACGGGCTTCGGCGAATTCCTGGCGAATTTTCTGCTCTTCGTCGGGAGTTAGTTGGACTTCAGGGAAGCATGTGACATTGGTGGTGGTCGTTGTGGCGTTGGTGTCGATGAGGAGTGGCGGGATATCGGTATCAACGGGAGCGGAAAGCACAAAAACTCCCATTGATAAACTTAGCAATGCGGTTGTCACAGCAAAAATTTCCACATCATAGAGCACCTGAAATACAGCCTTGCCATGCCAAGTTCGGACAGTTGCATAAAATAAATGTGAAAATACTTTTGTTCGTCCTTGTGTTTCTTTTTTAACACTTTTCTAGTGTAAATTTTTATTGCGGATCTAGCGATACCAAATCTGGAATAATTATTATGACATATCACTAAGCAGATAGGCTGTGGTCGTTTTTAGGGTGCCTATAACTGCCCCTCTAGAAACTTCATGATACTGAATTTTTCAGTGAATTTTTTTGAAAACTGTATAACTGCTCGAATGGTATCCTTTACGCTTCAGCAACTCAGCCCTGCGCGATCGGCCCTAGAGGTGACCCCAACTCAAAGTTCGTCTCCCGTAGACTTGCATGTTACAACACACGTGCCGAAGAACGCGGTTGCCTAGCGCACAAATGTGGAAGATTCGAAGTTAACCGTTTCCACGGATGAAACATGGGTCCAGCAACAAAATTTTAATGAATCGACAATTATCTATCATGAATGCAGGAAGGTGCAAGTGCCGGACAACTGGATGAAGAATCTAACAAAGCGGTCACTATAAAATGTTATGATTGATATCATAATGCGTTGGTACGAAACGCGGGTGTTTTGTGGGAATGAAAACTTAGATTAGACGGACAACCATCCATAAATAAGATTTTATCAAGATTAGACTCCTCCGACGGCTGTACGGCGAGCGCCCGAAAAAGATCATCCTACGTTTTGGAGGTGCCCGCAGGAAGGCTGCAAAGGTCACGTAGTCTTGGTGGAAATCGGGCTGTGTTAGGCGCCGTCCGGAAGAGAAGCTATGAAGAAGCGTTAACCAACAGGCTACGAAAATCTGCTACAAAACTGACGTAATACTAATTAATGGCCATAGTCATTTCAAGTTGTGCTTCAGTATTAGGTATAAAAAGACTTTAGATCAGTTAAGTCTGAGGCGCGAATCATAATGAAAGGTCACGGATGCGAAGTCTCTAGACCGTCATAATTTCAGCATGAAACTCAATATCAACTACAAAAACTTGCAGCGTCCCTTGAAATATTCTTGATCAATAACACATATCTCTCTCGGGATAGTATCGCTTAAATGCGCAGGTTTCTCACAATATTCGTAAGCGTTCGATTTAGTCCTCAGCTGCACTGGTAAGTGCGAAATGATGCCGTGACCACACTTGCTCAGCAGTCAGCACTGCTCAGATTCAGCAGTAATACTTTCTACGCAAGTACAGACTGTAATACATACTATATATCTGTACATGTAGCACACACAAGTGGTCACTCACTAATATTGTTTGGAAAGCTTGGAGTACCAAAGCTGATGCAGTGCTACTGGTATTGTACACTACAAACAGGCACATCATTATTCATTGTGTTCGAGATTACGTTGCTGTATGATGGTCGGTGAAATCGGAAGTGAAGATGGGCAGACAACTCAAGATGTGAATAACAATCCGCTACAAGTAGATCTCTGAAATACTCCACCGGCGACTGCATACGAATCTGAACAACGCTACAATGGTCCATCGAAAAAAATACTGCCGACGTATAACAGGACGACCACTTATTACATGTGCCCATAACTATGTATATGATATACGAATGGGTGCTATGGAACTCTTTTACAAATTGACAAAATTAATAATTCACTTTTATCCCTATAATACAGTAATTTTTTTAAATACAGTATATGCAACAATTTCGCTTGTTTTGATGTAGGTTAGAGTGAAGATTGCTGCATTGTCCCGCGATGCCATTGTCCAATTGTCAGTTGGTTTTATTGTCATCAGAAATGGCCCTCACGGCGCACGTTCACTGTTGCTGATTGGAACAATTTCAACTGACCGGCTATTACGCTATTCATGCGTCAACAACGCACCGGCGCTGGCTGTTATATGTACGATGCAGTGTTGTGTTTTTGCGCGGATTCTGATCAGCTCTGCGGAGATTGATGGACAAGAAAATTACTGCCGGCCATACACTGGTGTGCGGTTATTTTGTGTCCGTGTACACGATACCACGCTTTCCTCATTTACTGGGTAATTGTGCTCATCAAATCCTCAGCTCCTGTCAAGTTTTTGCCGATTTGCGGCATTATCGACAAAAAATACATGCGTCGTGAAACTCTGCGTTTGTAAACGCAGAAGTTGTCGATTGAGAAAATGGCAGCATTTATCGTACGTTTACCTTCGTTTTGAATTTGATGCGGAATCGCTCTGCCAAAACCAACAGGTAAGCTTAAGACAAAAATTTTGCTAAAATTGCGGCACTGAATTATGTTTATAAATTTATTATTGTGTTGGTATATTTTAGGATTTTCCTAAATGTTTTTATAGTTTTTTTATAGTTTATTGAGTAAAGAGATGCAATGGTATATATGCAATTATACAAATTTCTGCGTTCATTTACTAGTTGCATCTGAATTATAAAACTAAATGCGCAATATACATATAATAATACAAGAATATATTATGTAGAAGTATATATACAGTAACTATACACGTTTCTGCGTTTATTTACTAGTTGCATCAGAAAATTAAATGCGTAACGGTTTTACGTGCATAACAGCCAATTTGTTTAACGTTGTAACGTTTCCAATAGTAAATTATTTGTCTTCGCTTGAGTAATAGTTTTGTAATTTCATGTAAAATGCTCGAACAGTTTCGTATTACACACGCTATTTGTCGAATATTTGTTAGCGATATGTGCATAAATTATGCAAGTGCTTTATCAATCCTTAACGTTACACCTTGGCTACACTATCAATATAGGCGATAACAATAAGTCAACAATTAAATGTCCCAATAAATAGGCAATCTTTGTACCGTAATAAACCAGTTGGAAGTTGATAAAGCCGTGAGTATATCACTTTTCAAAAAGAATTCATTGGCCACATACGCAGCATGCGCCGATGAGCCACCGTTACCACAGTATCACTAACAGCAGCTGCGTGAATTATGGCACCATAAAAGCGGATTTAATAAATTCATGCTCCGTTGTAGGTATCAAGAGCGCACTCCTTTCCCTGCGACACAATCTGTATAATACTGACCGTCCGTCGGCGTAATAAATTTTCATAAATCCCCGCCTCAATTTCCAGCCGGGTTGTAAATTGATTGACTGCGCGACACCGCACGAGCCGGTCAGCGGTAGCAACAGCAGCCACCGCGGCAGACCATCGGCTGCTGTTTTTCGTCCCGGCAGTTCAGCGAGCAAAGTGGTGCAACGTGTGTGTACACACTGTATCGCTTTTGCATACAGTGAGATTCTTTTATGTCGAATGCAGTGGAATAAGATTCTATTATCACTCCGGGAATATTATGCATTTTACGGGAATATTTATCCTATTTCTGGTATACTGGACGAGCGTTAGTGGACAGAATCCGCCGGCACCCGGCACCCATGACCCCACGTTAGAAATTCACCGACGGCGATATTGCCGGCGCTGTAATTGGGAGTATTCTGTGTACGCTGGTGTTGACCTGTTGCGGATTTTTTGCCTGGTACTGGTTTTATATGCGGAAGCGTGATGGGAAGATCGATTTCGAAGGTGAGTATATGTGTGTGTATTTTGCGCGGATGCTGTAATGAAAGCAAAGAAACGTGTCGCAATCCTTTGTTAGCCGTGGATTGTTGTCTTTAAACATAGACTTGTTTAATCTTCCTTGTGCGCTTTCTTTTGCCTTCGACCTTGTACGTAACACCGTCCGGTAGTAATCATAATGTGGTCAAGTGTAATTCTGACGATTAATCATAATTTTGTATTGATTTTGGCTACCAATCTGCCCGACAACAATATTACCGCTTTATATGAACTATAAGACAGCCTAAATACGTGGAATATTACCTCACCTGAATGTACTAATGTGAATAAAAATAGCTAGTGTGAATAAAAACACTAGTTTCACTAACATAAAACAAAAATATACCTTATATTTTTTTGGTATTACGTTAACGCGCAGAGCAATAAATCCAAGCTTCTTGCATATCGTGGAAGACGATTCACAGACTTAAGAAAAAAATATTAATCGTTATCAATGTCCATATTATTTGTTATTGCTGCTCGCAGAAGAAGATTTCAAGTCTTTCTTATTTTCGTTTTATCGATGCCAAATTGAACTGGCATAACACGTTTATAGGATAATGCTCCAGTTTATGCGATAGACTGATTAATCACTTGACAATGACCCTGTGTTTCGATAGTGATATTAGTTAATTCATTATATGAATTGATCCCGATTAGATCAGGTTATACAAACAGCAATTGACCAGCGGAGCTCCGTTAGAACTGATTATTTGCTCTATATATTCATCCGTTCAGTTATGTTATTTATATACTTATATACGGTAGCGGATTTTTGTCAAAGTTTTGTGCGGACTGCTTGATCAAATTACTGGTGCATTCAGTTCATTCCGATATTCCGTATATACGAGTACTTATATTAACGAAAACTATTCCAGTTTTCTCGCAGTCAGTTCTGTGCTATCTATACACGTCAAACTGCCATTATGGTACATATACACGGTCGTAGTGAAGTGGCGGTTTGCGAAAAGATATGTGCTATCTGATCTCAGTTTAAACTTACACGCTTGTTAATATTTTTGTGAGAAACAACGAAACTAATAAAATTTCTTCAGAAAATGCTAAACAAAATGCTATGCAGATTAAATTTTCAGCCGAAATGAGTGACCACAGAATGAGCGAACAGTAGAATCATTAGCCGAATTAACTTTTTAATAGCGTACAGTGTACACGATTTTCACGATCGAAACAACCAAACTATTTGCCCTGTTTGTAACTTTGTAGATGCCAGTAGGCCGGGATACCGTGTCAACATGGGAGCGTCAAATGTTACTCGAAAGCATTTAATTACTGACGCCGATGTTGGTGTGGGTAGAAAACACCATGGTCCAACGAAGGCTTATGTCAATGCCGGCTTTCAAGATCCAGACGATGGTCTTCATCTGGTCTACCAGCAAAAGCAGCATAAAGGCCATAAAAACCAAAACCGTACCAAAGGTAAGCTGATATGGTCCTACTAATCGATCTGGTTGTGTTTGCAGTGTTCCGACTTACATTTGCAGACTCCTGTTGCTGTTCAGCGTTATTAAGCTAGAACATCCTCTTTGACTTGCAAAATTGATATACACATTCAATAATCTATCATTTCTCTAAATAGTACTTCATGTAATTTTGTTGGAAAATATATACATACGTAAATTGTTTATAGATATCTGTGCTACAATTACGATAATTGCAGACACTTTGTATAACGCACGTTACTATCGAGAACTCAGTAATCGCAGAATTCAAGTCGAATGCCGTCCGCGTAGAATAAAATTTGTATGCATGGCTATGAGACTGCAAATAATTACAGCGCATTTATCAATTAAATCACTTTTTCACATGCAATGTATTTTTAAAGAGAGCAACATTCTTTATGTCGTAATTTTACGAAGGTACAATTATAGTCTGAGAGCATCAGAATTCGTTTTATCTCCAGCGTGGGTAAGCCGACTATATAGTTCGACATTGCACCGAATAATTGTGTAATTGCCAAACAGTCTTTTAAATTAAAGTGTTACTTTCCTGCGTGGAGTTAATGTGAAATTTATCGGAGCGCGGATGATGATGGCGGCATAATATGGGAACTGTATTGATCCTTGGCCTGTATTTAGCACCATTAGTTGTTCAGGCGTGAGACACCATAAAAAACACACGCACACACAAACAATCTCTAAACACTGACTCCACCCGGCTGTATCAATATACAGACTAGCTTGGAAAATCTGTTAAACCCGCTTGTAAACTGGCGGATGACAGCTGGCTACAAAAATCATCTTAATTGATTAAAAGGATTTTTCTGTTTAATACATCCATATACTACCTGTATAGATATACAGACTGTACATGCCGGTTTTGGATTAGAAGCAAGCCGTACGTAGCCAACAAAATAAATTTAATTTGCATGCGCGTAAATCCGTCACAGCAACTAAAAAATAATAATTATTAATTTCATTTATACGGTACATTCGACAAAAAATTGGATTCGCTACTTCCCAGTCTGCCTGTAACATTAGTTACAATTTTGCCGCTAACAGCACAATTACAGATGTATTGCATACAATGAATTATAATAGTAATGCAAATAAATTGTGCAATGCATACGAATGATGTGGACTTTCTCACAGAATTAAAATTCCATAAATCAAATACTGAGATCACGTCAATTTCCTCGGAAGGAGGATTGTTTATACGATTATTTACACAATGTTGGTATTTTATAGATGGCGGGGAAAGAACGCGCGATCACACTGGAAATGCGCAAACAGCACCGGCCGGAGCGGTGCGCACACAGTCAACATTACACCAACGAGTTCCACAGAAATTCCACTCGAAAAAGGTATGGTCCGTCGGATGTTTGCCTGTACTGCCGTGCAATAAAATGTTCTGAAAATTTAAAATAATTTCGAAAGTGAAAGTTTGCTTTTCTAGAGGTTACGCATGCCAAGCTTTATTGCCCTTCATAGCGTCCGTGGCTTAAAACGCCATTCGTATCACTTATAATATTACTTTTATATCTTCTTTGAATAAAAGCTTTATTAAGATTTTACAGTAACCTTCCAAAAATTTTTACAGTAACCTACAGAAAATTTTTACAAAATGAATGCAGAAAAATATAAACCACGGTACATGTGCACAAATTAAACCGCCTTGGTATTAAATTTTCTGAAACTAAAAACGGATATTGCAGTTTGTAAGCAAGATAAAAAAGCATGCATTATAAAAATAAAACATTATTTCAGGATCGCGTAAAAGTGAAATTACGAGGACACGACTTTACCGGTCTGGGGTTCAACATATGCGGAAATCTGCGCGATGGGATTTATGTTCAAAATGTGTTGCAGAAAGGTCCAGCAGCGGAGTCGGGACTGTTGGAACCCGGTAATTCAATGGGGACACTGCGCAACATTAGATTTAATTAAGGTTTTTCTGTCCCTACTTCAAAATTTTCCCGCACACACCAGACGTATAAAAACTTAAGTTAAAAAATAAAAAAAATTTAAATTTTATTGAGAAATTAATTATTCCATTATTCCATGCACTAATTGCGTTAAGAGGTCAGATTTAACATTTAACACCTGGAATATTATGTAAGATATTTGGTTTGTACGTATATTCCGGTGTTTGGTTAAGTACATGTTCTAATGCAACACTGTTGATTTCGGTGACATCTTGCTGTTTTTTCGCAGGTGATCGCATAATGGACGTTGAAGTGTCTTTCAAGAATATCGTATTTGAAGATGCCCTGACTATTCTAAGCTACGCATCGCCGTACGACGTGACACTGGCCGTCAAAAAGTATGATTTTACAAGGTCATCCGCGGCATCCTCCTCGTCGGCATCGGCCAAATTTAGCCGTCGCAGCTCGAGTTTACAGGCCCGTTCAACGCCGGCCGCAGCCGGGCAGTTTTTCGACGGCATGTCTTTCCCGCTGAAGCGCAGTCAGAGTATTGGTGATCTGGATCAGATCGCCAAACGCGATTCATATTCGTCCGTTGAGAGTAATTCCACGGTCAGCCGTAATGCGGGTCCACAGCATAGCAATCTGCAGCCGGCATCCGCCAGACAAGCGCGAGACACGTCGCCGCAGTCGGCGGTTAGCAGGTACAGATACGAGAGCAACAACACGACGACAATAAAATTACTATTATTATTATTATGCATTCTGAATTCTAGTGTTAACTCGATTTAATTACTGTAATTTGTTTCTGCTTACGGAAGATGTTGATTCTTAACAACTTATGTCGTACGCATGCGTGAATATTTAATGTAAGCTATTTAGCCACCAAAGCACATGTTTAGTGAGCGACATAATGCCTTCTTGCAGGTATAAAATTTTTTTAAATGATACTTGAGAAAAAATTTCTTCCTTCAAAATCCATTTATATTTTCTGCTTGCTGATAAAAACGCGACCCTATAGATGATCGCACGCTTAAAACTGGTACCTAAATCGCATGAAGGCGCGTAACGTTTATTGCTGCTTCTGCTTCGTACGAGTACGTGTACGTGCCGCCGTGTTTCAGTAATCCGCTGGTAAAAATATAACAACTCAAATTTTTTTGTGCTAAACTGAAATTTTAATTTATTCATTTAATTACGAAAACCAAACCATTATAATTTGTAAAGACCTCCCTCACCCTCATTCATTATAGACACTATTTTTCGCTCAGTGCGTCTAACCCGTTGTAATAATAATTATTAATTAATGTTAGTTGGCTTGCTTTAATTTCAGCAGCACTACTGCCAGTTTTGCAAGTAGTGTTAAAATTACTTATATCCTTAGGGTTAACGAAAAGCAACTTTTCATGAATAACTTTTTTTGGATTTCTAGTGTGAGGAACCTCCAGCAGAGTTCTCCCGCCTCTTCCATTCGTCACATCGTCACCCGGCCGGGCCACTACACCAACGGCACCGCCAACGGTCACGGTACCTGGCATTCCCGCGATAGCTCCACCTCCAACAGCCTCCTCCAGCGCCACGAAACCCCCAAAGGGCTTAGTGAGGAGACAGTGACCTTTAGCCGTATCGGCTCGCCCAAGAAGCGCGCTCCGCCACCACCACCCTCGCCTCCGCAGCTCCCCACCCCCTCTCCACCGCACATGGCGCGGCCGTTCAGTTCGGTCAGCACATCCAGTTCATCCGGGATACATCGACAGAGCCGCACTATGCCCGCTCGCGGGTGGATGAGGACGAGCGGCGTTCGTATGAAGAATCATCCATGGTCAAAGAGATCTTCCGGGAGTTGCAGGACCATGACCGGTCGCCTGCGAAACGAATAGTGGATCCCCAGGGAAAACGACCGCTAAGGGAATATCAGACGTTTGAGATGGTCTGGACGGAAGGGTCAGAGTCGGAGACATCGTCGGTGTTGGAAAAAAATACGGATGTAAGACTAAAAACTTTGGAGACATCGGATTACGCAATGCCAGTTTAGTTCTCACGGTTATTTCAATCAGTATATAACTACTCGAGTATGTTTCAAATTATAATATACGAGCATATCGTACTGTAAAGGATAATCGATTGTCGACAAGGCGTAATTTTGAAGTTTGCGGTGTATATCTTAATGCACTCGTATAACACTGGTTTGCAACTGTGCAATGTGCATATAAGACGTTTTGCTCCGCATTTATTAGAAAATTTTTTTAGTTTTACAGATCAGTTAATTAGTACGCTGCACGTATGGGTGGGTATAATTAGATTGTGCATTTAATGTTCCCCGTTAGTTCGTAAATTTACTGTAGACTGTGCATAATTTTTACTACACAGAATCATACACACCGGAACGTGACCCGGCACGAAAGCGCCTTCCCGGCGTCCGACCACACCTACGTCCGGCAAGTATATACGACATATTCCCACCCCATCACCCATCCCGCCGACCATGACGAAGAAGCCTATTCCCCACGATCTCCCCATTTTATCCAAACATCCGGCGGCTCCAAATTAATCCTGCCGGTTAACATGGAGCCCACACCTTCCGTATCGACGCCGACGTCATTTACGTCGGACGAAGAGTCAGGTCCTAGTCGCCAGTATCATAGCAGTCACGCTTACAAAAGTGTCCCGGGGACAGATCCCCTGCCGCACGGAACGCAGTTTACCCAGACAAAACCCCGATCGACTTCGTTAAAATATTGAAAAAAAGCCATTCAGCGCGAAGAGTGTGGATATTTGTCTGTGTGTTTAAATCGTATATTCGAATTTGCTGGTTTGTTTACAAAGTTGAGAGCTTTCTAGTTATTTTTGTGTGAATTGTGCTTGTATTCAAACGTGGACACGTGGTGCAAAAGATTGCATATTTTATGAGATTTGTTTAATTCAGTGGAATTTTTTTATATGTTTCAGCCAGCAATTCAGAGATGACGATATTAATTATACCGGGCTGCTCGTCGACGTTGCCATTCAACAATCAGGCTTACTGCCTGCTACTGTATATATAATATCATTTTTGCATTTGATGTTAAACTATACTGCAAAATTATCAAAAAAGCATCCGTCACTAAATTATACTACGTACATTAATACACAAACCGTTGCAGTTTGTTTCCTGTAAGTGCAATCAAGAAATCTAACGAGAACCAGTATGCATATTCCGTGAAAATCGAAAACCACTTTAATGTATAACAGTGCGCTTTTTTTTGTCCATTTGCAGTGTATTGTTCATGTACAGAATACGTACTGATATTTTCCTCGAATCCCACTGCACTTCAGAGGCGCAATAGCGGGATGCTAACCACTTCAGACGACATAAAAGAGGCAGTTTATGCTTTTCCGACTGTTATAATTTGGCTGACGTACTTTTTTGCTCCGTTATATCATTTTAGCTTAAAGCCGTTTCTAAGTGGATGTGACCTCTTCGCAGACTTCCCATTAACACCAATAATACATATCAACTGCCAGTACAGAGCTTTGTATTTACGGAACGTTATAATTATCTACGTTAGTATTTCAAAACCACCATTATGTGGCAGTTTGTTGTGACAGCCGTATTGCTAAGTTTAGCGCTGGTTCTTTGTGCGCATTCCGCTCCCGTTGACACGGATACGCTAATTCCCATCGACACCAACGCCATAACGGCTAGCACCAATATAACCGGCTTCCCTGAAATCCAGCTAACGCCCGACGAAGAGAAGAAAATTCGCCAGGAATTCGCCGAAGCCCGAGCGCAAACGTGGAAGCTGTGGAAAACTGCCGCTTACAAACAGCAAATCACCGACGCCGATAAACTGGAGCAATACCTGACCATACCGCTGCCTATATTGCGTTTATCCCCGGAACGTATGCGGGAGATTCGCCGCGAGCTAAGAAAGAGCAAGCGCCCATCCACGACGCCGAGGACACGGCCGCGTACAAACTGCAGCTGCGGACCGAAAGCGAGATCGAGCGATTTCTCCATCCCAACGGCACTGCATCCAGACTGAACAGTATCACGGCTGAGCGGCTACAGGAGCTGCGACGGAAGTTTGAAGAGCGGCGGGGAGAGAATCGGCGGATGCAGAAGGAGGAAGCGCTCAAGTATCAGCCGCCAGTGGAGCCGAAAGCTGACCCCGTGAGTCGGGAGCTCAATCAGCTCGGGATTCGTCCCCTGGGCTCGTCGGCATCTTATCCCATGGACCAACCAGTACCTTTACCTACTTTTGGTGGTTGGAAATAGAATGTACCCGTCTGTTCTGTATAACATCGTAATACGTAAACTTTTCTGCAGTTTAATCATCTACTTGTATAAAAAAGCCGCTTTCCTGGTAACGTGTTGCTCACTACTGTAGGGACTGCGTTGCGACGTAATGGCTGTATTATTTTTAATAATAAACACTGATGTGTACGGTATATATGATAACATGAGCGCTGTACAGATATTTTGCCTTGTTTCGTCAGAATTACAAAACTTCCTTGCAGTTATGAGATTAGACAGAAACCCATTAACAGTAAAAAACAAAAAGTAATTAACAAAGAACAAATTTATAAATCTGTTAATCACTAGTCGAAACGAATTTCCCACCAGCGATATGCCAATGCCGAGAAAAAAGTAAACAAATACAACTTAATCCCAGCATTAATCCTTGACAAAAAACGATTAATTCTGCATACATAACAAACACTGTAGAAGATAATCGGGTAATTAGCAAACTTTTCGCTGCATTTGTGAAACTGCTTGGTGGTGATCGTGAATTATAATGTACTCTGTATACGGTGCAGTAGCGTCCGAGATTATGATTATATTAGACAAGCATAATATGCGAATGAATGTACGGGCATTTTTATAAATTATTCTGCGCATCACATCTGTATCTTTCGCCGATAATTCATCAGGTAGAAGCTGTTTACACGTATCCGCAGGCCGAAAACTTCTGAAAGTGAAACGCAATGCACGGTATACAGGTGGTTGACCCGGTCGGATGAGCACCAAGAATCTCAGCAGCATAATAATATTGTTGTTTCTTCCTCAACGGAACTTTTTTATCTTGCAACGGCTTCTTATATACGGATTCTTCAGGTGTGTTCCATTGGCCTTGACCACGAGATCGCATCATACCGGACTGTATTTTATGCGTTAACATTACGGCCGGCAAATTCTCATTTCCTTGATGATGTAAATATCCCAAAAACCGTTTTTATCATTGGCTCTATATCGTCGTTGCGATCAGATACTTCAGTATTATTTTTTCTGACAAAAAGATGCCGGTTTTATTATATTCTGTGGGAATATTGTTATTTCTCAGTTCCTGTTGCCATTTCGTCGACGGTATACGATTGATTGTTCCATAAAATCTTTAATTTCAATTCTTTTTTACTAACATCGATGCTTTTTAAGCCTGAAATGCGTTCCATTCGTATCCGCATATTAAATGTAGTACGAGTACTACTAATTGCTAATAATAACCTGTATATACCGTATACATGTCGCCGCTCCACGTGATGCATAAATTAGTTGCAGTATATTAAAACTGAATTAATTAAAAATCATAAATTTTAAACAATATTATTATATTATTGTTAATTGCAAATAAATAATGGTAATTTAAAATTTATGATAATTGTTGCAGCCCAGTTGTGTTCCAGTCCGAACGGTCTGGGGAAATGCTCGTCCAACGTGTTCACATGTGTCTTTCAAAACGGTTATCCCTACTATTTCAAAGACAACAGTTCATTCGGTGACTGCTCGCATGACGAGTTCTGCTGCGTCAATCTGCCCATCCCGGAAGATGGCAGTTGTTCGCAACGCTGCGGCATTTCCGGTACAGCCCGGCAAAAACAGAATGTCGCCGAGAGCGGCATTAAACTGGATAAAAACTACGACTGGGATCTCATGCTGCAAGCACAAGAACGCAGTTCACGGATCGTCAATGGATCAGATGCCGACAAATACGAATTCTGCTGGCAGGTGGGAAGATGTGTTTTACAAGCTACACCACCGCCGCCACGTGCATGTACAGTATAGTGCACGTGTTAAAGGCGATAAATTACAGCAATCCAGTGCTGCATTATAATAACAACGAAAATGCAGTGAAGCGCATTATGGTAACCAACGGCTAACTTAAAGCATACTTGCTTATCTCCGAGAAAATGTGTACAAAGTAAACAATTATATAATTTTCTTCATGAATATAAGTAAATACTTACGATTAATGGTGGTTAAATTCAGGGCGGGGTTTTTATCGTGGATACGGACCAATTGCAAAATAATTCTGCCACTACAACGCCTATATTTATCGGTGGAGCAAGTCTCGTAGGTAAGACTGGAAGAATTTTTTCTCGACGTCATTTGGTTGATACTTAAAATTAAAGACAGTCACGAACTAAATTTTTGTGATTTTGTTATTTAGCGCAAGATATGGCATTGACTGCTGCCCATGTTCTGCAACCGTAAGTGAATCAAAGCCGGTTTATAAAAATAAAACATTTTAGACAGTTGTGATTCGCATGCGCATGCGAAAATGCGCATGCGCTTCTTATGTTACAAATACAAAAGTATGTTTTAAATAATAAGTTGTTTTACTTTCAGCTAATGTTGCTATCGAAGATATGCAAATTTTAATTAAGCACCGTCAGTTTTAATTTATTTAGTATTCGTTGACAGATTCATCACCGATGCTAACTTCATCATCTTCATGGCGTTTGGTTTTCGCAACATCAGCGATGTGACGAATATTATGAATGCATCAGCAAATTGGGACGAAATACCGGTATTCCGTGTTCCCAACGAAATGGCGTTTCACAGCGGATACAACGACCGGACGTAAGTAAATGCGCACAGCTTATTCGTAAAAAATGTAATTAATAATTTTGATCGCTACATAAAAAAGAGAAACCACTTTCTCTAGCAAATGTCTGTACAGACATTTGCTAGAGAACGTGTAGAACTACATGTAGTTCTTCTGTTTTACAGTACGTTACTAGTAATATAACAAAAAGGCCAGTCCCAACTGATCTGCACATTATTGAACATTTACGTAGTATAAGGGCTTTTGCCAGGCTCACGAGTTAGGATTAGCCTTTATCTCGATTTGCCGTGGTTCAAAATACAAGAAGAAATGATGTTACAATTCCGGCCTGTTTTCATAATTATATAGGCTGGTAGGACTTGCAGAAATTAAATTTTTTTTGTATAGATAGCCAACTTAAATATGAGCAACAGAAAATAAAATAAAATTTTATTGTGTTACTTTGTAGATACGAAAACAATATTGCCATAATTCGTTTTAATCCGATTTCTTGTGACAATGCCAACTTGTGCCCGATTTGCCTCAGCCCGACGCCGGTTAATCCCTTTCAGCCTTGGAAAGGCACCTGTTACGCTTCCGGTTGGGGTGCAACAAATGACGCTAGTAAGCCGGAAAACATAGATAACCTTTTGCTCGTGAGCACAAAAGTAGTGCAGTGTGCAAATGCAGCTTTGACAACAGTGTATGCGTTGGGCTAATTATATATACACATTTCGTTCGCTGCTTACTTTGTTTTCTTATGATTTGAAAATTCGCTAGGTGTTGCACCCATCCTACAGAAACAAGAAATGTCCATTCCGTATCCTCAAGAGTGCCTGAAATCCTTCTTTAAACTGGGATTAAAGAACTACGATCTCCCCACAACTATGCTGTGTGCAGATGCCATTAACCAAAACGGTGGCACGTGTGATGTGAGTGACCTCATATATACAAGACGACTTTGTGTGCCCGGTTATATAATACTGTACAGATGCTACAGATATATTATTGCTACTTGGAAAAGTTTTAGCTTTTTGTGGTTTACCTGTTATTTTTTGCAAAATTTTGACATCATTTTACAGAGGGACGGTGGATCACCGTTGGTGTGCCAGACCAAATACGGCAACTGGGAACTAAGCGGTATTGTTGGGGTGGGTGTTAACCGTTGCCGGCAAGTGGGGGCTCCGACGCTCTTCACCAATGTGGGGTACTATTACGACTGGATCAGTTCCTACTCGAAGGGGACGTACAAGGAGGACGCCACCACCCCACCAACATCCTACTGGACCACGCCCGCATCCCTTAACGACACCACGACGGCCAACCAATCCGACACTGTCACCACGGACACACCAACTACACTCTCAACGGCAGCGACAACGCTCACGACCTCCAGTAGCAAACCCTTTCGATTCCAGTTTAATACACCGAAAGTTTTTATCCCTAAACAGACCGTCTACATCGATCCCCAACAAAAACTGGCGCAAGCGTTTTTCCAAGAGCGAGCAGATAAGCCGACAGATAGTGTGAGAACGGCAGCTACGACAACAGTTGCAGCAACGGTCGCCCCAACAACAGAAGTGTCGACAATGCGCTCACTTTTCTCCATTCTGGTGGGCGGTGAAGGCGATTCATCGAAGAGCACCGAAGTCTCTAAAAACTCATCGGCAATTCGATTATTCTTCCGTCCGGAAATGGGCGGTGTTTTTCGCCGAAAGGTCACGGATGCATCGATTAATAATTCGTCCACGATTGCAGTGTCTGTCGCAACCAATCCAACAACTCAAGCAACGACCAGTACAAAACCCTCGACGACGGTATCAAGCTCCACTGCTTTAACTGCTGCTGCGGCATCTGCCACGACTGCGACGAAGAACAGCGTCACGTCGGCATCCACTGTGCCGGCAACAACCAGCGCAGTCGCAAGTCTCGCAACAACCAGTTCACAAGATACCAAAGAATCACCTGCCAGTGTTAACGAAGTCCCAACAGCGCCACTATTAAAACCACTATCAAACAGCGGTTCCGGTCGTAAAGTAGTGGTCTTCATTCGCCCGGAAGAGAACACCTCGATACTCAAGTTTTTAAGACGGCGATACAAGGATTCCCAGATGTACACCGACGCCACGACAGCAGCATCAGTAGCTAAATTCGCAACAAGTACAGCGTCAACATCGTTGCTGCTAAATACTACAGCTGTAATACCGTCTACTACAGCGAATATAACTTCAGTTATTACGAATACGACGGAAGCGTTAAAGACTAATACGACAATATCTACAACGACCATAGCGTCCACTTCGTCCAGAAGACTGCTGACCTTTGCGCCTAAAGTGACGGTCGCATCATCGACAACTGTCGCACCAGCTGCGGCAAATACCACGATATCCAATGCACCCGTTAATGTGACCGTAACTAGCAATAGGCTTTTATGGAACGTTACCAGACCCAGGGATCCTTCCATAATGTTCTAAGGCTGCGGCAATAATATATGCTAGAAATTGCTTCGGTTTATACTCTTCGTTTGTTGCGATATTTTGTATTTATCTTGCGGACGTTTGAAATGAAATAAACTTGATCGTGTTGGCTCACGTTGCTATAGCCTATAGGTTATTGTTGACAACTTAAAAATGTGTAGTATGTGTTTCCGTGCAAACCAGTACCATAATCAAGCCTTCATGCCAGAAAAAAAAAACAGCGCCAGAATCAGCACTAGTTCATCATCATGCCCTTTCATAAATCATAACTGATTTTAATTACAAAGTTCCATTATTATCTATGCAGAAAGAATATGGACTCCATATTATGGAGTTCTTTGATTTTTATGATTTCGGTTTCAAGATGTGTTACAGTACTGCATATGACTAATTGTAGTAATGTTTTATCAGAAATGCACAATATGACATAATATAAGGATGCTATCATGCTGGTGAATCTGAAGTTCAGCGAACAGACAAGAAATGATACTTTATTATACCATTTGCATTTTAAAGTGCTCTTAAAAATCGAACACAATGGTTATCAAACCCGTTAAAATTCAAGAGAATTTTAAAGAAACTTACGACAAAACAAGTACAGCAGGACGCTACAAACGACGTACATAATGTAAAGGGTTGAAAAATGTGCCACATTAAAGCACAATCTGCTCTGCACGACGGTACAAATTTGGATTGCAAGAAAATCACAAAACATAAAAATTATCCACGTTTCATCTGTCGGAGCGCCATGAAGAACATACAAGATGCCAGCGTGCAAAACGCATATTTACACCACAAACGAAACTCACAGAGAAAGAAACTGGAGAAAAATTCAAGACTTCAGATTCCGTTCAAAATTCACATACGAGACGCTCTCCCGGGCTAATCGTGCGGACTGCGCCGGACCGACATTCTCCAGTCCGTCCAGTGAGCTGCGACTGAAAGTCCACTCGGTGGGGATGGTGGTTTCCTTAGATTTGTTACGCTGGAATGACTGTAGTGAAAGACGTTTCTCCTTGCTAGCGGACTGCGACTTGCGTTCCCTGCGCACCACCACTTCCATTTTTGGGGGAGGGGTCAACGGCTTGCGGAATTCAAAGGGGGCTGGAGAGACATTGATGTGCGGGACAGGTTGCGGATTTGAAAGAGGGCTTCGATTTTCACCCACCCATTCCATTAGACTTTCACCTAATATAGCCATAAAAATATATGGAAGTCACACGTCGGTTCTACAAAAGATTTCGGCAAAAGTAAACGAAGTCATTTCTAAAATAACACGACAATGTTCTCATGTAGGGCTACATTCGTACGCCGCACCTAAGCTTCTGCATCCACCGTTCTACGATTTGCATTACTAATTTAATTAACGACAATTAGCCATATATCCGTAAACACCGAAAAACTGGAATGAAGTCAGTGCTTACGACGGGATGATTTGACGCGTGCACTCAGCGATTTCCTTCCTTTGTCAATTAACTTCTGAAAGCGATTCTTCACTACCGAATGTCGCCGCTGATCCATTGGCGAGTCGACGGTCACCGGCAACGACTGGCGGCCAGAGCGTGGCGTATCCGAATCGGTTTTCTACGATAAGCACGTGCGTGAATACAATGTTCAATCCACTAAATCAAGCCGATCTCCGTAATTTTAAATTAATTCACAATAACACGGAAGTAACAACAAAATCGCAAGCAAGAAACAGTACGCGAAGAAAGCCGTCTGGCTAATCATTTATTGAATTAAAAATCGAAAGGTAGCGTCGCGATCAAAGTACTGTATGTTATGCAAGTAACGCAGTACATTTCCTGAACGCTTTGACTACATTTCAGACTTACCTTTTTCCCAGCCAGCCCAGGATCCCGCTATTGCGTGACGGTCCAAGATTGGTCTCCTTCTTATCCAGGCACGTCATGCTTTTGTTGAACAAGTTGACATCGGGATGGAGAATCTGCATCAGCTGGCCATAATAGGCTGATTTGACAAAGCGGGGAAACGAGTCGGTGTTCATCAGATCGAAAACCTGTTGGTCAGTGGCAGAGACATACACACAATTAGACCACACTACTATCCCGTTTAGTCCAAAATAATGATGATAAACAAAACAAGTGCATCACTTAGGCTTTTCTTGCCTGTTTGGCAGCCGTATCGAAGAGACAAGTAGTGGCCACTTTGAGATTGCGTTCAATTACATTGCGCACATCACTGTCAACGTTGATGGGCTCCGATGCATGCACAGACAGATACCTGTCAAATATCTTGCGCGCATTCGCCTCAATCTGTAAATTTAGTCACTTGTCACTCGCAGGGCCCCCGTCAATACAAACACACACTCATGCAGCTAACAACAAGTGTAATCTGCAAGTGTTCTTACAGCTAATTTACCTCACGAGATTTCTTCAGCGCCCGGTAATCCTGACAGGCTAGCCAGAAATTGCTGTTCTCCTCGCTGTGTTCTTGTTTCAAGAAAGCCTATCGAGACAAAACATCGTGATTACACGAAAATATGACTGAAAGATCAAATGCAGCAGGAAAATCTTAAAAACAGTGAGCGTACAGATATGCTGAGCAAGAAGCACTAACAAAATATAATGGTAGCAAAAATACTACGTTTCAAAAAAGTATGTAGTCGAGAAGTAATAAATACTTTTACTAGTAATCAACGTTCTTACTGTTAACAAAACACAAAAAATTTTATAACGAAATTTAATCCCCTAGAGTAGCGTTACATAAAATAATCATTCACGAATCACGAATGCTGCCTGCTACAGCCAACAAACCCGGGTCCAGCCGTTACACTACACATTTCAGCTACTACATTAACTAACTAGGTACATAACCTTCTCTCGATCGGAGTACACAAGTCGAGTCGCGCACGAGAATATCTTAAAAAATTAAGCAAACAGTAAAACTACGAGGAATCTGAGAGTGTCAGTGCCTTACCTGGAACAAATTTAACCCTTTCGGATCGTGTAGAACATCCAGCAGTTCCAGCTTCTTCATAGGCGCGGCAATGGGTCTAACCGGTGTGATAAACCCATCGTTTCCCGTTCGTCCGGTGAGATCAAACGAAGACACTGCTTCCCTCCGCAGACACCTTTCAAACTCCTCATCATAAGACGACATAGACCCGATTCCATCCGACTGCGAGCTGGCCAGTGAGGATATCATCACTTCCGTCTCCGCAATGGTCTGCGGTAGGCCATTTGCATACAATCCGGTAACGCAGCTAAGGCGAGAATTGACCAATACCGGCGCCGGTCGCTGTAGCCGTCCCACATTCTCCGTTGATATCGAATGCCGGTTCAACCCCAGATACGGTCCGTACTTCCGCATACTATTCCGTAAATCGCTGGCACTATTAAAATTGGCGGTGGCATCATCGCAGCCTTGAGACTCCTTCAGCAGATCCACAGTGCTGGCGTTGGCGCGGGATTTGCTGACAATCATCGTGTCCTCCGGTGAGCTCTCCACCTTGACCAGTGTCCGCAATGCGCTGGCCACATCGCTGGCACTGTGCGGGAAATACGCGCCGGCACTGTTGTTCATCACCAACAACCGGTCTTTGCCGAATAAATCTGACAAAATCTCCCGTTGTCGGGCTTTCGTGGCCTTCAGCTCCGGATCGACGTACATTATGTGGCAGGAATACACATCTAAGGTCTGCGCCGGACTGCCGCCCATCTGATTTGGCGACATGCTTTTCACCTGCGACAACCGCACCGCGGTGAAGCCGAAAAAGTTCCCATCCTCATGGACAAAGACATCGCGCATGTTTCGCTGCGAATACGAGACATATTTCCCTTCGCGCCGGAAAATGGTCAAGCGCTTATCGTTGATGACCAGCCGGGCCCAGAAGCGCTGTCCCGGTTGGACTTTCAACGCCTCGACATGCTCGCGAAAGACACTCTCCTCTACCGGTCCCAAAAGGTCAACCAGGTTAAAATAATATACACAAACGAACTCGGTGGTGCCGGCTGCCGGGCTCAGTGAGGACTTGTTATTCAATGGCGACGAGACATTCTGCGGATCAGCAGTTCGCATCATCCACCGGGTCAGGTCGCGCGTCTGATGGATGTGTGGTCGGCGTGTCACTTCTCCACCATATCGAGGTTGTGTGGGTTTCTGAAAACATGACAAGACATTTGCTTAGGACAAAAACCGACACGCAAATCCATTACCACAAACACACGCTATTCAAGTATTGATGAAGCATTGAGAAATCTATTACCTGCCACCGACAGCAATCTAGAGCGGATTAATAAAAAGTTTTTTTATGGAGTAAATTAAAAACTCATAATTCATTGGGGGTGATGATCCGCTGTCAGAGGTATGAGATCTAGCACTTGACCGTCTCGATTTCACGTTCGAAAATCGGCTGGGTGCTGAAATGTTTGCCATTGTAAATGGACAAACATTCACCACAGATGAGCATCATTGTGTGCAACATAATGACCGGAAATGGGTCAGCAAAATATAATCATTTATTTCAAGATTTATGTCGTTTGATTATCATAATGCATTGTCTCAGTTCACAGGTTGCCTCAGTATCGTTCTGAACGACTTTTTATTAGCAAAAATAACAGTTAGTATTGTTACAGCTCAAGTCGGATGATCCATTAATAAAGAACAGCGCACAAGTTCAATACTGCGCGGTGCAATTATGTTTGTATGTTGATCTACCCTTTACAGGGCCGTCAAAATTATCGTTTTGGTTACCAAATTGCATAATATTGGAAAATTCCTTTCTAGCAAATTTTTCTTTTTGTGATATTTTACAACAGGTGACTATATAGTTGGCTTAAGTACAAAATAAATAAACAATTTTCAATAGCGACAAGCATGGAAGACATTGGCACCGGCAAACAATGCTGAATGCTCCAATTCATTTGCATTAAAAAGCCGACACTGAATTGATGAGTGTGATGCAAACGAGTTTTTATTGATACAGTCCAATGACGGTAAATAAAATTCCCAGCCTTAACGCTACGTCGGCAAATAGCCTAGATGCTCCAGTTTCATATTAGAGAATGGACAATTGGCTTCGTTGTAAAACAGTTGATAGGCATTAGGCAAGCCAATTAATTTAATCATAAATAATTTTTAGGGAAGTGCAGGTATGCGGTGAAGTAAACATCATGTAATCTTCATCATCAGCCTACCCACATCATTTGTCTCGAAAATTATATGTCAGCAATAATCAGCCAAATATCATCACACCCAAACGCTGATCATCATGTAATGGCTGGCTTATACCGGAGAAATTATAATAATCCTTTTGGCAAATAATTTCGTAACATAAAAGCGAACGGCAAATACACAAGATTATCATAATATGTCCACAAAAGCGGTAAAACAAAATTATGCAACGATGCGCAATGCTAATTTGGCACTTAATAAAGAAATCAGACTGTGATCAGCCCGATATAATTTCTGACAGATAAGGTCAGATATGGTTTTAATCGCCGGCTATTCAAATTTACATTGAGCCATTAAAGAAAATGCGTGAATGAGATCCAATTATACTGCCAATCAATTAATCATGTGTAGCACATACGCGCATGCAGGAAACTATGCACTAAATGGGAAATTTTAGCAACATTATTCAGCTAATTCCATTTGAAATGTAGGCGAACTTTACGTTATTCATATGTTAAAATAAATCCAAATCAATTTTAACTAATCTCGAATGGAAATAAGCAGCAAAGAACCCACGATGCAGAACAAACATTTTCTCAAAACGAAAATAACAACTGGATGTAAACATTTCGGCATGGCCATCGCACAAGAAAAATAATTTCTCTGAAAACACTACATTCTACTGTGAGTAATAACGAAACCAATTATCTCACCCGTTCGCGTGGTGGAGTCCGCAGCTTCCGCGCCTGATTCACGGGAGGCGAATCCATCTGATAATCCACTTGAACGGCAACGGAGTGTGATGGTCGATTGTCTTTTATCTCCGCTGAAGGTTGCCGCGAATCCGCTGCCATCCTGAGATTACTATCGGATTTGCGTGCCTTGGGACTCGCGGACGGCCGAGCACCATCCGATTTTCTCCTTGACCGGCTGCTTTCAAATGTTTCCCGCAGACTGCGCCCAAAGAAATGGCAGGCTGCGTCCATTGTGGCGAATTTAAACTGTATACTACCACCCGTGTTACTTTCCGCTACACGGATAATCTCCCGGACCTCCTTGTGGTTCTTGGAAATCACATTATTCCCATCGATCTCCAGGACGACGAAACCGGGGCGGACGCCACTCAGATCAGCCGCACCGTTGGCTACGACGTCGGATACGATACAAGGACCGCTGCCCAATAATGTCATCCCGTATGTCGGCTTGTTGCCTTTGTCCACTTCGATGTAGAAATAATCTTGTGCGGACATTTTCGAATATCAACTTTTAACTGCTCTGTAAAAATTAAATACTCTGTAACCAAACAGAAGCGCGATTTTTCAGTTACAAGGGAAAATGTCTACTGACTAGTAAGATACTCTGCCATTCTTAATATTCTGGCATTATTTTTAGGAATCCAACTGTGAAGAATTTTACACAGGTCAAAAGCATCCAAACGGTGTTTAGAATTATGCTCGCTATTAAACTACCAAGGCCTTTTTACTACAACATTCGGTTGTATTTTTCAACGTTCAATGAAACAGCAACATATTTGCTTACCGCGCTTGTCATTATGAAAACAATGCTAATAAGACTAGAGCTCGCTCCGGAACTGTCAAACGCAACACATTCATATCTTAAATCTAAAAGGTAATTTTAACATAGAGTCCGTAGATTATCCAATGTCTCTGCGAATGTTATTTTAGGTTCTCCAAAAATTATTAACGCGAGCCAATGTATGACCTGCAAAAAGCAAACGATCCGTTCCGTAAGCGTTTTTATGCACGCCCGGTAATTAAAGCGCTGTTTATTCAACAGCACGCGCGTCTCGATGCAACAAACAAGCGCCTTTTTGTATCAAAAAACTACTGACATTGCTCGCTCGCGCGCCCGTGCACCGTTGTTTTATCGTAACCAAATTGCCGCTTTCTTTTTGAAGAAATGTATAAACTATAAACGTTAAAGCGTATGCTTTTCGTACTTCCATGGCCAAACAAGGGGGTTCGATGGTTTAGCAGAGTACTGTAATAAATACTGATATTAATATTACTGCAAAAACAAAAGTCCAAAAAATCAAACTGGTAATATTTCGACAAACTGAAAATTACTCAAATTATGATGATCTTACCCTTATAGATTTCTGTAGCTGCGGAATGTTTCAGAAATTTTTTTGATCTGCGTGGTTAGTCACCGTTAGTGTCTACTAAATATTACACTTTTTAGTGAGAAAAACATGGATACCTTGGATCAGCTAGTAATGCACAGAAATAGATTACTTAACAAAACAACAGGATCAAATTCATAACGTACATCATACATCTGCCAGTTATTTTCAATACTATGAATTACTTCTTTTCTTTTACATGAGTGATGAGTTGCACTGTTAAGATAACGTTATAACAAATTAACAATCATAACATACTGTAGATTCCGAATGTTTAATGATTTTGGTAACATCACTGCTATTCCTAATTAGCGGTATAAATTCTGGACTTTTCGAACATACCTTTGCTTCACAATCCTGCTTGAAAATGAAGTTCAAACGACGGATACTGCGAGATCAACGATCAAAATATTATGGAAAAATTGGAAAATCAACAAGTAGCGCATCACGAATGCAAGAAGCTGCAGCGGATCCCTAATCCCACAAATAACCTTATACACTCCAAACACTAGATATTAATATGAAACCTTGGCATTCTTCACAACCACAATAACAACGTCAACGCTTCGGAAGCGTGAGACGTGCGCCAGCGGGATGAGATGCGACAACGATCTGCGCGATTCTCAACCAAGAACCTGGCCAAAATCCGAACATTTGTCTTTGCAGCCGCGTCCCCCGCGAACCGTTTCTGTATTCTCCGTTTTCACGGTGGAAATAAAAATCTCCAATTTAACCTAGTATACGTGACACTCTGACAGGTAAAGCTGTAAGTAAATATAAACAGCATCGAAAATGAGACAGCTTCTCGTATCTGATGTGTGAAATCCGGATTTTATGGCTCAGCTTCGGTGTATATTTCACACCCGTGACTCAACGCTCCGCTTGACCGTGTCAAGAAACAGCAACTGACCAACCATAAGCGCGCTGCTGAACATGAATCGAACCGATTGGTCCCAGCTTGGTTGGAGGCATTTGTTTAACTTCTTTATTTTAATGACTCGAAAATTAAAATTTATCCGTATCTAATAACAAGTACGAATAATATCATAAATTTTTAAAAAAAAACATTTGAAAGTTGCGACAACGTCACAACAATGTTGCATTCTTCATTCTTGCAGCCTTATAGGCAACAGTCAAAACAAACCCGCGCATAATTAAACGATTGTTAGGTGGGTGTAGCGCCACGAACTATGTTTTGGTAACCACCAGCCAAAGGTTTCCCCATTGCGTATATGACGCCTTTCCCCATTGCGTATATCTTCGTTACCCAACAGGCATTACACTACAATTTTGGGATCGTTTTCAGTCTTTTCACTTCAAACTGGAGCATTTCGCAAATTTCAGAAGCCAGTTTTTGGGCCTTTGGGCTTTTGGCGATCGCGCCCAAGAACTAGTCGTCTGTAATAATTCTCAATTTATTTAGACCACCGGTGCATCGGTTGTCTTCGCGTTAATCATCGGTTAATGCGCAAAATTGACTGCATGATCGCCTCGAATTCGTTCTGGTTCTAAAACACTCTCTCATCTGTTTCCGTGTTACGCATTGCTTTTTTTGCATATCGGTATATGTACGTAGAATCGTAGATGTCAGTGAAAACGTAACCAGTAATCATATCTGTGTGTTCGTGATAACGCAACCTCAACCGATAAGCGTACCCGGGTGCCAAAACGAAGCGACTTCCTTGCTTGCAGCCCAGCTGTTTCTTCCGCAGACATCGACATCCCCGTCAGACATTCCGATGTTCAGCATGCCTTCCACAGCCACCCTCGCGGTGGAAATCCTCGCCACGGCCGGATTGGCCATGGCCGTGATGTACTTTGTCACCAAGTACATGAACAAGAAGAAGTCTCATCCGAAAACTCTTGTGGATCCCGAGCAGAAGGTGCGGTTGCCCCTTCTTGAGAAGATCATCGTCAGTCATGATACGCGCATTTACCGCTTGGGACTGCCATCAGAGGAGCACGTCCTGGGTCTCCCAATCGGCCAGCATATCTACCTGACGGCCAACATTGAGGGAAAAACTGTGATACGGCCGTATACTCCTATTTCCAGTGATGATGATAAAGGTACGATTATTCTCGCCGCAATTCCTAAAACCAAAACTGCGGCATGGTTTTATGTTTATTTTCGCTTGTTGGTAGTCGTACCGCAGATCTTACGTTTGTAGGTTTGCTGTTGGTAGAGATTTATCGAAAATATAATTTGCAGGATATACCGATTTATTGGTGAAGGTGTACTTCAAGAATACTCATCCCAAGTATCCCGAAGGCGGCAAAATGTCCCAGGAATTGGAATTAATGAATATCGGCGATACTATCGATGTCCGCGGACCAAACGGTCTTTTAATCTATAACGGACAGGGGAAGTTCTCCATCAAGGCGGATAAGAAGAGTCCGGCTAAACCCAGGCGTGCCACCCGTTTAGGTACAACTGCACCGCAAAAGACGGTATAACAAAATATAGAAGTGACTTCGAAATACCTTGTCCTTTTAGGGATGATCGCTGGCGGAACTGGAATCACTCCTATGGTGAGTAAGAAATTATGATAAATAAAATGAAAAATTATGACTGTACGTAGAAATAAATTTGCATTGCTCAGTGAATTGTAAATTTATTGTGATTAATTGTATCAATGCTGAATTAATTGTTCGATTCACTGGGCAGTTTTGTGATACGTGTGTGTGTTTTGAATATTTTCCTGCGATTTTCGAATAAATACATAATTACATTGTGTGAAGTTTTGAACGATGGTGATTATTTTTCGCAGATGCAAATTATCCGTCACATCTTTAAGGATCCCAAGGACACCACGGAAGTCTGGCTGCTCTTCGCTAATCAGTCGGAGAGTGACATTCTTCTGCGCCAGGAACTGGAGTCCATTCGCGACAGTACACCCAACCGTTTCCACCTGTGGTTCACCGTGGACCGTGCCCCCGCGGGTTGGAAGTACAGCGAGGGATTTGTCAGTGAAGAGATGATTCGTGAGCATCTGCCGCCGCCCGGCAAAGACACCCTGGTCCTGATGTGCGGACCACCGCCTATGATCCAGTTCGCTTGCAATCCCAATCTGGATAAAGTGGGCTTTGCACCGGAGAATCGTTTCGCTTTTTAAGAGCAGTGTGCGCATCGGCATTCCATTAACCGGTGTCTTTGCGGGGAAATTACTTACTGGATTTCTTAATGTTTTGAAGGTGATAGAGCGCATGTTAATTTTAATTTTAGACGGGGTTTTGGGGTTTTTTAATCCGTGGAATTGCAATTAGTTTTGGATTATTTACACGGTTTATTGCGATTAGTTTGTATGGGTCTGGTTGAATTCTTTAATTATTAACCGGTTTAATTCTTTTAATCAGTGTTCAGATTAATTACTTTGAATTTGGCTAGTAAATTTTGCGGGTTTTTCCGGACGTTCTTTATTATGTGTACCTACGAAAAGTTTGATTGATTCTGGATTTACATACGCACAAAGGTATATTTTAACGGTGTACATACATCAGCATTGTGCATTATAATCGGCAAGTTCAAATAGTGATAGATGCGTGACTCTTATTGTTATCTAATCAGCATTCGGACTGTAGTGCCTGTTGGTTGGGCCGTAAAAGTTCGGCTTTTCTCTGGCTTGATACGGAATTATGCTGAAGGTACACGGCCGTTCCCAGGGCCTTTCGACGGTACACTGAGACTTTTGAGACTCCCGTAAATCATCCGCAATATTGATTGATTCATTGGTATCAACATGGTTACCTCCCTAACGGAGAAGAGTCGGCGATCGAATCTTCTGACTGACTATGAGAATGATGCCGTCATTGGAATGCTTCCGCCCCAATGCGAGGTACAGTGTGATCCATTTTGGAATACTGGAGCTGTCCTGTTAATGGAAAAGTCGAAATTATGATTTTCTTCTTCAGAGTTTATCCACTGCTGTGGTTCAATTGTTGATTACCGATCCGCCGAATCATGATTATTGGAGAAAGGTCGGTTGTGGTGCGGCGTGTTTTATTAAACACCACCAACTGCAGACATTCTTTATCCATGTCTACGACATTCAGGTATGGCAGAATAATATTACACTGTGCAGTTGAAAATGTGAATTAATTCGTCTGCTTGCAATAATAGAATTTCCAGCTTTTATGGCAACAAGAAATTTACATTGAACTGGATTACCGCAATCGGCAAAACGTCTTCCATACGTTCGAAGCGGACAACTGCATGGCCGGATTAAACTTCGCCGATGCAGCGGAAGCCAACGACTTTTACGATAAAGTCTCCAATAAAACTTTAATACAACGACGGAAACCGGTTAAGCAATCGCGACGTGCGGCAGGAGAAAATGGTATCATATAAAATTTCTTAACCTATATTGTCCTGATTTAAAAACTTTTTTCCTGGCTGATATACAAATTCTTATGATTTATGATTAATTTTGTAAATTCTTGCCTACTTTGTACTAACATACTTTACATCAATGTAGGAACTCTAGGAAGGCTCTGCCGACTATGCTTACGTCTTACAGACTGCCAACGTGGTTCTAAAAACATTAGTTTTCTTACTTTCCTATTGATTGTTTTCACAATTGACAGGCTTATCAAGAGACAACGGAATGCGGACGAAATCAACACGTCCGGCGCCCGGCATTCCCACTCAGACCACGGTCGCCGCCCCAGTGGTGTCCGACAATGCCGCTTTCAAACTCTCCGCTGCCCAGGGCGTGTCCACCGCTGCACAGCCCGTTCCAGTCGGAGCGGAAAAGCAGAATGCCAGTAAGCAGCATTTTTTTAAAATCGACTAATAAAAGCATATTGCGAAATATCTTATTCATATAGTATAACTTAAGCTTTATATTTTACTGATGTTAGTGTCACACTAACATGTCACACTGTTCATGGCACGTAAAACATTGTTGTAAAGTGTCAGCAAAACTTTGGATTACACAAATTATTTCTGAACAGGTCAAAATTTTTTTATCTTTAGAACATAACAAGCTACGTCGATATAATGTTTTTAAAAGTTTATTACTAAAACAAATTTTATGAAAATACAGGTTTAATATTTTTGCTCATTTTGCCGTTGACCTCTTGTTGCAGATGGAACCTTTCTCTCCAATGTGACGGGACTATTTTCTGGGAAAAAGGACAAACTACAGTCGAAAAAGTCAACAAAATTGACGGCGGCTGATATCGGTCGGCCTCTCGTGGAAACTTTTCAGTAAATGTGCATGTACTTATTGCGATTAAGACATTCTACGACAACGGATCCGTTGTAGACACGTGGCACATTGCGGATGGGATGCCGAGAAAGGCCGCTTGGACTACGACATGAATGACCCCATGGTGGCGCAGTTACTATCCAGCGCCGGCATCAACGTGTCACAGATGGACAAAGAAACCGAACAGTTCCTGTATCAGACAATCGAAAATCTAGGTGGTCGCAAAGCCATCGAAGCGGAATTCGCGCACCCGACACCGCCACGTCCGCCCGCGGCAGCCGCTCCGAAAATTACCGGCGTCTCGGCACCGCCCAAACGGCCGCCTCCGACATTACTCCTCCCACCGGACAATGCGCGCCCACGCTCCGATAGTTCCGAATATTCACGCCAACATCCCAACATTCACACCATCGGACCACCGCCACCGCCCCGCCGCACGGGATCCGCATTAGACATCAGCATTCCCGCACACCGCGACACGATGCCCACCGGTCCACCGCCACCACCTCCGCCGTTCGCTCAGGCTAAACCAGGGGCTCCACCCCCGCCGCCCCCGCCCCCAGGCTTCGGCCTTCCACCACCTCCGGGTTTTGCCCCGCCCCACCTCCGCCTCTGCCACCGGGTGGATTTATTCCGCCGCCTCCACCAGCGCCTGGTTTGGATCTGCCGCCGCCACCGGACCATTTGCTACGCGGCGACAGTTTCCGGTCAACCGGTAGCGGGGAGAGTGGAGGACGAGCGTTTCTGGCCGACATTCGCGGAGGGAATTTTGCGCTGAAGCCGGTGAACAGGGAGAACTCCGATCCGGGACCGGGAGGCGCCCATGACCAGTTGATGCATAGTATCCGAAACGCGGCGAAAGGTCAAACGTTACGAAAGGTACGTGTGAGGCGGTGTGACCACTGCATCGTTCGTGCTGTATTGATTGTAGCAAAAAATGTGTTATTCCTACACAAAATGTCTTATTCCTGTATTTTTCGTTCCATTGCTTTGAACATTTATAACCATTCGCATTGTTATTAAGGAAATCAAAATCGCATATGCAAACTAGATATGCTTTTTTGGTATCTGATAGATCGATGCAAGATTTAAGTATTTATCTTATGGTATGTAAAGGTCACTCCGGAGGAAAAGGCACCCAGGACACCGACTCTGGAACAAGGAGGTATGGCAGCGGCTCTGCAACTGGCAATGGACAATCGACGGAGGGCCATGCAGCAAGAACATGATGGTAAGTACTGCTTTAAGGTTTTGGCTGAAATTTTTTCGTTGTCTTGCACTGATGCCTGTTTCCTCATGAACAGCGCAATAAAAATGCGTACTTACATCTTCTGTATGCCGTTGTACAGTTGCGATATTGCATTACCAGTACAAACACAAATTTTATCAACCAGAGTATTGTGCTACAATGCTTTTGTCGTATATTTACTTCAACTAAGCGAACTTTTGTATTTGTAGAAGACGAATCGGACTATTCGGATGACGAAGAATGGGAATGCTGATCCTTTGAGGCACATTAATTGAAAAGGTTTATTGCTGACGTGCAAGCCATATCGAAGCCATGTTATAAAGCCGTCCGCTTGCTTGTTCTGAAGAAAAATTTAATGATTGCTTACACGGATATATAGAGTGGTTTTAAATTTATTGTGTCACTTTTGATTAGATTGTTTCGTTGAGTGAATAATAAATTTGTTGAAAAAATTGGAAAAATTAGGATTGTGAGTTTCCTTAAGTGCTTTGGTGTAACCTAACGAGTGCTCTACATCAACGCGCAATGAAACTAATAAGCTGAGCAATCAATTTTGCTTCATTTTAATACCACTGCTATGTGCCATTTAAATGTAAACGTAAATGTCTAATGTACCATATTGGAAATTGAATTATTACCAAATACCAATTATTGATCAGAAAGCCGCCCTGTCCTACTTTACAATCAAAAACAAAATTGTCGTCATAAAAAACCATTTACCTATTACCATATGGTTCATATCTCAAGAAATCATAATAAATAAAACCCTTGAAACAAAAAGCTTTAGATGTTAGGACAACAGATCTACGTATGTTCATTCAACAAGTGATTTCAAATAGCAAGTTGTTGGGAAGTTGGGAACAACACCAACAAATTTTTCTAGTAGCTAAGGCACCCTCCACCGCATGGCAGTTTTAAAAACTATTTTAATGAGTCCCCGGAAGTAAGTAACTATTGTGTTTTGCGGAGACGTGCACGTGCTCAACTTATTTTAGCATGTGTGATACTTACAATTAATTTGTTAGCGCGCAACGAATTTTTAAAAACTTATGGAACAACATTCCGCGCAATTTTTTTTGTTAATTAGATCGTCTTGGTTCGATTAATTGGAGTCTTGGTTCGATTAATATTAATTGAGTAAGAATCTTACTGTAAGATTATTGGAGTCGTTATTCGTTATTGTTAAGGTGAGGCACTGTGAGTGGTTCTTTTTGTTGGGCTCGCGGCTCGCCATGTTTATTACGTACGTATTGAAGGTGGTTCGCTGCATAGTGCATACCTTGCTCGAATCCTCTGGTAATTTGCTCGCAAAACTTATAAACCCCCATTCACTTTATTGAAAGCTTGGATCTTTCGGTGTCTTCGTGATCATAAAGAACTATGAGCAGGTTGTTAAGGGGAAATGCCAAAACGGCCAAAACTCCTAACAGCGCCCGTGCCAAAAGTACTAGTACGTAACGCAAGCATGCATACAATCTATACTTCTATGAAAGTTGGTTAAAAGCCAATTCAAAAATTTTGATCCTTATCCTCTTATAGAATGTTTCAAGATTTAGCTAAGCCATTAACGATTTTTTTGTTGAGCGCCTGCGTAGCGGGGTGCTACGGAATGTGGCACTGATGCTGACTCTGGAAAAATGCTGCTCGTAATATTGCTGAGCTTTTCTCGTGTTATTTACCGGTAGATAGTCACTGATACTGATAGTGAATGTTTTATTTCCCCAATTTTTAGTTTCGTCCGGAGATGCTCGACTAACAGAGTGGAAGAATTTCTTTCTGGACAGTGGCATTCCAGAGCATGCAGCATCGGAGTACGCTGGCATTTTCATCAGTGAGCGCATCAACTGTTCCATGCTTAAAAATCTCGACAAAGGCTACCTCATCGATATGGGCATTAGTACCATCGGCGATCAGATAGCCATCCTTCAGGCGGCGAAGCGCCACAATGGCGAACGCTGCGCTCCGAAACGCGCTGCCTTGTCCACGTCAGTTGACTCAATTCCCGCAGGATCACCTTTACCGGTAATCCCGATTTTTTTCCGGACGTTTCCAAAACTAAATATGTATAATAAAATTTAAAGAACGTCGCTACTATAATAGTAAGTACTTATTACTTATTTCTGTATTATGTTATTACCATATTATAATGCTGTAAATACACCCTACGCGCATATAACAAACGATTTGTAATTTTTTACTATAATGCAACATCAGTATGAAGTAGAAGTAGAAAGCCGACACAATACTTAAAGCATGAACTATAAAGCCGACACGCCTTGGCATTCTTAATTCTTTTTACCTTAAGGGATTTGGCCCGGTACATAGCACCAGGGGGACTTTCGCTGTTGCGCGCTCCCAAACACTTTTTTGCATTGCTTTATGATATTTTGTAGCCAGAAGAATTGTATAACTAGGTGAGAAAACCGTTTGCGCGCAACATCCGGTTGCGAAGTTATGAGGGTATCATAATTCCAAAAAGTTTAAATGCATTCAGGTGTATCAAAAGTTTCTTTATGGACCGACCCCTTTCAAATTTTGCGCGTACAGTAAATGCACATAACCATAAAGATCGTTTTGACACGGATCCAGACTTCTACGATTTTTTTCAAATTTTAAATGAATTTTAAATTTTTTGAAATTCATTTTAAAATTTGAAAAACATGCTAGAACAGTGGATCCGTGTCAAAACGATCTTCATGGTTATGTGCATTTACGTGCAAAGTTCGAAAGGGAACGGTCCATAATGAGACTTTTGGTACTCCTGAATGCATTTAAACTTTTTGGAATTTTGTTACCCTCATAACTCCGCAACCGGATGTTGCGCGCGAAAACGGATTTCACGCCTATGTACACCAATCATTTGGTTACACAATGTCAAAAAGTAACCCAAAAAAGTGTTTGAAAGTGCGCGAAAGCGAATATTCCCGTCAATGTACACGGTTTTAGCGCTATGTACCGGGCCAAATCCCTTAAGTCTTTTCCCGCAGACTTTCTTTGAAATTAACTACCAAGTTTTTGTCCTTTACTTCAAAATTGACTTCTTTAATATTGTCACCTTGTTGGTTTAATGCTTGTAACTAACAAATGTAAGTACTTGTCTTTTTGCGAACTATGATGTTTGCTGCTTTTTTTTCAGGGTGAATGCCACCTTGACTTCGTAACTGGGACGGCGCAAGTGGACATTAAAGTACTCGCTCAGCTGGATCTCCCAACCGTCATTTCTAAAACCAGAGTGTCGGGGTTTTGCGTTTGTTATACTGCTGAATCTGCCATTAAAGCCGGCTTCACCATGGATTGGAAAGATGACAGTGTGGTCATCGTAGTCAGTGGCACCACAGACGCCGTGAATAAACTGAAGATGATGATTGACTCTCAGGTAAAATGTTGATTTTCAAAATACTCGTGAGGTACGCTAATCTCTTTTTCAGGTGACTGCTCACTGCTCTTAGGCAGAAATTCGCGATGCTGCCATGGCATCCATCGATCTCGTGCCTCCCCTCCGCACAAAATCTAAAAAAATGGATAAAATTCCGCAGTCGATGCCCATCGAAACCCAGAAACGGCGTTTCTTTTGCGATCAGTGTCCTAAAAACTATACTACTAAGTACACGTTGCAGTGCCATATTCTGCAATATCACGAACATTATAATGATCGCTTTGTGGGATGCCAAATGTGCGGGAGAAAAGTTAATCGTTTTTATGCCAAAATGCATCGATGCGGAAAGATAAAAGAAGAATAATGCAATATTATTGTTAGACCTAATAGAATTACTTATCTGATCTCTTGAAATTACGACTAGGGCAACGGAAATGTGCAGCACTAAGAAAACCAATTGCCAGTTCTGCTTTTGTTTGCTGTTACCAAAGTCATTACAATGAGCTTACGCTCTGCTGTTACTAAGATTGCATCTTTCATAACGTGCTCACCAAATAATAAATTAAAAATCCAGTGATCAGCGTTTTGGCATTGTAGGTACGTATTTAACCCCGTCTTTGTGGGATAATTATCGCGGTGAGCGGTCACAGTAGTAAAACAATATAACTAATAATACGCCCTACACTAGCAGGTGCCAAGTACAATATATGTACTGTACGTACAAAAAAGAGATGGGGCAATCATTTCCACAGCTAATGTACTGTAAAAGCAAAGGCAACACAGTTCTCACGACTGCTTTTTCGTTGCCGATGTTCCATAATGGCATAATCCATATTAAACTACCTGTAGCTCGAAAGTGAGTTGCCATTATTACCGGCATTACGTGCGTACTTCCACATATTTTTCTGGACAACACCTGGAATAACATCGTACACTTACATGATTTACTGTACATCGTACTGAGTGATCTGTGCAGCGCTGTCATTGAAAATTCGCGAAAAATAAAGTTTTGGACACACTGTGTGTCTTCAAGGCTTTTCAACTTATTAGCCAAATGATCACATCGTTATTGCTTAAAAAATTACTTCAACAATAATATGCCTGCAGTTGTAATTTCCAACACAGAAACTGCAACGTACAGGCAAGTGCCTGCTGCAGTCACAATAACAATAAAAATACCGCCATAAAAAAACCAGTTACCGCAAACCAAAGAAATCAGAAAATTCATTAAATAACAAATTTAAAACAAGTCATATTTGTTCGGAAATAACACCGGTAATTTTTCCAGTAAATAATCTCTAACATGTGGCCAGTTCAGTTTATCAGCCAATTCCGCTGCCTCCTTGTATCCCTTCAGAGTCGGTTTATCTTCCAACGCTTGTATTGAAAATTTCAGTGCTCTCCCATGTAATCCCAGTTTATTGCTACGAAATCCCATCATCTCCGCATATCGGGCATCCGTTTTGGGGTCGAGAAATTTCCGCAGGCGAAGACCGAGAGCTTCAGCTACGGGATCCTGTTTATCTTCCATATTCCGGTTCAGCTGCATGCATTTGTGATATAAAGCGTCTGTCAGCGCGGACTTTTGCAAATCCACACTGGGCCGGACTTCTTCTTCGACGGATTCCGGTTGGGCACCTGAAGTCACCAATAAATACGTACTGTACGACTCGTGCAAAAAAAGCGATTCTGCTAATTGTAGACTGCAACGTAGTGTATGGGCGAAAACACTCCCTCGGCGAATGCTCTCATCAACAATAATGTTCGAATGCGGGCATAAATACGTAATTAAAATGGCAATGCTCGTAGTATTTTTACAGAAAACAATCTAGTGGCAATGGACGCCAAATTATTTCTAGTAAACCCTTATTTTTTTAACTTTCTACTTCACCGTCTTTACCTAACTGAGCTAGCAGCTCTTTCTCATCAACAGCGGCAATTATTGCATCACAGGTAGTTGTCATGGCGGAAGCCAATTTTTCTAGACTGGCCGATTCCGCTTGTTTCTTGTTATCGAGAGCTTTTGCCAATGACAGCAGGTAAGTATGGTGAACTTTGAGCTGCTGTATCGGGCTCTTGTTATCGGATAAGAAACTTTCGTACAACTCGGCCTTCTTTCCCAAATCCGAAATTTTATCGAAAAAGGCCACCTGAAAACAGAAATCGTACAAAACCATCAATCAACTGATACACAGATGAACTGCAAAACGAAAACACCAATAAGACATATCCATGAAAATTACAAAGTACCTATCACCAAATCTGACCTGATGAGCGAGAACCGGATCATCCAAATCCTTGTTACCCTCCTTCGATCCAGCCTTACTACCTCCCGCCTTGCCTTTACCCGGTTCAGCCAGAATAAACTTCAACGGAAATGCTCCAGCATTCCGTTTGGCATCAGCTGGTTGATCTCTCGAGACAGCAAAGTACAAGCAACCATCCACAAAATAAGATCCATGCACACTTTTCCCCAGTTTGTCACTACTAGGAGGCATTAGAAAGAAAAACTGGGACTGATGGGCTGAAAAGATTAAAATAGCGTTGTATTTCATATTAAAACAGAAATTGTAACATTGTATTTATATTTACTTACGCGACAAAATACATGATTTAAACTTCTCATCCCCGCCACGCAAAGCGGCTAGATATGTGGGCACGATATCAAAAGTAATAGGAGGAGGAGTGAGTTTCTTTCTCAAATGGACCACCATATCTTGAAACCTTTCCAGAATCTTTCGGTTATCATGTCGCAGTTGTACGTACACGACAAAATCACCTGCAACAATGTAACAAAAATTACTAACAATAAAACAGCGCCCGACTAAAAATACTACCAACGAAAACCACCTTTGTTTAGTTTAGCCGTAAAATCAATCTTCCGCATGACTCTCGCTTCCCCACACCGGAGCATTCGTTTATTAGCATCGTATAGCTTCCACATTTGCCCTTCAATCTCATTCTCATACAGGAAGTCCATCACCATCGGACACGTCACTTCCACTGTGGCGGTTTTAGTCATGCTGAACTGGTACTGCAGGATCAGCTGATAGGTGATGCGGCCATCCGGCCACGTATCGCGAGAGGATAAGGGTGATATGGAAAATTCATTCGGGCGAATCGGCTGCACTAAGTGCGTTAACTGCAAATAAGAAATTAAAATTACGGCTTTGAGAAATTAAAATTACGGATTTAAGCTACCGAAAGTTTTAATACGGCCATTTCTGCAGTACGTTCTGAAAAAATGCTAGTCGTGAGCTAAGCAAACTTAGTGAACAGTTAACTCTGCAACCTGTTCGCGAAAATTAGTAAATCCATTCAACTGGAGATGAAGATATGCAATAAAACCGCTGCACTACGATAACCATTCAAAGCCATATGTAACTGGACGGCAGATTACTGCAGATGCAGCTGGAATACACAACTCATACCGAAACTGACGGCTGTAAAAACTCGCTTCGGCCACCGGCATCCACATCCACCCGATAGTACGCTTCTCCTTCTTGATACACAATCTCCGGCACACTCGGTTTCAATCCATGAAAATCCAACGACCAGTCCATAACGACCGAGGATATCCTATTCCAGAACAACGCGACGGCCAGTTCCAGAAAACCCAGGCGATCCGACACCGGAAACACCACCGAAACCACCCGGCGCAGTGGAAACGCGGTCGTTTCACGGAACATGTGGGTTTTGTACTGCGCATTCTGAGATAGTTGCATGGCGTGGTATTCGAAATTCAGGATCGGACTAGCATCCATCGGACAGGGGGCTGAATCGTGGTAGTCTACCAACTGCAGCCTCCATTCGGCCCAGGTTGCTCCAGGCGGAACTTGAATGAAGGTGCGCAAAGGATGTCCTGGTTTGAACACCATGCCGTTCTTTTGGATGGCCCATTCGTTCTTGAATTCTGGTATACAGACGGTCACGGGAACAACAAATACAGGACCCTTATCGAAATATCTCGCATCGTGACCAAGAATACTGGCGGTGTGCAGTCCAGGAGCCAAATGAGAAGTCTTCACTTCTGCTTTAAATGTCTGCATCACAAAAATTGTCAAGAGTTACAAGTTAGCTGGTTTTCGAAACGGATAACGGGGTTACATGTACGTAGATTACAATTACGTAGTATGCATGAATCGATAAACTAAAAAATACCTGCCAAAAAAATCGCTGCTAAAAATATTTCGACAATTATAGGTTCAAAATAACAATTTACCATGCCACTGTAGGGCTACACCTTAATAACGTGGAAATTGCCTTGTATCCACTTTAGCCCCCTTACTACGATACCTATTACTGATCTTAGAGAGGAACTGCCCAGTTAATACTCCGTATACGTACTAGTACTCAAGTTCCATACAAACCTCACCTAATTTTAGACAAACTTATTGCGTCAATCGTAAACACTAACCTTTTTTCCGGTAGATATCGTAACAAATTCCGCACTTCGCACCCAGTCGGCCGTCGTTGACAGTGCCACATTTAAGCATAATTTCGCAGCTTCCGCATAATGCTCCAGTTTTCTTGGGTACGTCAGATCAACGCCAACTGTACAAATGCAATCACCGAGCTGATTTGGATGCCGAATATAAATTCCAGATCCATGTTCAACCGAAACCCTACACGACCACAATATTAAAAACGCCACATGCCATTACCGCTGATAGGTATGTCGACCAGGCTTACTGAATGTCCACATCTCGTTCCGGTTCCTTCGCCCACTTGCACAACCACTCGAACGTCTCCTGCACTTGCACCACCCCATATCCATGCGCCAGCCGTGAGTCCGCCGTCTGATCCAGCTTCTTCGCGGTGAACTCCATGCCGCGTCGCACATGAAACGCACTCCAGGGAATCTGTCGTGCTCGCAGTCCCGACAACACCACCGCCAGACTGCCGCACGCATTGGGCGACGCCATGGACGTTCCGTTAAACAAACTGCTGTTCTTTAATGTGTATGTCGGTATGGACGCCACGGCTCCACCCGGTGCACACACGCACGCTCCCAGATGTCCGTTCAGTGTCGGACCGCGACTGGTCCAGTTGTACATCAAAGCGGGATGTTTGTGGGTTAAACCGTACAACTCTTTCATCATGTCCGGTGTCACATAGGCTCCGATTCCAAACGTATACGGAGAAGCTGGCAGAGATCCCACGGTAGTCAGACCCGGCCCGGCATTACCGTTGGCCACGCAGACAATCATCCCGTACTGTTTTACGGCCATTTCGATAGCTTCGAAGACGCGACCACCATCACTCCAGTTATAAGGCTCATCTGTTGTAGGTGAATGATTATTTATTTTGTTAACTCTTCACAAAATCTACGGTAACACTTACTGTAGCTGATGTTGACAATATCGACACCGTTCTTCATGCAGTACAAGAATGCCCGCACTAAAGATGTCCCCGTTTCATTGCTTCCATCCAGTAAAGTGTGGCCAATTTTAATGGAGACGATCTGGCATCCAGGCGCCATGCCGTTCCTTTCCGGGGTGTTAGGAAAATGGGCCGCCGCAATGGAGGCCACATGGGTACCGTGCTCTTGTGGAATGACCAATTCCACTCGGTTTCCATCATCCAAGATGTTGAGAGTATAATTAATCTGGTATATTCCTCCTACAGAAATTGACAACCAACCGAATGAAAAAACACCGCCAGAGTCTTAGCAAATAACAACTGCGAGTAGTGGACCGTACAGTGCAGATCCGTTAGCCCTTAGCCGGTACGAAAAGTGCTAGATTTCACATTTCACTCGGCAGTTGGCACCACCGCAAATGATCACTACAGCAACTCGTAGAAACACCAACACCGAAAACTAGGCGTCAGGTCAAAATAGTACTACTGCACTTACTGAGTAATCAAGAAAACGGAGCACCAATTTTTGCGTTATTCTGTTGTTAAATAACATGGGACAAAATGGTACGTATAGTGGCCCCGACCATGCCATCACTCTACACTGTGAAAGCATTGCAACGGGCACTTATATCGGTGCATTAGCTACAATAACTACTCGTATAATATTAGTTTTGTTGCTAAAATACACAAACAAAAAAGTGGTCGTACATCCGATAACGAAAACTCCTGTCAACTTACGAACACATACCAATAGTTCCGTATTTGAACTGGTCCCGATAATCCGTTAACAAAGCCGCATTGGTCAAATCACCCGTTTCCGACGTATCCAGAGCCGCCCACCATATCTTCCCGTCATGAAAGACAACAATATCCATCACAGGTCCCAAGTCCTCATACTTGTCATCCAACAGTTTGGCCACTTCCAGTTGGGCGTCCAATTCTTCTTTTGTCTGAGCCTACCGCAGAATAACTTACAAACACACAGTAAATGCACAATAATCTTACGAATTTTCAAATACTTCGCTTAGTCGCACTACAAATGAAACACAATCAATAAGCCAACAAAAATACCAAAATCCAAAAAGGAGTATCATACTACAAGTCTACAAAATGATTTTAAAATTGCACCTACAGATGTTTAGAAATGTGATCAGCGGTACACAGAGGCACTGAACTACGATCACCTATAAGTAACACTCAACCAAAGCCACGAAGGCCATCATGACTTTTCACAAGAAAGACAACCCATAAAGACGATCTCCACAGCTACGTTCTTATAAAATTTTCTTATGCGTACAGCAAATACAGATACTTGCCACCGTATTAGCATAAAATAACTACCAAAATAATTTTACATAAATTGATTAAGTAAAATTAGAATTTTAAATCCACTAAACAATGCCATTTCCATGTTTACCTCGAATACACAATAATTACGCTCGCTATAAATTCAATAATTAATTATTACAGTAGTGGCGCATACATGTATTTCTTAGGTAAATTAATATAAGTAAAACCAACGAGGCAAATTCTGCTTACATCACTGGCAGGCGCTGCTGCCACTCGCTGCATGGCCACAGAAACAACTTCAGCATGCCTCGGCATCCACTTCTCCATCTTCCGCGCCTTCTTCCACGCATCATGATAATCCTCACTCACCACACTGAACAGCCGCACCACTCCCAGATGGAATTTCCCATCTTCCGCGTGCCAGTTCCTGTTCAAATGCAGCTTTCGTCCCGTGAGACCCGTCAGGAACCCCTCCGCGTCCGCTTCCACGACGGTAGACGTATCGATGTCCCCCGCGCCCGAAGCATCGAGGATATCGATCACCTTGGGTTGCCCCGTGGTGGTTACCTACAGTAAGTTACGATTCTGCAGAAGAAAATACCAGGATGGGTGGGTATTAGCGCACCTGTAAGCCCTCCGCGCCAGGATCGACGCCACTGTCCATAATGCACATTTTGATACCTGTCACGCGCAGAAAGGTGTAAGGCAGTGAATTTGTAGATTTTGCTTCACAATCAACCAACCTCGGCCATCGAATGTAGGATGTTTACGAAGGAAATCGTACACTCCGGTTTCGCGTTTGGGTATCAGACCCAAGAACGGATAAGATGTTCCGTCGCCAATAGACATTTTTCCCAACCTTCAAAAGTGTACAGGTAGTCACTTTCCCAGTCAATTTTCATCGAAGGCTAACCTAAAGGCCTCAATCTTAATCCAGATCAGAATCTTAGAACAGTAAATAACTTACAATTTTAAAACTAACTGCTGCACTAATAAAAAAACGGCCTGTAGAGTGTAGCATAAAACGGAAAATGGCAAAATCATAAAGTTTGAAAAACGCGTACAGCGTACTCGCAAGTGATAAGTCGGTCCAGTATTACTCGCAAGGGTTTCAAAACCGTACTGGTATGTTAATGTACCGCTTGTTGTGCAGGCAGAACGTAGTGCAGTGTACGAGTACAGTTAGTATAGCCGCAAAACCACGTGTTACGAGTTAAATTTACGAACAGTCGAGATAAACGTCCACAATCACCGGCACCTTTATCAACTATTAATTTTTTTATAGTAAACATATTTAAGATTTTTTCAATTTCAATGTTGCGCACTGACCGTGAGAAATACCGAGACAAATATTATTTTATCGCTTTGAACAGCCAGCTACGAACAGACTACAGAATATGCCCGGTCCAATCCGCTTTAATTGCATTCCGCTGGCGGTAACCAAACATTTGTTAATAAGTTTTTTTCTTTTTTATTGGTCAAATCATACTTAGTACACAAAATGGCAAAAGGAAACATGAAAAAGTTTATCAAGTTTGATCAAAGTTGCACAGTGTACGTATCTGCAGTTGTGAGTTTCCTTCCTCCATCAAACTTTTGTGATTATATTAAATGCATTTAAGACATTAGATACCGGTAACTTAAGTACGAGGGGTTGTCAAATTACCAGTTTCTCACTTTACCAGTCAGCATTAGCTGTTGCATCTTCATTTTGCATGATTTCTGACCTTTACTGCTGTTACATATAGTTTATTAATTGCATATACTGCTGTATATACTGCTGTATATAATTTATTTAGCTATAGTCTACTAATTGTGATCTTGTCAACTTCAGCATGCTACCATTTTAAATCCATAAGCTGAAATTCCATCAGCGATGCAAGGCGCAAGGCGGTGTTCGTCTTTAATATAGTGCTTCATATAACCAATAAAAACTGAGCGGCGGGTTTCTTCGTTATCAAAAGATTAACAATACAATGTTAGCATCCATTACCGTACCTTTACAAATCCAGTAGAGTAAATTAATGCAATTTATGAAACAACTGTTCTCAAACAGATATGCCGCCCATTTCGGAGCAACATATTTTAAGATTCTCAGAAAGCAGAACAAACGCTAATCAATGCCGTAATCACGATAATAACGCTAACTAATAATGCTTGTTTAGAACTGTTTGTTATCAGAGTAGTAGTTGCTTGGATTTTTATAATTAATTTTGACATCCATCCGACTGAATTGCAGTAATCAAGTAAGGAAGTAACTTGTGTGTGGAAATGCACATCACCGCTCGGCCGCAGTGGCCATCCGCAGTCCTTCGCCAAATCCAACATGCTGTACATGCCTAAACGATAAACACAACCGAAACAATTACGGATCACATACAGTCAGAATCCGCGAAATTCGAAAATAAATGCCTCACTTGAAAGAACCAGGGATTGGACTACTGATTTCCATTTGTGGTTCACTAGCAATTTCCTCTGATTTGCGTTTTCCTGAGCCTACTGCAAACAGCGCTGCATCGGACAGACTGCGGAAAATATTCCGGCTTTTCCGTTTCGTCGGCGTCGTGGCATCAGGACTGGGAGTGACAGGGGTACTGTCGGGATTCGGTGATGTCGATCGGCCTTCACACACAATGTTTTTGGAGAGCGTAAATAAATATTGCAGTTTAAGAAAATAATCTAACGTATTATGCTTAATTAAAAGCTTACAAAACTATCATGAGTATTTGTGAGGATTAAACTATCTTGCGTATGTTAGTTAATCAAGATTTAGCATTAGGATACAGTTGTACGAGTACGCTTTATTTATGCAGGCTTTATGTTCTACGAGTACATGCTTATGTACGTTGCAGTTTGGAATTAGATAATTATAATAAAATGAATAGAACTGCAAGCCGCTTAAAGCCGTGTTATATTGGTGAGACGATGCAGTTGTCAGACATAACGTTAACTGATTTAAAGCTTCCGCATAATTAAAAACATTAACTTTCATACTTAGGCTGAATCGCTTGAGAAAGGAGAAATCCGAGAATCGCTTCTGTTTTGTATTTTTCTGGTCGCATTTCTGGTTCGGCAGAGTGAACGAACCATTCTGGACGGAGTGCGTGCCACTTTCGGCTGGTTGCCGGTTTTTTTCTGCGGTTACGATGACTGTCGGTAGTTGATCCGGCTGTGCATCGAGACACTGCATGCCTCCTGATACAAGTACGTATTAATAGAAGAGAAACGTTCCACCGCATAACGGAGCTTCATAAATAATAATTTATTGTCCGCAACTCATAAGTGATGCTCTGACCTTTGATAACGTCCAAAGCATCATTAAGAAACGCGTTCAAATCCGAATCGTCCGCGTCGTTTGTGGTCACGAAGCCATGTTCCGGCTGCCATCCGATGTGGGCTCGATGACTGCTCGTACAAAGGATTGAACAAGATTAAAAAACCATGCAGATTTTATGAATTTATATTAAAATATCTTCCGTATATAAAACATGTATATAAAAGTATGTGCATGCTCTCTTTATTTTGTACTGCTACGCATACACTTGCTGTATCAGTGAAAATCATAACGAGACATGTTATATATGAATTTAATGCCGACTCGCATATTATAAGTAATTATTTCACCATAAAAAAATCGGATACACTTTTAACGTCGACCGACATATTATTATGGATTACACACCGAAAACTTCCCCGAATGGGAATAGAGATATTGTTTTGGATATTCCGTCGCCTGAATATAGGTTGTTCATCGTCGGCTGCTCCCACGGAAAGACTTCGTCTCAGTCTGGATGCCAGCGGCGCCATTCACGATGCAAATCAGATTAAAGCAATCGACGACTTGGTGTCACACAAAATAAATAATTTTAGTGTCAGTATATCTTTTCATAAACTTTTGCAAAAAAAGTTCCGGTAACGAAGCGGTTGACAAATCGGAAACTGTGAACACCGATAAATTTAACGAGATACACGTACTGCGTATTTCACGATATTAATAAATGGAAGGATAGTATACGTAATGCATGCTATCACATCCACCACACGCCGCTGAAATTCAAATTCCGCACAAACAAATATCGCATTGCAAAGTGTGCTCCACTTCTAGCGAGTGCTTCATTAATCTCCAGCTGATCTAATTTCAAGTAATTCCAAGGGATGATTAACTGCATGAATCACCACTTAGTGTAGAATATCTTGTTAACGTCATTCACGCACCCATGAGAATTTCCTTTCGCACAAAAATCTTATCGTACACTAAAAATCTGATACCTTAAAGAAATCAGTCCGCCGACTAGCACTCAAACTCTGAAAATTAAAGGGCTGACTCTACTGGCTTTGCTCGTCCGGAAGTTGAAAGCGAGATACATATCTGACTTGTGAGCGCAACTAACTCTGCCGCATCCAGAATATTGTCGCAAATTTATTACTATCTGCGATTCTGCATTGCCTACTTAGTTTCAATGGCTTAACTACTGTCGCTTTTATTAGTTTTTTTTATATGTTGCATGGAAATTTACGCGACTTAAGAACAAAAAAAGCTTTTATTTAAAACTTCAAACAATTCTCCAACATATTACGTTCAACATTCAGATTCCCAGTCACTGAAGGATTCACCATATGAAAGTCTGAAACATTAAACAGATTCCCAAGTCCGAAGGCGAGATTCATGGACCGCGCATCCACAAAATTGCTCCACATGAAATCAAAAAATGTTCATTTCTCACCATTTCTCACGGTTAAATAACAAAAACTGCTAAGTTTAAACGAAAATATTAAAGCCTCTGCAGAAGTAAGCAAAACATTTAAGGCACTGGGCGGCAAACATCCCAGACTGCACGTCGAAGTCGACTCAATGGACCTCCACGAAAGCACCGCGCGTAAATTAAAATAACCCGATCACAGGTTGGCAACATAACAATTCCCCTTCCGTCAAGAGTTACAGAGTTTCCTCTAATCCCATTCATCGTCATTCTCACTATCGTCATCATCTTCCGTTTCATCTGCAAAATAACCATTCTATACTTTACCAATTTAACACAGGAAAGCCACATAAGGACACCATACAACACAATACGTATAACAGTGGCAGTATATCTTCAAAAAGTGCCTGTAAGCACGATTACGAACGGAATTATGTTCTACAATTAGGCCATGAGCTTCTACTTAAGGTTTCCTCCTTTTCCCCTATGTTAATCGAAGCATAAACCCATAAACACACCAGTTTTTTACTTGGAAGTATTTAAGTGCTTCCAAGTAAAATTACTTGGCATTAAAGTAAACTAAATAATCTTATTCCTCTTTGTTCTCCGAATGATTCCGATTAAAATAAATTCAACATCTTACTTCAAAAAACAATAATTTCACAGTTCAGACAACTGTCGCCCAATTCCACAAAATCATCGAATACTTGGGATGTTTTCAAATCACATCAGTCCTAAATCCTGATACCGTCCTATTACTTCTCCCAACTGTTACCTTGATTATCCATGACGACTCGCCTTCGCTCCAGTGCTTTGGCGAGAGCAGCCGCCATCCCATCCAACGGCTGACTCGCTTCATTCTTCCCTAATGAATCCTTTTCAGGATCCACCTACAACCACATTCCCCCCATAAAACAACCTTCAACGTTGCCAGGAGAATCAAACTTTTCTTCTTCTTCTTACATGTTTCAAATTTATCCCGTTCACAATCTCATTGAGCAGCTTATCACGATCCGTCGACGCGCGGGCTGGTGCCGCCGACTCCACCGGCTTCAACTCCTTCCCCCTGCGAATGGCGTCCATCAGTGCTGAGCGTCCATCGGTCTCCGGCGAACTAGGAGACTGCAGTTGTGCCGGCATGGGTGGCGCCGGCGGCACCGGTCCTGCCGAGGGTGGGGGAGGCGGCGGCGGAGGGGGAGGCGGGGGTGCTGCTGCACCGAACCCATTGACCGGTTTCATCGGGGGCGGCGGAGGTCCGCGCGGTGTCGGTGCTTGCCCTTTGAGGGCCGGTGGCTGCGCTGGAGGAGGGGGCGGAGGCTGCGCCCGCATGAGAACGGACGGAGCCGGTCGCGGTTGCGACGGCGGAGTCCGGGGCGGCGGGAGGGGCCGAATGGCGGAGTTATTCTGAGGCACCGCCGGAGTGATTGGCACACGAGGCTGAGAGCGGGGCGGTGGTGGAGGGATATTATTGGCATTGGCTGGCGGATGGACGACTGCCTTCTTCACCGCATTGACTCCTCCTAATTCCTTCTCAATAAAGCCATAGATGAAATTACGCGTTTCCGCGTCGGCTTTCCGGATATCGATGCCGGCTTTCTTGAATAACTCTTGTAGTGTGGGATCCGAATCATCGTAATCGAAGCCCCGATCGGGATCCCAACCAATATGTGATATGTGACTGCAAGCAACATTCGCAATAAGACACAAAATTAACTCAAAAAGACCCGATGCGCAACATACACAAAATTGGTCGGCAGACCAATGTCTTGCTTGGTAATCCTCTTCGATTTACCCTTTTTCTTTTTGTCGTCGTGGTTGTTGACGTTATTCTGACTGTTGTGCTGGAACCGGTCTGTGTAACAAAGAAACACTGTATGCAATGCGGAAACACTGTTGCACCACCATTGGCTTAAACTGGATGATCTATATCGAACTCATGAAAAAAACCAGCTAAGTTTCTTCAGGAAAAAAAGAAGTAGCAGAGTAGAACTCCGCCACTTTGCGAAAGGAATGACAAGCGACTGATTACTGGCGAGACAAAAGTCAAGATTCAAGAATTTGGAACGATTTTGGATGTAATAAACACCAAAATCGATCAGAAAGCAGACAACAAGAAGGTGGAAAAATCTGCGGTGTTCAGTAAATCAAATTGCGGCTCATAAAAATAAAACAACTGTAGACGACTATTAATTTGGCAACATGGTAACTGTTCGAATGCTACAAAGTATCAGCAGCTGTGAGAGCTGCAAAACAATGAATGCACTCTATGCCGGTGAGGCTCCCAGCAGACGAAAGGTTTTACCCGAACCAAAACAACATTTGAAAGTGCAAGACAAAAAACCTCGCTTATCCTACAACTTTGCCAGAACATGTTTTTTTCTTACCCGCCGGAAATGGCGCTTGTACAGACTGTGCCGTCGATACAGGACGATTGATTTGCACATGATTGTGATTATGGTCGATCTTTGGACCATGGTTGTTGTTCAATCCCTCCCGCTTACGTTGATTGTCTGCAGCGGACAAACAAATGACCAACATGTATAACAATTACTAAAGCGCCTAATCTAAAACCGAGTGTACAGTGTGTCGTTATAATATTGCTCAAATATTTGAGCAATATGAATTGCTCTCGCCGTCTGTCGGTGAGCCATATTGACTTACCTTCAAAGCGTTTCTGCAGAAGGCGAGCCTTGTCATCAACCATGGAGAAAAAATGATATGCTTCGTCCTCATTGGCGAAATTGAGACCAGCCTGCCGGTCATCCGTTTCAAATGTGTGAAAAAAGGGCAGTGCTTGATGGTAATTGATCTGTAAATCACACCGTTAATATTCGGATTTTTATTGCTACTTTCACTGTTTACCGCTTGTTTACCAAATCGCCATCATCTTTACTGCCTACACCGAGCGCACACCCGTACATGATATAACAGTTTAATTGCCGAGTACCTAAATAAACCTAAGACGCGTTAGAAGTATCGAATCAACAATTATAAACTACGAACTGAAAGAATGACTAGTCCTAGCTAGTACTAATTCACTGTCAATAAAACACAAGCACTTGGGAACCCAATCATCCTTAGTCCAGATGTAGTTATCCGCATACCGGTACTTTAGTCTAACCCTATTTTCTAAAGCCTAACAACTAACAAGCATATTCCATAAAACCTCATGAACATACACTGCTTAAAAAAAAAACACAGTCCATTCAAGAAATGAGAGCAGCAGTGGCTGCACAAGCGAGAGGTTTCAAAAACTGCAAAATTCAGTGTGCATTAAACTGGGTAATACTAAATTAATTTATTAGAACTTAAAACTTGTATTAAGCAGCGTATTTTCGTTTACGAGCACTTTCACTACGCCACTGCAAAAAGCCGATTACACCAATAAAAGACACAGCAGCTGTCAACAGCACAAACATGTCAGGAGTAAATAACATGAATTTCATACTAAAAATTTGATAGTACATAAGTGATGGTAATACTATGGCCCTATTCATCTCAGTACTATCCCACATGATAGCGTGAAACATTACTCGGAAACTGTAGCGGAGCTGAAGAGTTGGTCAACAAAGTGCTTCCGATCGATGACTAATGGTTGCGTCAAATTAAATCAAAAATGGTTCTCATCAGTTCCAACTTCCCATCAACGCATCTTTTCGAAAATTGCACAACCTAAGTATGTCACGATAAAAAAAAGGTAAACCACTTAATTACCCAAGCATGCTTTATAATCAACTTATTTCAGTTTGGTCACGCTCTTCAAACATGAATCAAAATTTAATTATCGGACATTCTTTATCAACACATTCGCAGATAATTCCACTTTTTCTGTATAACACATTCTGATTTTTATTAAGAAATGATTGCAACGTTTCAGCTTCTTCACAAACGATGCTTTATGCTAAAAAACCAAGCATGCACTTGACTTTTGAGAACTTCAAACTTATACTCTTTTATAGGTTTTCAGATCAATTAGCGTGAATTAGGTACATCGGGCTGTGCAAAACTGAAATCGCAAACATCGCACGAAGCTTGGAATACTACGCGCAGTACGAATGCTGCATGCGAAGATAAAATATCAGTTTTTATTTTTTAATGACCAGTGCGTGCCAGTTCTCACTTGACTCCACTTCAAAATTAATAATACCGTACTCTTGCTGATTCCATAAAAACAAATTATCAATACTCATAATTAATCACTAAAGCAGCGGAAAACAAAGAACACTAAACACTTCGACACGAATACTGAATACATATGAAAACTTTTCGAAATTTTACGTTAACAGATAATTAGCTAACTAATTGAAATCTCGATTCAGTATTAAACTTCTCGCCATAATTCCCTTTTTGGATTAAGAATTAATTTTTGATATGCAATGCAAGGCCAGTGCAAGCAATATAAAAAAACGAAAATTGGGAAAAAGAAATATGGAAACAGACAATGCACTAGAACTGCGAAATAAACACAATCTGTTTCGCGTCCCAAAATTAAATCACAAACCATAACAGTTTACTGATAACATAAACAGGCAAATCGCACCCGAGATAACCCGTCACCAACAATGAAAAGCACAACATTCTTACCTCGCGATAAAGTTCTTGCTCCCATAAAACACTTTGCTCCTGCAAACACAAAATTTCAATCTTGGAATTGTGCCAAAAGACCCCAATAACGGGAGAAATAGTGAAACACCCACCACAATATCAAAAATCCGGATAAAAAAGGATTTCTTCGGATTATCCTTGATAAAGCAGGCCACGCCGCAAAAGCGTTTTCTCCAGCGCGCTGATCCCGGTCCAGGCTCGGAGAAGAGGACCTGCACCACCGCTGACGCCAGCGACTACAAGACATTCCCCGTGAAAATATAAAATCCACGAACCCTGAAGATGTTTAATCCAGACGCAACAACCACTTACGATGCAGCGCTGACCGATAACTTGGAAGAGCAGTTCATTCTCCTCGCGATTCAACAGCCGCGAAGGCTGGCTTTCGAGGGGATTGTTGTTGTTAGATGATTTGTAATAATTCAGGCTATCCATTGTTTTGCTAATCAAAACAACGTGCAAATCGCAATATGCACAACCAGGTAACCTACATTGGTGCTCGGCAGACAAACAGAGCAACGTTTTCCGTAGGTGGACTGATCATTTCATTAGAGACGATTAGAACGTTCGACGCGCGCATGGTGGTACATCGAAAACAACCATTTCTATCCAGTTTGTGTTGACGGAGATATCATGAAGATTCAGTAATCCATCAAATGGCTATAAAAAATACTCGAGAGAAAATCTAATGCCAGATGAACTGAGAGAGAGAGAGATAGGAGGATGAAAAAAACCAGATTTACTTTTCACGTGTTGTGTACTCGGCACTCTGCACGCTTACGCCAGTTCACAAATCGCACGGACTGATAAGTTAATACAGACAGAGCGCGAACAAGTGAAACAAGTGAGAGGCTGTGCGGAGATGAACGTGATTCATCGGGCCATATCAGTCCGTACCCACTCAAATACGACCGCTTATAGGGCGAATCTGTTTCAAAAAAACCGGTTTATGCGGCATTAAAATAATATGGTTATTATTTTGTGGTTTAGATCGAAATTTTAGAATTACTGTTTACATCTATCTCTGCCGCTTATCGAGGGATGCAACAGATGGCAGGGCCACAGTTTCACATCAAATTAAGGTATGCAGTGTAAACTGCGTTTCCGGTGACAGAAGTTTACATTTACACCGGAAGTGTAGCGTGACTCAACATGGACAGGCCCGTCGCGAGACCCCTGTGCAATTTTCGAAAAAAAACTCCTCCTACAGTTTTCATCGGAAAATTTTTCTGAATACACCATTGGATTCGTCGTGAAATTCTGAACAAAACGGTTGAGGCCGATTTTTGAAATTCGCATTTCCCCCCAGACCGTTACTGCTTGGGGAGGAACGAATTTTGAAATTTGGCCTCAACCGTTTTGTTCAAGTGTCTTAAAAACAGTCAAAGACATCTTCTCGAGCCTTTTCAGTGATACAATTAGTATTTCAAGCGCAAATTTTTCTCTATTTCTGAGGGGTCGGGGGAATGCCCCCAAAACTTGGGTTGTGACATAGGCGACCGCCCGGGTGGACGTGCTTGGGGAGGAACAGATTTTGAAATTTGGCCTCAACCGTTTTGTTCAGAATTTGACGGTTAGTTCAGGAATATTTTCAGAAAAAATATGCGATAAAAGCTGTAGGAGAAGTACATTTTTGAAAGTGCACGGGGGGATTCCCCAGAAGTCAGGCTGTCGAGTTGGGGACCGCCCGTAGTGAGGGTCTAGGGGGAAATACGAATTTCAAAAATCGGCCTCAACCGTTTTGTTCAGAATTTCACGACGAATCCAATGGTGTATTCAGAAAAATTTTCCGATGAAAACTGTAGGAGGAGTTTTTTTTTGAAAATTGCACAGGGGTCTCGCGACGGGCCTGAACATGGATGAAATTCAGCAGTTAGAAAAAGAGTTTAACGGAAAAAAGTGGCAGAGAAAACTGGTGCAAACAGCCGAATGTGCAAATAGAAGTTTCACCTATTTAATATTTTCATTTAAATCGTTCGCAGTAAAATCTTGATTATTTAGTATCTAATCACGACTACATACGATAATTACTTACTAAAATATCGGCTTCGGCATTGCACAGCAAAACTTTAACGACGGTGCCTCCTTCAACTTATTTTTGAATAAAAATTTAAACAAAAAAAGAAAAACCTTATTGTAAGTGTTAAGTATGTACATGTTAAAGTATGTGTAAAATTTAAAAATATCTAAGTTAGAATAATTTAACAATGCAAAGTTTAAAGTCTTAAGAGTTGCCGACGGGCCAATGGCAATTTTCCTGATTGCACTTTGAAAAAGGTATGTAATGAAACTGACCAGCACCATGGGGGGTTGCACTGTTACCACCTGTGCGAAGCTGAAGGTGCAGTTTGGTTCACTTGACTTTGGTGAGTTTGTGACTTGTCTTTTGATTTTAAAATTTTTCACGTTTCATTTCAAAATTAAACAGTCTGTAACTGAAAAGGTTTGTTCTGTCTCACCGCCACAAAAAATTTGCTGCTTCTAGTGAATATCTGGACAGCGAAATAATTTGGATGCAGTTTCAATCCATTCTAAAGAGCCAGGACTGCATCACCAAAATGGCGAGAGTGGATTATCCAAGCGTTACTGATGAGCAGGTGGCCATCATGATCGCTTTATTCAACAAGGGAGAAAGCCATCGTTCCATTGCTCTTCAGCTGGGTATCAATGAGTCCATCATACGCGATATTTTAAAGAAACACAAAGTGGTTAAGTCCAAGAAGGATAAATGGGCGTCCACACTGACATCCGTCCAAGAGGAAGCGTTAGTGAAATTCCTGATAAAGAGCAGCACATTCCAGGGATCCTTCCGTGCCTTCAAGAGTCTGCTGGAAAAATGGGCCCTCGACCATCGTAAGTTTTTTTTTCCAGAGGAAGGTTAATATTCCATCTGAAATGATGTGGGTCGAAACTAAGCATGGAAAGAGCTTTTCGCTGCGCTAATTAAGGCTAATACGATGGAAGTGGTAGACAACCAGAATTTGCATCTTATTTGGTGTTTGGGTACGAAGCTCGAAGTATTACTCGAAGTCGACGGTGTGCTTTGGCGTTATTTGTGCAAGTTAGGTTTCGTGGTTTTTCTTCCACTGTACTGTTAGTTCGTTACGAACAACATAAAATTGTTTAGTAAAACTTTATTACTAATGAGAATTTTTTGTGAACGTTTCCGCATTTTTGAAAGCTGTGGTATGTATTTCAGCAGGAATATTTTGTTGTTTTCGTTCGCATTTGACGGATTAGCGTGAAGCTGATAATTGCGCGTTCCTCTGCGAGAGAGGACGTCGTTTTGCCACGTCATTACAGGACCACAAAGTAGCATCAGATATATGCTTCACCATTTATCGTTATTGCAAAAATGTTTACCCTCGCTATGCCATGTTGATTAATTTGTACGAGCGTTCACCGCGCTCTCCATTTCCGTACTTGTGTGGCGTTTAACTGTTCAAGTGTTGGTGCATAAAATGTGATAAAATTTGCAGGTTGGGCATGCAACATTAACTTCTCATGGCGGCGTTCCTTCCTGAAACGCCATCAACTGCGCTTACCGGACAACATCAAAAAGTACCTGATGGTTCGCCCGAAAGAAGAAGGTCTGGACGTGGCGCACATGGTGGTGCAGCCGACGGATGTGGAGGAGGAAATGGTGGACGAGGGCCCTGCCGAGGACGACAGCGTGGAGTGGCGCATTGTCGCCGACGAGCAAGCGCAGCCCGGTGGGGGGCTATCGCAGCAGACGGGCTCCACGGAGGATGAGGAAGAGGCCGAGCAGGAAGTGGTGCATCAGGAGATACATCTGACGGAGGACGAGAAGGCCGAGTTGGCGCAAGCGGTGCAGATGGCTATGGTCGTCTTCAGTCGGGCTGGTGTTTCCGATGAACGAGCACAAAGGCTGCTGCGCAATATGAGTGTTCCAGGTTTGTATTAGATTTTTTTGTAACTTGGCTGTGTCAGAAAAATTTGCAGATCCTTCAGATTTTGTTGCTTAATTTACGTTTTTTGCTTCCTCAGAGTTTGATAGCTAGAAACTCTGTATTTCTAATTTCTGTTTATTTTTTATTTGGCTTTGATTTTTGAATAATTATTTGTTCGTTACAGTTCTAGACGGTTCTGTTGTTGCTTGGGTTAGTGTATCCGTGTTTACGTTTTAAAAAGCTATTTGGTTGTAACTTGTGACGGGATTACTCACAGTCGCAAATTTAATTTTCAACGGTTATGATTTTCAGGCTTTGGTCCTCCGGACAAACCCAAACCACGAAGTCAGCGAAAGAAGCTTCCTGGATTCAACAGAATCAACTGGGCAGAGTCATGGCGCATTACCAGCACAACACCGGCAACTCTTACTACGGTTAATTATGAACCCCCTCGCCTACCCGCCAAGAAAACGCCGTTGCAGTTGCGAGTTTTAGGTAAGTCCAAGTTACACCTAAACCTTATATTAATGTGTTATGGTTTGTTGGAAAAATTCTACTCGTACACTATCATCTCGCAGAAGGTTTTAGTGACGGGTTACCTTAGCTCCATTGTGTAATTTAACAGTGTTTTCCTTTTAGAACGCGAGTTCGTGAAAAATCACCATCCCACACATTTGCAGTCGGAAGCCCTGGCAAAGAAACTCTCACTCCCTCATGAAGCTGTATTATCTTGGTACGTGCAACGGTGCAAATGGGTTCCAGTCTTCTGTTTTACTTAGATGGTCATGGGTAGTTTTGGTAATAGGTTTCGGAATCGACGCCAGAAATCAACCAAGAAGAAGCCGTAAGAGATTTAGTGGTGCTTTTTTAGTTTATTGCTCTTGTGCTGTCTCTTGCATGAAATTGTGTTTATGGTCTTACCGTTTTCTGTATAACATAGATATTTGTGTACCAAATTTATTGTACATACATTCTACACTTACCGAACCGAATCGTCTTTGGAGTTTAACCAAATCGAAAATAACTGGTCAATGTAACCGATAGTTCAAATTGTCTGACTCTTTGAATTTTCCGCTTTCTTCAAATTGTAATTCCACTATTCGTTCATTTTGTTTGTGGTTTTGTGGACCGTATTTGTTAATCAAGAAAGTTTCACTTTCGAACCTACGTTTCTGACTTTTGGCAACATTGCAAAATAAAATTCAGATGTCGGCATCTTTTATTTTCGTCAGTAAATCGTGCCACAGAAGTTTATTATCACATTGAGTGTCCGCCGTCCACCATTTCCAGATGGGTCGGGTGCGGGCACGCGGCTTCCTGATCTCGTCATGTTCATTAAGCGCAGCACGGGGCTTACACGCAAGTCACACCAATAGCTGTTCCCACTTATATTCTTCCCGTTGATCTCTACGGTGGCCGCACTTAAAAGCCTGCCAGTCAAAATACTGTCGATACCGTTCGGTGTCCTTACGGTTATTATCACCTTCGCTATTACCACCTTCGCGCACCGAGCGAGCGCCAAATAACCAATACCACTGGCAAACGGTATTGCATATGTGGATTGGAAAAGCGTGACCGACGCTCTTTGTGCCTTGTGGGCGACAGACAAAAATTTTACCCCTTGGCGAAGGACATCGCAGACTCACTTCTAGTGAGTCTGCGATGTCCGCCTGGGGAAGCAACCTGGCGACGTAAACCGCATTTGATCAAGGGTGCAGACAGAAATTCGTTAGACACACGCTCTGTCTAACTCTGTACTTTTGATTCAAAGCGGTGCCCGTTTTACGGTTTACGGCGGATACCGCAGACTCACTAGTACTGCAGCATCGCGCTGCGCGAGTGCACTCGCTGCGCTCGATGCAGATATCGTGATAACCTAATAATCTTAGGCCTCGTCCCGAATTCAAAGCGAATCTCGTTGCGATACAGCAACTCCACCTCGCGAGGTGGCTTCGCGTACCGCCACTGCATACAGCCACCTCGTGCGGTGGAGCAACCGTACCATAGCGAGATTCGCTTTGAATTCGGGACAAGGCCTTAAACTCTCAAGTAACATTGCAATTTGCAAGACATTACTCATTACTGGTTAAGGAATTTGCAAATATGAAATTCTGGAAAAACAGTGTAGCACTGTAGTAATTAATTACTGACACCTCTGATCATCTGATGTTTTGGTTTGTAACCGTTTGTTCGCGAGATTTATGGCATCGCTTTCGGTAATTTGAAGAACCTATGGCTAATCTCGAGAGCTACCGTCGCTATTTGGAGGGAAGTGGAAATGGCCTGCATTTTGGAGTTTGTCTTGATCAGGGACAAAAGAAAACAATGGAGGACAGCCACACAGCATCCGTTGCGCTGGATGGGTCTTTTAGTTCGTGGTCTTTCTTTGGTGTGTACGACGGGCATCGGGGGGATACAGTCAGTCAGTACTGCGCCGCGCACCTGCTACGCTGTATTATGAACACAGAAGAAATTTCCCAGCTGTACGAAGAGGTTCTTCCTGCGCAAGAGAAAGATGATCTGATCAGGCGAGGATTGGTGAAAGGATTTCTACGGGTGAGTCAACTAGCGGAAGCGTACCCAGCGCTGCTATAATTCTGTTTAATGCAAATTGAATTGAATAGCTTTCACACGTCATAGTCCATATGAGTTTCGTGATTTGAATAATAGATATTACTAATATGTATTACATAATTTGTATTCTTCAAACATAATAATTGTATAGTGTAATGTGTACTAACAACTACCCTAGAATAACTTAACCATAAAGTATTACGTATCAATCTTTTAGCTGTTGTAACGTGAAGACGTGAAGAAACTATTGTACAATAGCATTATGGCTACAGTCCGCTCTTTCAAGGCATGCCTATATGATTATGCACACTATTGCACAGTACGCTAAAATAGGGCGCAGTTGTTCAGCCAGTTTTCAATTTTGTTTCTTCTGCATACAGGTGGATGAAGAGTTGCGACAACTGTCGGAAATTCAGTCTGGTGCTGTGCAGGGTGGATCAACAGCCACCTGTGCGTTGGTAACGCCGGAGTGGATCTATTTGGCCAACTGTGGCGATAGTCGCGGTATGATTGTCTCGCAACAGGGCACCGTCGTTCTGGCCACCCGCGACCACAAGCCCAACACCAAGACCGAACGCCAACGGATTGAGCGCGCCGGATTATCGGTGGAGCGGGGGCGCGTGGTGGGTGTTGTTAATAGCCGCATCGCCATGTCGCGCAGTCTGGGCGATTTCCGCTACAAAGCGGCCTCGACGCTGGACGCGCTGCAGCAGGCCGTCAGCCCGGAGCCCGACATCTTCCGCTGGAGCCGGACGGCACAGGACGAGTTCATCGTGTTGGCCAGCGACGGCGTTTGGGATACGCTGTCAAATGACGGTGTGTGCGGAGTAATTCGTCGTGGATTGCAATTCACTAACGATTTTAAGGCATATCGTTGAGCGTACGTGGAGCAGTATGCGAACGGAAAGACTAAGCGTCCGCTGGGGAACGTCAGCCTGCAGGTTGAGCGCGGCCGCACTGTGCGACCCGGAGCTGGAAGGCCCCAGACCCAAATGTTGGACCATCGATCGGAACGCTCTCAGCACGCACCTGTCTGGCTGCGAATCCCACCCAGGCGCCGAGCCTCCAGTGACTGCAATCCATCCTGACTGGTGAGGATTGATATATTGACGGTGCTGAAATTGGTTGGCGGCAGTGTCCGGTGCAGCTCGAAAAGCTGAACGAGCAGTCTTCAACTAGCGAAAATACTTTGGTACCGGTAACAATCTGTCGTCGATGGGCGTGCGTTTACGACATGCTGAAACCCGATAAGTCCCCCGCTTGCATCTGGAATCTAGTAGTCTTGCACTACCTGGTCCACCACGAAAAGACGTCTTCTGTCATATCCGCAAGCAGGCCAATAATAATTTTCCGTAATAGATTTACGGAATATTATTATTGGCCATAAGGATTCGCACGAGGATCTCATCAACATGGTTCTATCTTGGATTTACTGGCGAATTATTATGCTCTCAAGTATGCTCTCAAATAATCCACTAGCTCTGCAGGGACGCGGGATTGTTGCCTTTCATGAGCCGGACTACAAGCTAGCAGTCCAACAGTTTAGAAAGTTACTGTTTTCTTATGCCACCTGTTCGGCGAATGTCAGGTAATTCTTCCGATTTCTGATAAGAACATAACGAAATTCTTTAAAGCATTTCTCGCAGTTTATGGTTCTTACATGTTTGGCTTTCAGAGATATTACTCCGGACTTTTTTGGTAATATTTTACATTCTCAGTTTTTTTCTGATATTTTATTTGGCGTATAAATTTATCTCTTCGTATTATCACTATTATGTAAATTGATTTCTTTGTGAAAGTGATGCAGAAATGCAGCTTTACGTTGGTCTGTTCGGAGGTTTACGTGGACCAAAAAAATTTATGTTTTGTGTATTTGCAAATCATGATAAAATTTCCAAAATATCTCTATTTTTTTTTTGCTTTGCTGATTTGTAGAATGGCGATTGGATATTGTCTTTTCAAGATGGTTACGATCGTTACGATAAAGCCAGAATGGCATACAGACAAGCACTGGAAATTGACCAGACTTCGACGTGTCGGCTGTTCGATGGTCTTACTGAACGATGGAACTTCCGTCTCGATTGTCGACGCAGTCAGAATGATCGGCAAAGTGTACAAACTGGACAGATCCAATCCGATCAATCTGAACCTTCTAGCAGATCATTTCTTTTACCGACGCGAAACCGAAAAGGCCATCAATTCATCCACAATGGCACTCTAGACGTCGTTTGCACATTGAAGGCTGAGTCAGTCTGCGTACATGCTGATAAGAAGTTTCCATTTCAAGGAGGATTTCGATCAAGCTTTCCAGTATTATTATATCAGGCTACCCAGTTTGCCAAATCCACTTTCTTTTTACCCTGGTACGGTTTGGGCCAGATGTACATTTAGAGAGGATAACAAAAGCGCGGCACACTATCTCGAGAAAGTCTTGGCACAGAGTCCGAAATCGTGGTGACACTGAAGATTTTGGGACTGTTATATCCGACGACGGGCGAAGCCGACAAACGAGAACAGACAAAAGGTTATCTGAAAAAAGTCACCGATTTGTGCCCCGACGATAGTGATACAGATATGAAGTTTGCCGAACTTCAGGAAGGAAACGCTCCTGTAAGAAAAAAACTTGTTCTCGCATTTGCACTTTGGTAGGTGAAATTCGCTTTCTCATAGCGTTCTGCATTGAATACATATCTTCGATTTTTATAGATATGTAACGACCGATCGTCACAAGACGACGCACCGGCCGAGCTGTTCAACAACATCAGCGTTTTATACTTCTACCTGAACGAAATTCCCAACAGTCGGAAGTTATTAGAAATGGCTGAGGCACGAGCGGAGGAAGCTAAAAAAGAAGTCCCCGACGGACATCACGGTGCACTGCTCACCACGATGACGTACAATCAACGGCGGCTGGCGGAAGAGGCGCGCGACTGCAAAGAAGCCCGGGAGTGTTATGACAATATTCTGAAGAAGAATTCTAGTTATCTGGATTGCTTTCTGCGCCACGGGTGCATGGAGCGTGATCGAGACTTTTTTCCTAAGGTGGCCGATTGGTTCCAGGTGGCTGGCAGTGCCGGGCGAGATCATCCAGTAGCGTTGTTGTCCTTCGGAAACCTGCGCATGTCCAGAGCGGGATATGTCATTATATTTGCTGGCTGAGAAAAGGTACGAAAAGGTGCTGACGCTACCAATGTCGAAAACCGATACGTATGCAGTGCTGAGTTTGGGAAATATTTGATTGGAGTCCTTGTATATGACAATATGAGCACAGCCGATCCGAAAAAAAAACGACATGTGAACAAAGCCTTTGACTTTTACAAACAAGTTTTGCACGTGGACCCATTTAATACATATCTATGCTGTAAACGGATTGGGAGCTTTATTGGCCAGAAGCGGTAAGTTTTTGAATTTAAAATTTTTTTACGATTTCTTTTTGTTATGAATATGCGGATGAAGTTCGATGAAGATTGTTGTGCTTTTGGTATTCAATAATGATTGAGTTTATGTAATTATGCCTTGTGTGAGGTCGAGCCGAGGAATCAAAGAAATGTTTGCAGTAGTGCGGAAATCATCGGCCGACATATTGGGTTTATGGTTAAACATTGGTCACAATTACTGCGAAGCCAAGCAATATGTTGCCGGCACGAAAATATACGAGAATGCGCTTCCTCGGTTTAAGGATTCAGAACTGGTTCCGCAAATTCATCTGTATCTCGTGCGCGCTTAGTACTTCAACGGAGATTTTAAAGACGCCAGACACACATTACAGTTGGCCCGGCATCTTGTCCCGCAGAATTCTGAAGTGCGTTATAACCTGGCCATGGATGCAGAGACTGGCGGTGATTACGTTGAAAGATTCATGCGCCGAAATGTATGATGTAATGGGGGCAATTGCCGATCTCAAAGGCTCTGAAGAAATGTTCGAGAATTTAGCGCTGGAAAATGGAAACAGATAAATCGTTTCTCATTGATCCAACGAAAGCCTCAGATCAGGCACGAATGTGCAGTGCTTATAAAAATCAAGCGGATTACCTTTGAGTAAGTAGTTTTGGATGGCTCATTGTCTTGTAGTTTGAGTTACTGCAAGTACTTATTGCGTAATGCGAATAATAATGGAATTCATATTTCAGAAACGCTAACATGGCAGAAGCCTCTGACGACGGGAGTTGCACCATTTGCTCGGAGTCTTCACACGGCATTAGTGGGCAGTAATAAGATTTACGTGTTCGGCGGATGGATACCTCGCAAAAAAGAAAGGGAGATTCCCACAGATGAAGATGGACTGACTGCACTGCAGAAGGAGTGGAAATGCATAAACGTTTTCTATTCTATTCTGGTGAGGAAGTGTTTTTAAAATAATTTGTTTTTTTTTATTTCTGCCATTACAATAGTTTTTAAACTGTTTGATAGAAATCGTTGGGACCAGTATAGCTTCGGTGAAAAAAACCGAGTTTCCTCGGGCACATGCAGGTCACTGTGCGGCTGTAGTCCACAATCGGATGTACGTTTGGTCTGGGCGAGATGGCTCAAGAAAGCCAATAATAAGCAGGTAAAGAAATACAAACTGGTGATCGATAATTTTGTGCACTGTTCCCTGCATCGCCTTTTTTTAAGTAATTACAGTGATTGGAGAAACTGTTATTTAGTGTAGGTTTGTTGTAATGATATGTGGTTTCTCGAAACGACGAAACCTGTCACTCTTGGAAAAGTGCAGTTGCTTCGCGCATCGACCACGTAGTTAGACGTCTACTTTACGCGTTTCTTAGCCGCAACTGGTAGGAAGGGATAAAAATAATTGTTAATTAGAGATGTTATTTAGAGCTGCAATTTTTTAGCGGAGAATTACCATTCGCAACTCCAGGTGTATGAATCTCCTCCAGCTTCGTGTCAGCCCCAATCCGACCGCGCTCGGTTCATTGCCAGTAAAACCACAGCCACAACCGGCGCTGGCAACAAATTAGTGCAACATCCACTTCCACGGTGACACTAACCACAGCCTCGACCGCGGCGAAACCGCAGTTGATCACTCTGGGAAAGAACCTGCCTAGCGATGCGCATTTTGTAACGCTGATGAAACCGATATCGACGCAAGGGATTACGTTGACACTTGGATCAGTGGTTCCCGTCAGCGGGATGGTTAAATTGGTTCCGCAGCCAGCTGGTACGGGATGTTGCATTAGTTTTCTAATTATTGAATTTGAACGATGTGATGTGTTGGATTTTTAGCAACGAATGCGGCCAGTAAACCTCAGGCGATCATTTTCAATGCTTAGAAACAAACTCCAGCCAAATCCCCCATGGTTGTTGTACCGACATCTACCGCCTTCCCGGCCACTCCGACGACCAATGCTAAGCCAGTGTCAGAGACAACAGAACCGGAGCCATCTGATAAAACTGATACCAGCACAACAGAAAATTCAGCCGAAGCCATTGGAACTGGAAAACATGGCGGAGCGAAGGAACAGGCGAGTGATGGTTCTGGGTCGGCGTCCAGCCAAGAGAAAGATTATACGGTATACTTGGAATTTGTAGCGAATTGTTTGTAATTTTCATTACTATTTGATTGACTTGAATGCAGACTGCAACAACGACTGCTACAGAAGCTGCAAAGCCTGCCGAACCAAAGTCAAAGGAAGATGGACAGGTTACGAAATTGTGGTGTCGCCCCAACTGCTTATCCGACATTTGTCGTCCAGAATTATTTTGTACGGTTAATGAGGAAGATTTCAAAAATGTAAGAAGAAATGTTAGCGAAAATTTCTGCCACATCAGTGTGCAATGATGGGAATGTTGTACGAGTACAATGTGGCGATGGTCAAACATCCTCTTCTACCGGATATTGCCTATAAATTCCGAGTGGCTGGAATCAACGCTTGTGGTCGCGGTGTATGGAGTGAGATGTCCGCGTTTAAAACGTGCCTACCAGGATTCCCGGGAGCTCCATTTAATTTTAAAATTACAACAGTATGCGCAGTTCACAGCGTTGTGGTTTAATTGATTGTACAGTACACCAGTCAGTAAATTTATTAAGCCGTTTTGTTTTCTGTGGTGTCCGGAAGGAGCTTTGTTGACGTGGGAGCCGCGCACGAATCACGGGGATAACATCAACGAGTACGCACTACGCAGTGTATTTTACTTGGCCACGAAGCCGCAGAATGGTAAGCCGGATGTCGCCATTCCGACGAATCATTTGTCGTTTATGAAAGTTTATGATGATCCTGTGCCCACTTGCACGATTACCCATGAAAATCTACAGATATGCTTATTACGACTGCAGTGCACAGAAACCGACAATCATTTTCCGGATTGCAGCCAAGAATGATAAAGGATATGGTCCTGCCACTCAAATCCGCTGGTTGCAAGGTAATTCGTGATTTTTAAAAAAAATTGATTGAAATGTACGTGTGCCCAAAGTGTTCCAACCGTTTCGTTAATTGACCAGTTGTTTAGTGTGTACAGATAATAAAGGCTCTGGATTTCTTACTTTTTGGCACCTGTAACATACTTATAAGTTTATAACTGGTCTTTCGTCAGGGTAAGATTAGATGGAATCGCTGTGATGGGAATTGCCATTAATCTCAGCGAAGATTTTCAAGAGCAGTGCTGCCATCGATTTTTGTTCGTTATACCCAGTAAAGAAAGCGAATTCCACAACTATAAGATAACAACATCACCCAAAAAAGTTATTAACTAATAAGGTGATATTGGCATAGTGCATTCTTTGTCTTCTGGTAAAGTACGGCAAAATCAGTTCGAGTGTTTTGGTGCATATTTCGCAATAGTGCTATTAATTAGTTGTAACTGTTTGCCATTTAACTGAAAATGTCATGATTCTCCGTTTTGCAGATTCTCAGCCCCAGTCAGCACGGTGAAGATATGCGAGTAATACGCCACGTGGGGAATTGTTTATGAATATTGCAGAGATCTATTTGGATTTTGGTTGTTGGTGGTGCCGCGAGACGCTGGGATTGCGAAGTTATAAGTAATCCGACCAGTTTGCATAAGTTAACCATCGGTTATAATGAAACTGATTGGATCACAATTGATTCGATTACTACATTTGTTAGTTGTGAATGTGCTCCTAATTTGTGATTGAAGGAAAGGAATGGGGGAATGCAGTGTAGTGGAAATTTTTCCTCGATCGCGCGAAAGATACAGACACCGCTCAGAAGCTGAATCGTTAAAAAGTGGAAGAGGCCAGATTGGCTTATCAGAAGCGAGTTCGAGAAGAAAGCGTCCGCAAGGAAGAAAAGAAGTTGAAGGAGCAGGAAGACCTGATGAAGAAACGCCAAGAGGTGCTTGACAGGGCTCTGGAAGTCAAGGAGAAGCTGTTGCGGTCAGCAACGGAAGACGATGGATTCGTTAACGATGGGGATGTTTACGAAGACCGTCCAAGTGGGTTATCTTGAAGAAATAATTTAATAGTAATTTTTTAAAAAAATAGTTTAATTGCCGTTAGTATAATTTTTCATGACGCTTTCTATGAAACTTATTTGAAACTTTATATGAAGGTTTTGTTTGATATGCGCGTTTTTTTTTCTTCGCATATTGAATGCTTTAATTTCTCTAAACACTGTAGGTGAGCCGAGTCGAAAGCGATTGAAACATGACTCTGAAGGCCGAAAGAAGAGACTCCCTGGTCGGAAAAAGCGTGAAGACCAGCGGGAAGGAGAGATTGGGTCCGCTCCTTATGAAGACAAAGGCCAGGATTATGATCCGTACGCTGGGCCACAAGGAAAATGTTATCTCACAAAAGAGAACGTCAGCGACGCAGATACGTCCTCCTCTTCGGATGGCGAGTGGACGAGACGCGTTGGCTTCTTCGGACGAGGAAAAGGAGACGGTAAAGAAGAAGGCGCGGGTTATGGATAGTGATGAAGAAGAAACGGATAAGGCAGTGGTACAAGAAAAGAGCTCACCGACAAAAGCTCGGACACTGGCGTCATCAGATGAAGACACGGAACAAACGAATTTTGACATGAACAAAGGAGGCAATGAAAGCTACGATCAGCCGGAAAGATCAAAGTTCAACTTGAACGATGGCGGCTCGTTATAATGGTCTGTATTATACTTTCCTGTTTCGAATTTCTGCTTGAGATGATTGATGATAACGTGGAACAACAATTGCTGCATGATGCAAGCGTCAGCTGTCCTGATAACGGGGTCTTCTGGTAGTTCTAAGTTAGACCGTCTTGACTTACTGGTTGAATTTTTATCTGCCAACTACTTAATAGTTTGGAAGGGTGTTTATTAGTTCCAGTCTTGCAGAATCAAAACACAGCTGATAATTTAGACCGTACAGGAACATACAGTAACAAAAATATTATTGCTAGTTAACGCTTTCGAGCTCTCGGTGTAAACGTATTGCCGCTTGACGGATGCCGGGGCAAGTAGTCTACTGCGCCGCGCGATGTCCGTACGGTGCACTGACGACGAAAGGCAACCGCAGGTCGCTGGGCAGTTCAACACGAGCCGCGCCGGACACCCCTTTATTCACCATAAATCGCAAAGCACACAGGAGGAATTGTGACAATAAAACACAGGAGAACATGTGACAATATGACAACAAGGCTGAATGGGTTTGAATCAAAAAGGGGCCGGGTGGGAGGGCTGCGCGAAATTTTTACGAAGTTTTAGTGTTCAGTTGTTTTTACGATGAATACTGAGCACTTGCGGTACACATCGAACCCCTCTCCGATTTATGCGTGCCTCGTTGCTAAGTACTGCGAGAGCTCTGCGTTAACGACATTTAATGCTTTCAGCATTAAATGGCTTTAGTACTAGAACTTTAATTTATGAACTTGCTACAACAATCTCATTCAGAATTAGTGGGTAAACCATCGGTCAAAATCTCCTGATTTAACTGCCACGATGCCGGTTTTGAATACGTGAAATGATTACAGTTTAAATAATAATGATCTACATAGAGCAATTTTTTTATTAAATGCTGCGGTTTCATGAAGCTTGTTTGTGAACCACTGTAGCAGTTTGTGCCAAGACATCACTAGTTTGACCAAAGAAAATGATTGTTTCTCAAAGAGCGAAACCCAGCGATTCTCTCATTCCTAAACGGACATAAGACAAACAAGCAAGATAAAACATTTCCAATTTCCTAGGCCATAGCTAAAAAAAAGATGCTTTGGTTTTTGTCCACAGCAATAAGTGAGCAAGAGAGGCTACACTGCTAATTTCTCAATAGAAAAATCCACAAAAAAACCTGCCATAAAAAAGAACGGTTTAAAACTAGCTGCAAAACGCGATTCATTCAGAGAACGTGTACAAAGTTTCAGCAGTTCAGCAGTGAGATGCATCGTGGTAGATCACAGCGCCAGTTCACTGAAACGGAATGATGGATATCATAAAAATGCTATCGGTCTGTACTGTTGGTAATGAAAATGTCTCAAACCTACATATTATTCTTCGTCCGATACCGCCATACCCGGTTCGTCGATATTCTGCGTTCCAGCACTGGCCAGCTCCAGCGCCAGAATTACAGGCTGATCGGGCTCCACCATGGCCAGACGCAAATTACCGATAGTGTCGTTTAAATTGTAAAATTTACGAGCCGCATTAATCCATCGGCCATCCCCAGAAATGTTCAGCTGCTTGGCCCGTGTAAATGACGTTTCCCACTGTGGCCGTGCCGGTGGCCTGCAGATAAGCAATTGGGTTGCCTGTGAATTTGTTGACAACATGTACGGGAATCCAACCCAACTTCAGAGGAACATCTTCCGACAAGTAATCCAAGTTCCGGCTCCACTCCATTGCCTGCAACTCATGTACAAATGAGCGTTTGTAGTAAATTCAAGATTAGCAGGAGAAAAAATTAGTACGTAAAACTAACGGAATGGTTGATAATGATACTGATAGTGGATAGTAGATACAGTTTCTCATGATGAGAAAAAAGAGCTGAACCAGGCGGATAAACTAAACCTGGATAAGGAAAAATTTGAATATGCAAGATGCGGCGTCTAAATATCGTTCAGCGTTAGGATTAAAATCGTTAAACTCCGTAGTCTGTACGTAATATAGATATTTCCAATATTTAACTGGCACAACACTCACAGGTTTGGGTTCGTCAGCATCAGCATCCGGCACTGATACATCGGATGAGTAGTCCGCAGAATCTTCCACGTATAACAGGAAAATAGGCTTGTCGTCCTCACGGCGTAGAATTTTATGTGCTGTGGCCTCCGAAGTATTCAACTCAACCAAAGCTACATCCAGCGAAACTTTAGATTCGTCATGAAACCGGATCGTCTTTGGGCTTCCAAGTCCAGTTTTGAGTTTGGCGGCAAACCGACAGAAAGACAGGATTTCTCTTAAAGTTTTCGTCCAGCTGGTATGCAGTTCAAGTCCAAACAAACTGGCCGGGTTGTATCGAAAAAGCAGGCGGATTGTCGGCCCTTTAATGGCTTCGCCAGCGTCTGCAGCTTTAGCGTCCTGGGCATCATACAACCAACAAATAACCCTTTCTGTACGTATTAACTGACTCAAATTGCTCCAGAAAAGTTTAGCCGCCATACTATTCTAAAGAAACCGGTGTTGTAGAGTAACTATGAACTAGTAGAGTAACTGAAGGCACGACTCGGTATTTGCAACTTTATTTGGACTACACTGGCACGGAAAATAAAGATAATCTGAGATCTCACGGTTCCAGAATCCCGATAAATACAATGAGTTAACGATACAAACTTGCTGGCAGGACGGGCCAAACCGCCAATGGTAAGTTCCTCGTTGCACTTTAGTAGATCTGACCAGCATCATGGGGGGTTGCAGTGTTGCCACCTTTTTAACTGGTGCAGTTGACGCACTACACAATACACAGTACACACTCGTGCAGTTTGGTTGACTTGTTTGTTTTTGGTTGAACTTTAAAACTGTTCGCCTCTCATTTCAAAACTTAACAGTTAACAGTTTGTTCTATGTCACTGTCGCAAAAATTCCTGTCCTGCCGAGGACGACAGCGTGGAGTGGCGCATTGTTGCCGACGAGCAAGCGCAGCCCGGTGGGGGACTCTCGCAGCAGACGGGCTCCACGGAGGATGAGGAAGAGGCCGAGCAGGAAGTGGTGTATCAGGAGATACATCTGACGGAGGACGAGAAGGCCGAGTTGGCGCAAGCGGTGCAGATGGCTATGGTCGTCTTCAGTCGGGCTGGGGTTTCCGATGAACGAGCAATAAGCCTGCTGCGCAACATGAGTGCTGCAGGTTGGTCTTGCGGTTTCCTTTGTTGTGTGTCCGTGCTAGAATAATTAGATTCTTGGCATTTCTTGCAAATGTTTCCTCTTATTGCTTGGTATGCCGTATGAATATAGAGTGTGCCATGGTTTGTTTAAAATTTCTACTCGTACAGTGTCATCTCGCAGAACGTTTAAATGACGGGTTACCTTAGCTCCAGTGTGTGATTAAACAGTGTTTTACTGTTTTCCTTTTAGAACGCGAGTTCCTGAAAAATCACCATCCCACACATTTGCAGTCGGAAGCCCTGGCAAAGAAACTCTCACTCCCTCGTGAAGCTGTATTATCTTGGTACGTGCAAATGGGTTCTATTTTACTGTTTTACTTTAGGTTGATATCGATTATGTTTTCAAAAGGTTTCGGAATCGGGGTCAGAAATCAACCAAGAAAAACCCGTAAGAGATTTGGAGGTGCCTTTTAGTTTATTGCTTTTGTGCTGTCTCCTGCAAGAAATTGCATTTATGTTTTTATGTAACATAGATATTTGTGTACCAAATTTATTGTACATACATTCTACACTTACCGAACCGAATCATCTTTGGAGTTTAACCAGATCGCAAATAACTGGTCAAGAAACTGATAGTAACTGATAGTTCAAATTGTCTGACCCTTTGAATTTTCCGATTATTTCAAATTGTAATTCCACTATCCGTTTATTTTGTTTGTGTGGGCAAAGGTCTGCTGTTTGTGGTCTTATACCTGTTTGTGGTTTTGGTTCACTTTCGAACCTTCGTTTGTGACTTTTGGGAATATGGCAAATTAAAATTCAGATATCGGCATCTTTTATTTTCGTCAGTAAATCATGCCAAACAAGTTTATTATCACATTGAGTGTCCGCAGTCCACCATTTCCAGATGGGTCGGGTGCGGGCACGCGGCTTCCTGATCTCGTCGGGCTCGTTAAGCGCCGCGCACAAATCACACCAATATTTATTACTACTAATATTCTTCCCATTGATCCCTACCCTGGCCGCACCCAGTGCCTGCCAATCGAAATACTGCTGATATCGCTCGGTGTCTTTGCTGAGCTTAACCAAAAACTCTGTGAACTGCTTCGTTGAATTGAAGTCCGCCGCGTGGATAAAACTCTGCGGTGGCGCATAACGCTCGTAATCAATCCTCTGGCCGCCCATCGCGACGGGGATAAGATTACTCTGTAGCGCTTTCCTCCAGAATTCTTCGGAAATATATTCGCGGCAGTTGGTCCGTTCGAAGGCCAAATAGAAGCGATAACTCCGACTGACCATCTCCAGACACTGCGCCTCCGTCATATCTCGGCAGAAACCATCCCCGCACTGCCCGAACACCCGCATTTTATCCGCGCCCAACTGGGATGTGAGCGTCCGCAGATAGAGATCACGCTGATTTCCGGTACCACATTCGTCTACAATCTGCGAAGCGATGCGGGGTTGGGGGGTGGGTGAGAAAGGGTACTGAATCGGCGATGGCTGGCCGCTGATGAACTTGCCGTAGACGATGCGAATATCCGATTCCGAGCTGTACGTACTCGTCCAGTCGATGAGATCCAAGAGTTTCCGGTGCGACTGCAAGTTGGGTAATTCGTCGGGGGGTTCGATTGTCAAGAAGACCCATCGCTGCTGCGGTAGCTTATCCGGGATGTTCACCGACAGATCGGGCCCGTGGAAAATTACGGCGTCCGCGCGGGAATACTGCTGCGGGTCTTCGGTTAATTTACAATTACTCACAGGGCAGTGGAGATCTTGGAAAATCTTGCGGTCTTTGGGTAGTCTCCAGGGTCCATGGTAGTACCGGGAGTGCAGTAAAATGACCTTTAAATGAACAGAGATTAGATGAATCATAACCCCTTGCTACATCCAGTTTTTCTACGCAAATTCTGAGTCGTTACCTTTTCTGTTTCGTTTACCAAAGTACCGAAAACAGTGCAATGCACCAAGAAATAAAAATAAATTACGAGAGGACCAAGCTGCATCACGCTGCGTTGATAAACAATTCAACACAGCTTCTAAACCAGCGTGGATACAGTACAGGAGGAAAGTTTATGCTTATGTACTGTATTTATCCGTCTTGGCGTTCGACGAAGGCAATGATGTATTATACCTACTCATTGTACTGTACTATATCTATCTTACGGTATTCGAAATAAAAACAGGGAAATATAAACGCGCGATTGCTTCAGAAGGTAATATTTTAGTACATTTGAACGTTTAAAACAACACTGGATCTGCATAAAATTAAAAAGCAACTCTAGTGGTAAAGAAAGATAATTTATTTTATTTAGAATTTGATAACAAGCCGAAGTCTGTTACTACGGTAAACGGTTCGGTAATCAGCTACGAGTATTGCCAAAAATTGTGGTCGCTCTAATACGTCGCGTTAGCTGGCCTTCCCTCCCGAAACCCATCATGCGCTTAAGCCGTAACGTAAGTACTGTACGCTGCTGTGTACGACGCTTTCCAACAAAACCGTTCAACACAACAACATTATTGTTACGGCTTTACAGGAAGTAAGTACAAGTACTCAACCATTATTTCTATGCAGCCTAATCCGCCGCAGAATCTTAAGATACCACTATCTCTATAATAAAACTGGTCACCAAGTGACAGCTCTTAAACTGAACCTGATCATAAGACAAACCACCGAAACCTGTACAGCCACATCCGGATGTTTTCCTTTCTCTCACCTTTGTTAAAAACCGATCGGTAACAAACCGTATAAACACATGCAGCAGTATGCATAATGCCAGGATCAACACAACTTTACGGCACCGTCCGTAGCGTAAGTATCGCTGGAACATTCGCAGATGGAGGAATCTTGGTGGATGGAAAATGTACAAAGGTAGCGGAAAGTACAGCATTAGAAACGCATAAAACTGATGAGCTACCGAACGACTTGGACGTTCTGTTCTCATCCTAACCGTATAGTACTGTACTTAACGGCAGATATGCACGCGCCGCTGTGGCACAGAAGCGTGACATTGCACTGCCGCTCTTTGCCTTCCGGCATGAAAACTACATTCGGACATACGTAAACAAGATGGCTGAAAAATGCAGTTGACTGAATTGTAGAAGACACATGTACACCGTGCAGTGGATTATTACCGTAAAATTTCAAGCCACATTTTCTGCTGGTCTACCGAGTCGGACCGAAATTTACGTAAAGAAATTGAAGATTCCATTCAGGTTAGCAATCGATACGGAGAGAGGAAAGAGATGCACTTTTACCTCAATGTAAACATTTCCTTATGCTGTTATGCGCAAGCACTAAGAAACTAAACCCAGTCAGTTATTCCTGCCACAGGATTTGTGGGGAAACATGCATATGGATTATGGACAACACATTAAATTCCTCCAGCCTGTATTTGCTTCACAATTTGCAACACGGCAGTGGTAATCGCAAAGCCAGGTGGGCACTTACGATACGCCGGTATTTTTGCTTATGCGCAAAATATCGAATGAGATTACGGCATAGTGTAACACCACATCTACCCAGAAATGTTTTGCTCAACCCGAGAAACTGGTGTGCAACGTACAAACCTTTAACGGTGCGTGAAAGCATAAAATTAGCAACTGTAATTAAGTACGGTCGCGTTACATTTTTGCAGCTACTTCGTTTATTGAGTATCTTCGTTTTATGCCCTGTAATCTGCCTTTTTAATAATGTATTTTCCGGTTGAAATTGCAGCAGAAGTTCTTCTATTGTATTTTCCGGTTGCATTTGTAGTGTGCGATTGTTTACCACCGTTGACCTTTCAATCGCGAACCCGTTCTTACTTCATTTGTGCCAGGTTGCCCATTTATGCAAATGAAGTTCAGCTCTTTGTTGAGTTAGTTCCACATTACTATGGCGAAATAAATTTTAGAATGCTCTGCAATTACATCTTCGACATGATCTTGGACATAATATATGATTGTAATTTGTGGTTATAATGCGCAGTGCCGTATCACCCTATGGTATAAACACCTGCGTAAAATGCGCTTTTACGCGGTATAGACATGCGGTGGAAAAGCTGTATTCCTGCCTTTTGCGAATGTATGTTAAAATAGGTGTTTTCCCGCAAAAGACGCGCGTGCGAGGAGGAGAGCATTGCAGATCCATATAACGCGCATTAAACCCCCGTCAAGAAATTATTAATACACGTACTATCACGCCTTATTTGGTACAATTACATGCAGAATAATTCTTTAAATAATTATCTGAAAAAACCGGACAACTAGCAGCGAATAATTTTTAACTTCGACTTATTTAATACCATTAGCGACTCAAACCTGCATATTTTGCCTAATGCACAAATAGATCACATTCAAATGGTTTGTTCCCATCACGCGCGTATAGTTGGCTATTAGGAAGTTGAATACGAACTATGATCTAGGAATTGCATGTTATGTTGTTAACAAAAAATAAGTTGTTCACTTGTCACCATACTTACGAAAGTATTGTAGCCAGTACAGCCGTCATTACAAGCTGCAGCTTTATTGTACAAAAAAGATGGTTGTCGTGTAAATGCCATGTTTTGAGAATTTTTCTTATGTTGACAGGGGCTCGACGGACGTGCGTCCGGACGAGAGCGCCATTCTTGCTGAATTAGTACAAAGCACAGCATTATAATGATACCCTAGTTGCATGTTCGTTGGTCAACTTCCTTATGGTCATGGATCCGATGGTCACAATATGCGGGTATCAATAGCGCGGAAAAAAACAGCAAATACTGGAAGATACCATTTTGCGGGTTTTGCTATCGCGCACGCTGTGCACATAATATTACTAAACCCTGTAGCGTCCCATGCATTACACGAATAACGGGAATATTATGTTGCAAGCTGCGAAAAATTAAACTATTTAATTTACGCAAAATGCCTGAATTGTTAACTTAGCACTAACATTATTAGATTTTCGTCCGGTTTCTATCCACACATGAATTCTGGAGTTAAAGTGTATATGGATTTATTTTTTCTGTACACGTATATACAACCGTCATGAAAGATAAGTATTAACAAAGTCATGATCATGAAATCAGTAGTGCACTTACACCCCAAACGCTTTTCACGCATAATACAAAAAAACTGAGCAGTCTCCAAAGGTCATCCGGGTATCCGCATGATTGATGTCACATCCCGTTCACTTCACCTCCTGGACTTTTTGCCTAATCCTTTTAATAATTTTTCGCTCGAGCTAACTTTAATCGCTGGAGCGGAATCCTTTTCATTCTCCGCCTGATCATCTCCCTGATCATCACCCTGATCATCGCCCTCATCATCCGGCGCCGCTGTCGTCGCCTTCACAGCCGGCACCCCGGCATTGGGAATACTGGCGGCCACTTTAGCGTCTTTCTTACCGCTGACGTCCATTTGTGCGCTGACCGTCTTCTTCTCACTGGGCGCCGCCATCATGCTGGATTTCGTGTTGCTGTTGGCTACCTTGGCGCCGGCACTGGACATGCGGTTGCTGGTGTTGTTGTAGTTGCTGTTGCTGCTGTTGGTGGATCCGGTGGTACCGCTGTTGTAGTTGCTGCCGCTGGATGTGCCGCTGCTGTAACCGTTACCTCCGTTGTTGTTGTTGCTGTAGCTGCCACCGTTACTGTAACCATTTCCGTAGTTGTTCTGTTCGCGGACAACGTTCAACACCGGATACGTCAGGTCGAGATCCATACCAGGCGCCTGCGGCATCTCTGCCAATGAATAAACAAAATATTTAGATAGAAGTACTCGTGATGTATAAAATTATCCGAAACAAAATTAGCTCACTGGTAATATTACATTAGGAAGATAAGACCCTATCTTAGTTTGGTAATATTACTAGATCTTATTCGTAGTTGTATTCGGACTGGCATATGCACACTTTGCTAAACAGGCGGATCTGTTACACGCAAACATAAAATACAATAAATTCAATACATTTTCGATTCTGTTTGTTGAAAAGTCTTATTCTTACCTAGCGTGGGCATTTCGAAAGCTGGGATATCAACTTTGGGCATGTCAAACACGGGCATATCAATGCTGAAAATAATAATTGTTATGGTTAGCCGCTAGTTTAGAGTATATTGTGATCAAATCCGATGTATAATTAATGCCATCATACAGATAACGGAAATTTTATCTGGACGTACTGAGGAACATCCAGAGTGGGAACATCAATTTTCGGGATATCAAGGGAAAGTGTCGGCACCTCGATGGAAGGAATCTCTAGTCTAGGCATATCGAAAGCCGGAACCTGTTGAGTGGACGATCGGAATCATTAACACCTTTGATTACAACAACGGCCGACTATCACTTGTTTCTTGCACATTAGTGATCTCAGATCTGTATTAGCAGAAGCTATAATAGAGTTTTCAAGAAGTTACCCGTTAGCTTTAGTAGCTTTTTGGGACCGTTAGTAGTACGTTAGGTTGAATCATACGGGACTTAGTAGCGAGTAGCACGCTAAATGTAAGCGACGCATGTAGGTAAATGTTGTTACGGGACTTACTTCCAGACGAGGCACGTCTAGGGTAGGTAATCCGATATCAATGGGCTCGGCGTGCACCCGAATGTTCACCGAACTACCACCTCCGTATCCGCCGCCGCCACCATAACTGCTACCGCCACCATACGATCCACTCGAGGAGCTGCCATAATTACTACTCATACTAGAGTTCGAAGAGGGCGATCCGCCTGCGTAGGAACTGGAACTGTAACCGGTCACTAATCCCACGCATAAACAGGAAGAAAGGAAAAATATTCTGTAATCCATTTTCAAAATGTATGTGCACGGATAACCGTTGGTAGCGTCGACAGCTGATTTAGCTCCTTCTTAGCCGATTTTGGCACGGCCGACGCTGATTCCGGATCGAAACGTTGTAACCTCTCTATCTATCCAGCTGACCAAGTGTAGTGTCGCCGAACCGGTAATACTGCGCGCCCGACTAAGAACTATCAGAAATAGAAAACGTCCGTTGGATTTCCGTACAACTTTTATGCCTACAGCTTGCCGGTAGCGCTTTGACCCAAATCATGGTATTGTTCTAATGATATTTAGTTGCCAACAAACGCTCTCTTAACCCATAATAAAAGCGTGTAAGTTTGCTGATGAGCGATTTATTATCATTAAGATATTAAAGGTAACTTAGGTAAGTATGGTCTCAAGGTGTGTGTATTGTGTGCGTTGCAGCTTGCCGATGGTAGTATTGCTTTTCGCTTAACTGCAAAGTCTGCCTTAAAATTTTTTCAGAAGACTACAGCAGAGTACGGGTCGTGCGCCGCTACAAGCAAAAGCTGAAATAGATCGGCAGATTTCACACCAAAACTGAAATCAGTAATGTCCTTTTTTATACAGCCTGCTCTTGATTAGGCAATCGTGAAACACCCACTGGGCATTAGCCATAAATTGCATGTAGCAAACTGGTGAGTAACGATTTAGTTATCACGAAGAGAAATGCATCGATGACCATTAGCAAGCAATTTGCGCGGTAGATCTAGATAAATACAGTTGTAATCAGTTGTAGGTAAAGGCCGGCTGTAATCCGTACTCGATACTATTGTGATGAATTTATTAAGTTATTCACTAGCCAGTATGTCAAACTATAGTAATTACTACGTCGATCTCTGTGAACGAAGCATTGTCTCCCTTTTGATGATTTTATTAGCAAACCGTTGATGATGTCACCAGAAACAGTCTCGCTTTCTACTTATACAGTTTACTTACTTGTAATACATTTTTTATTTGTGATACCAGTTTTTGAATTGTTAGTCTTGCATATAGCTGTACGAGCAGAATGCATGTCGCCATACTCCAGCCGGAAGTATCGAACTCATGGTCAGATGAAGAATTCAAAAAGAAAATCTATAGCAACGTTAACCGCAGATTTTCGGCAGGAAAAAATATTGTTGTATGCATAATGCATTCACGAATTTGTTTTTTCTCGCTTTTTGATTTAATTGCCAATATGGTATGAATCAGCGTGTTTCACTGTCTGGTGATGCTCCGATACATCCATTATCGATAGGTCATCGGCGGGCCGGCGGCCATCGTTGTTCAGAGAAATATTGCGTTGGAGATTTTGAATAGAAATGTAAGCAGTGTCACAATTACAAGCACATAATAATAATTATTATAAATTTTAGGAATTACTTTGTTGTTTTTTAATGCACAATGAAACTGGCACCAAGGGGTGACCAAGTGTCAAGTACTTAAAAGAGTCCACAAGAGTCCAGCGGGTTCAGATTCTGCCTGGTGCCGACTGCCGAGCAGCTTTTATCGTTTGAATTTGTTCATTGCACGAGTTGGCTAACTTGGCTTGCATTACGCACTCAATACGCAGTACTGCCTGTGGCTGTACCTGGATTCATCAAATAATTTTTATAAACTTCAGTGATGAGAAAATAATAATATCTATTAAACAAATTCACGATTGCTTTAATTATTAATAAAAGAATTATACTTATTTACCAGTTTTAACTTTTAAATATTTACACTCTTTAAGGCTTATGAGTATAGCCTGTAAGTATAGGGTACTCGGAGTTGTTTTTGTTCGCCCTCACTTTTGAAGCACGAAGGCCGGGATTCTGATTTGTTGTTAAGCTTTTACGGGGCACTCGTACTGTTTTTCGTTTCCGTATCCGCAAAAATTGAGATTTGCATTGAGAATTACCAGTAATCCGAGCTCACATTCCGCGTTCGCAAGGTACGACGTCGACTACTGGATTACATGATAGCTAGTGTGGTTATCAGATGCAGTCCGATACACAATGCCGAATGCCACGCTATGCTGTTTGTGGTAGCCTTAGTTCCCTCCATGGTGTTTTTGCTACTGCAGAATATCTGACATGGAAGTCAAGGTAAAGGGTGTGAAGCGTAAAAGTTTTGACACCGAAGGCGAATGGAACTGTCCGCACTGCACATTCCTCAATACGGCCAAAGCATTCCGCTGTGGTGCCTGCGAGATACAGCGAGGAACATCCACAAGGTGGGCTTAGGCTTTGGCACACTATATCCCGTGCAATCCGTTCGCATATCTCTGTTAATCTCCTCTTTAGACGCGCCGGACTGAACCCTCAGATAATGCAGCAACAAGAAATGGAGCAGCTGCTAGCCAAAGACCGTCTGAAGCAGCAACGAGCCAAGGCGCGCACACAACGCAGCATCTCTCCTTCTCCCTTTCCCTCACCGACGGCGTCCACCTCGCGCGGTCTTTCGGAAACCCCGAGCAATGCCTCCAGCTACACACCGCCGGAGGGCATACTCTTCCCCGCCAAGAGCGTCCGACCTGTCACCCTGCGGCCCTCCGGCAGCGGGAAGCGAGCGAAAAAGTCCCTGGGTCTGGGCAGCAGTACGCTCAGTGATGATTCACCCGCGGGCGGACGCGGACGGGGCACCATTTTCCCCATTGCTCACAACGGGGTGGAGCTGGAGTTTGAGGAATTTATTGCGTCGGATGCTAGTGTCAGTGAGGAAGAGGATGATTCCGATGATGATTCCGATACGTAGCGGACGAAGAGAAAGTGGCAAGCGATGTTTGTTGATTCTTGATTTTTTCTGGAGTTTATTTAGTGTTGGCGGTCGTAACCGTAAGGCTACGGCTGATTTTGTACATTGCATTGTTATTGCTGATCTTGTTGTTTCCTTACTGCCAAAGAAGGTTTTCTGTGTGTCTGGCCTGTACTGCGGTCAAACGTACGTTTTGTCGGATGATTCGTCCTGGGCGAAAGTTTTGTATTTATTTTTTTTATTTCGGCGGTTTGGTGTACACATTATGAAGGCTCGGGATTTCTTGCTTTTTGGTATTGTAGAATACTTATTCAGTTAATTCTTACCGATAAGTTTACAACTGATTTTACGTCTGGGTTAGGTTAGCTTACGTTAGACGAATATCTGTGATGGAAATTAAAGAATCGTAGCGAATATTAGATGATTGATAATAAATTAAGTTGTAAATGATTAAGCAATAAACTGTTAATAAGTAAGTACTTTAGAGTAGTAATTTTGGCATAAAAATTAATATGATCAAATTCAGCGTGCCATGTGCCATGAACACCTGACGGCAAGCGCAAGCAAACCGCTCTCCGCGGGTGTTTGCAGTGAGAGGAGTCTGCAAAATGCTGAATGTTGATTACATAACAGCTAACAGGTTAGGATGTACCATTTTTCAGCCGTGGCTTTTGCGCTTTTTAACGGCAAAAATTATTGACCGTAATCATACCGTAATATGTGCTGAAATTGTCAATCGACTGCAATTATTAGCTTCGCTTACGAGACCCCTCGACGAAATTTCTCTCGCGAGAATACATCTTGCCGTGTGGCGAAGTATTTTGACAGTAAGTACTGCAATACAGCTCTGCAATCATGGGAAACGAAGCATCTCTGCAGCTGGAAATGTGCAGCACATTTGACGCCGAGGAAATCCGACGTCTTGGGAAGCGTTTCAAAAAGCTGGATCTGGACAATAATGGTTCACTGAGTATCGACGAATTCATGTCCCTCCCGGAGCTGCAGCAGAATCCGCTGGTCCAGAGAGTGATAAATATCTTTGATACGGATCTGAACGGCGAAGTGGACTTTAAGGAGTTCATCCAGGGTGTCTCGCAGTTCAGCGTCAAGGGCGATAAGTTGTCCAAACTGCGTTTAGCCTTCTCCATCTACGATATCGATCGTGATGGCTTCATTGCCAACGGGGAGCTCTTCCAGGTCCTGAAAATGATGGTGGGGAATAATCTGAAGGATCAGCAACTCCAGCAGATTGTCGACAAGACCATCATGTACGCCGATAAGGACGGGGATGGGAAGGTCTCCTTTGAGGAGTTTTGTGCCGTTGTGGGGCACACGGATGTGCACAAGAAGATGGTGGTGGATATCATTTGAGGATGGGGAAGAGAAATAACGAAGCAGGTGAGGAGGATACTCACCTCTCACCAGCCTTTCCATTTGGCATTAGTATGCGATGTCGATCTCTTTCTGACAGAATCTAATTTATTAAATGAAATATTGCCATATTTCGGTCCGGTGATTTAACTGGTTAAAGATCTGCTTTTCCTGGTGTTTTACCTGTAAAAGCTGTTTAAAATTCTTGCTGTATTACACGTTTTAAATGCTGTAGAAAAAAGCGTGGTGCTTGTAATTTCGGTATTGCTACTCGAATTAGTTTCTCGGTTTTGATCTCTTCTTTTTGTGTGGTGGTTTTTATCTTTAGCTTTGTCTGTTATCTCTGGTTTGGTAGCTGTTAGTGTTGTCTGTGGATTCAGAAAAATCACATCGCCAAAATATTCGAGAAACTCGAAAACGCAGAAGAATTTAGGGTAACCTCTAGAGTCTGGAGATACGTTTGAACCCTTCAATTAACAGTATATCAGACTTCAGAATATATATTGGGTTTTTGGAAGTTCATTGGCATTTCTGTATATATGCTATATGCGAAAAAGCGATATGAGAACACAAAGGAGTTCAATGCGGATTAAGGAAGATATTTCAAGATAAGTACAACAAACCACAAAAAACCATCAAAATATGAGAAACAAAGTTTGCCGATGCGGACTGATCAATACGAAATGATATTGTGCTGTGCTGCTGTCCGCGTTTTCATGAAACTGCCCCCTATGCCGCACATCGCGCGTAACTATTGTGTACGACAACGCACTGCAACACGTAGGTATTTTTCCCGACTTTGTTCTGTCTCTCATTATTTTGCACGATTTAACAAATCAAGTGTCGATAGTCCATACTGTGACTGTCGCAGAAACTGTAGGATCTAAAAATTGCTTTGACTGATCATTCACAATACTCACCCTGAAGAACAAAGGGTAATAGTCTTCCGAAACTCAGAACCATGGACGATTGCAGCCCGATTGAGATCGACGAAGGAACACCCGACCAGCCTGGTGTGGCTGACGAAGTGCAGACTGATAACGCGATCCCCGTTGCATCTGGTGCTAAAGTTCCTCCGGTAAAGAAGCCAAGAAAGGTACGAGCCAAAGCGATTGCTCCGAAAAGTCGCAGTGTAGATACCGCCGAAGAGGATCCCGCAGTTCTGCAGCACGAATGCACGTTGCCAGTTCAATCTCGCCTTCCCTTGAATCGGATCAAAGCCTTTATGAAACTGGATCCCCGCACACATATGATCAGTAACGATGCGGTCTACCTAACGTCGAAGGCAACGGTATGAAAATCTGTCGATGTGATTTCTGTCAGTAAGGAACTTCATTTGGCGTTTTCGGTTTTCGTACGAGTTTTCAGTAACATGACGGAGTCTGACGAACACGAGCATATTTTATGACATTTAATTGGTTTTGAAAATTCGTTGTAATCTTCTGACGTAATTTTTTAAGTTTACATTAGAACAGTTTTTAGGAATTGTTTATCCAAATGCTGACCAAAGATGCGTGGAGCGTTGCGCAACGATCTCGCCACAAAAGTCTGCAAACCGACGATATCAGTCAGTTGATGAAATCACTTCATTTGTGCAGCCGCGTATATTAAGAAAACATATCAGGAAATTTTTCCCCTTTTTTAGAATCTTCCATTAGCGCTTCCGAAACCTATAGCTTCCTCGAAGGTAAAATTAAGTTGATTTTCTCGATAGCTTCGTTGATGCGTTTACAACTTTACAGTTTGATTTTGAACGCTAACCGAGCGATTATATATTTACGAATAAATTGTCAGGAAAATTTGTTGAAGGCGAATATTGCGTAGTAAACACTAAATGTCTAAATCTGTACATATTTTTCGAAAATATAGATTAAACTTGATGCCAGTTTTCGGGTTATCATCTGCAGATATGATGTGAGTCGCGAATCTGGGAAATTTAAAATCACATCCGAATTCGAGATACCACCTTCCAAGCTAAGTGTCATTACAATGATGATTCTGTTCTCCGTTTTGCTGATAATGTTGTATGTGTTTATGTATTTCTGCTCCTGTTTTTAATTCCCTCTTGTACATACTCGTATTATTGTACTTTTAAAAATTGTACTGATAAAGTTGTGCGGTTGATTTTCTTGCGAGTCAGGCCGACAATAATCAGACAGTTTGGACCAGGAAAGTAAATTAACGTCCATGCACGCTGGACTTTTGCCTTCTTTACCACACTATCTGTGGACATATCGTGCCAAAAAAATATGGGAAATAAAACCGTAGCCATCATTGGAAAAAGTCCTGATACACAAAAAAGAAACAACCAACCACACAAAAACAACAAACCATGAACCAAAAAATTTCCAGTACATTGCATTCCCCCATTCCTTCCCTTCGATCACAAATTAGGAGCACTTTCACAACTTACAAAACTGTAGTAACCGAATCAATTGTGTTTCAACCAGTTTCGTTATAAGTTATAACCGATGATTAACTGATGCAAATTTATTATAACTTCGTACTCCCGGCATCTCGCGGCTCCAACAACAACCGAAACCCAAAGAGATCTCCGCAATATTCGTAACCGATTTCCCACGTGGCGTATTATTCGCGTATTTTCACCGTGCTGACTGCGGCAGAGAATCTGCACAACAGAGAATCATGAAATTTTCAGGCCAGTTAAATGGCAAACAGTTACTACTAATAACACTATATAAAAAATATACCACTACTAAACAATTAATTAATCCACGAAACGGTTAACCTTTTTTCACACAATGGGAATGGAATACTTCTACATACAGTTCTCTAAAAAAATTCTCTAAAAATACATAAAAAATTCTCTAAAAACCAAGAATTACCTTGCAACCAGCGGACCTGAGTGGCAGGACCATATCCTTTATCATTCTTTGCGGCAATCCGGAAAATGATCGCTGGTTTCTGTCCACTGCAGTCGTAATAAGCATATCGCAGATTTTCATGGGTAATCGTGCAAGTGGGCACAGGATCATCATAAACTTTCATAAACGACAACTGATTCGTTGGAATGGGAACATCCGGTTTAGCATTCTGCGGCTTCGTGGCCAAGTACACTGCGTACTCGTTAATGTTATCCCCGTGATTAGTGGGCGGCTCCCACGTCAACAAAGCTCCTTCCGGACACTATTCGCAAATAAATCGCTCAACTAGATGCAGAACACCATCAAACTATACCTGTATGACATCAGCGTACATACTTTTGTAATTTTAATATTAGAAGGAGCCCCCGGGAATCCTGGTAGGCACGTTTTGAACGCCGACATCTCACTCCACACACCGCGACCACAAGCGTTGATTCCAGCCACGCGGAATTTATAGGCTGTACCCGGTAGAAGAGGATGTTTGACCATATCTTTGGGATTCGAAAGAACCGCCGCATTGTAATCCTATAACACTTTCATCCTTGCACACTGATGTGGTGGAAATTTTCGTTAATATTTTTTCTTACATTTTTGAAATCTTCCTCATTAACCGGTACATAATAATTCTGGACGACAAACGTCGGATCAGCAGTTATGGCGACAGTATACCACAATTTCGTAACTTGTCCATCTTCCTTTGACTTCGGTTCGGCTGGCTTTGCTGCTTCTGTGGCAGCCGTTGTTGACGCCTGTATTCAAGTCGATCAAATAATTAAAATTACCAACAATTAGAAAAAAACATCCAGGCTTACAGTAGAATCTTTCTCCTGGCTGGACGTCGACCCAGAACCATCACTCGCCGGTTCCTTCGCTCCGGCATCTTTTCCATTTCCGTTGGCTTCGGTAGAATTTTCTCCGGTACCAGCATCGGTTTTATCGGCTGGCTCGGGTTCTGTCGTCGCTGATACTGGTTTGGCATTGGTTGTCGGAGTCGCCGGGGAGGCGGTGGATGTTGGTACAACAACCATGGGGGATTTGGCTGGAGTTTGCTTCTGAGCATTAAAAATGATCGCCTGAGGCTTACTGGCTGCATTCGTTGCTACAAAAACCCATACATTTCATCTTTTAAATTTAATAATCAGAAAATTACTGCAATATCTCGTACCAGCCGGTTGTGGGACCAATTTAACCATCCCGCTGACGGGAACCGCCGATCCAGGTGTTAACGTGATCCCTTGTGTTGATCCCGGTTTCATCAGCGTTACAAACTGCGCACCGCTCGGTAAGTTCTTTCCCTGAGTGATCAACTGCGGTTTCGCCGCGGTCGAGGCGGTGGTCAGAAACCCGCTCGGATTGGGGCCTTGCTGACTCAGAGATGGAGGAGATTCATACACCTGGATTTGCAGATGGTAATTCTCCGCTAGTTCCAAGCGGCTCCTACCAGTTACGGAAGCCGTCCAGTGGACGTCTAACTGCGTGGTCGATGCGCGAAGCAACTGCACTTTTCCAGGAGCGACCGGTTTCGTCGTTTCGAGAAACCACATGTCATCACAACAAACCTGTACAAAAACAAAAATTTACTCCAATCACTGTCGTTAACAATAACGTAAGGCAAGGAAAAGGAATACGTTTATTGCAAAAAGTTATCCGGCTTGTATTTCTTTACCTGCTTATTATCGACTTTCTTGTAGCCATCTCGCCCAGACCAAATGTACATCCGATTGTGGACTATAGCCGCACAGTGACCTGCACGTGCCCGAGGAAACTCGGTTTTTTCACCGAAGCTGTACTGGTCCCAACGATTTTGCTCTATCGAACAGTTCAAAATAACTGTAATGGCAGAAACAAAAAAGCTAAATTATCTTGAAAACACTTTCTCACCAAAATCAAAAACTCCCAGACTGTTCGTGCATTTCCACTCCCTTTGCAGTGGAGTCAGTCCATCTTCGTCTGTGGGGATTTCCCTTTCTTTTTCGCGTGGTATCCATCCGCCGAACACGTACATTTTATTACTGCCCACCACGGCCGTGTGGAGACTCCGAGCATATGGTGCAACTCCGGTCGTCACAGGCTTCTGCCATGTTAGCGTTTCTGAAACATGAACTCCATTATTACCAATAATTCTATTCATAAGCAATACGCATACTTCCAGACAATCAATTATTAAAAACTAGTCTAGCCGAACCCATATACTCTGCCGAAGTAAGTATGCATTCGCGCGGTTGCCCCTACTGCATTTCAGAAAAACTATTTAACCGTTAATTCAAAAAAAATTTCGAAAATTTTAAGTCCAGAACCGAAAAACCCCGAACGGCTATTTTTCCGTAGAAAGGAGACGGAAAAATAAATATAAATCATAGAGATACACATAAAAATCACTGAGATACCTGAACGGTAAAAACCTACAGCATTAATTTAAGCTCCCGAATTTAATTCCTCGACTTTATCGCACCATAACCTACTAATCGCAAGCAACAGCTTGTAGGAGCTCACCTAAATCCAAAAACCATATGTCGCTTAACCGTTGGCCACACATTCCTCCGTACAACACCAGATACTCTTTCTGCTCCGCCGTCCCCTCGTTCTTTTTCCACAACACCGCGGTATGCGACTCCCTGGCCGTGGGCGGCGTCCCGTTCGTTTCCGGCAGTTCCCACTGGTGGGGCGATTTGGAGATGTCCAGCACATATAAATCATTGAGATACCTGAACGGTAAAAACCTACAGCATACGAGTCACACAACCCAGATAGAAACAGAAATTCCCCAAAAATCTACACTGTGAACAAACGCCGCACACACCTAGCTGTATGCGAGCGAGGATCCGGAGAATTATTACACAGACCGCCAAACATGTAGATCTTCTTCCCCACAATGGTGAAGGAGTGCCCCAGCCGGGGGCAGGGAGGCGGGCCGTTGCGCGGGGGTTTGGGGGTGAGTTTGCGCCATTCCCACTTGGTGGCCTGCAGTTCGTACAGATCACCTGAATATTTGCCGAACTCAATCATCCCGCCGTGAACCAGCAGCCTGGTGTTTTCCACGGCGAATCCGAAGGCGGCACAACCGGGCGGCGTCTGGCCTTTGCACTGCGGTACGAACCACGCATTCTGGGCTGCAAAGAAAATAAATTATCAGAGATTCTACCACCCTGCACAAACTGACAAAAGCAATATCACGCTATTTTTACGAACCAGAAAATTTACAATATAAGAAATAGATCTTATAAATGATAACACATTAACCAATATCGTTAAACTAATACACGCTCTTGGCTAACGAATTCCGAGAAATTCAAACAGAAAAAGTGAGAGAATTTCAAACACACTCTCACTACCCTGTTACCGTGTTATGTCATGCTTGGGCTGTTGTAAATAAAAATTAACTTTATCAATTAGTTATTAACTTATTATTAGCAATTTCCAAGCAAACTGAATGCGCCCGAAACAAGATGAAAACTGATTATAAGATCCCAAGAAATCCCAGCTCGGGCGTTATGAAATAAAAAACACGCACGAATGCCAAAATTAAAGCAGCGACAAAAAATCAAGTAAAAACTGTAAAAACTGTAAATAACAAATTATTCCCGATATTCCGTATTTTTATGTTCCGAACGAGAATATTCTTCAAACACAAACACGCGGAGACGGAATCCATTTTTAGAATTTAAACTACAAATTATTTTGCGAGCTGCGCCAATTCCTAAGCATATTCGTAATGCGTAACGTAATAAGGAAAGAGGTAATGTTCCCAGAAGTCGTCGACTTGGAAACCAAGATGGCGAACGGCGACCCACGACATCTCCCGCGACTTACTGGTGTTGAACACGTGCAGTTCATCCACAATCCCCTCATTTCCTCCACCGAACACAATGATCAATTCCTTAATCTGCACCGCTCGGTGCCCGTGGCGCGGATGGGGAACACTGGTCTGGCCGTTTTGGCCGGTTTCTGGGATTTTGCAGTGGCGCCACTTATACGGGCATTCCGCAGCCATATCGGGGAAAAGATGGCCTCAAAGACACCCGCTTCTCTTAAGGTGAGTAAGTTTAACTTGTAAGTATAACAGATAAAACTGAGTTTTCGATAAGATCCACTGGTTTTACGTTGCAGAATGCGTCATGCCTCTTTCGGAACATCAATCATTATCCTGACCTGACGCCATTACGACTGATCCTTGCTGTGTTTTCACGGCTTTTTGCGGCCAGTCGTATTGTTCGAGCTTTTTGCCGTTCGTATTAATAAATGGCTCAATTGCTTACCGGGGGCGGAGTTGCCAACCACGATTGGAGGTAAACACTTCCCTACCATTACCATAAGGCATAACTGCATAAGCCATAAGCTACAATTTCCTTAATAGATTAAATTACAGTAATATAATAGGTAAATTACAGTAATACTTTCAATTTTCACAATTATATACGTACTGGTGTACTGCATTTAATTGACTGCAACAACATTAATGCAGTTCACCCGTGAGCAAAATACACTGCAGGTGCCATAGACAATTAGACATCAAGACGGTTAAGTATTATTATGAATGTAGATTTTCATTTTTTTAATTAATAAACGATAAATATGTACTAGTGCCGGCATCGCAGCATTTTACAACTTGAAAAATTTTGAGTTAATGATTTACCAGCTTGCTGAAATTGAGCTGCTGTATTTCTTCGAAAACTACAAGAAAATGTGGCTATAAAGTGCTGAGAAACGTGGCTGGCCATCAGGCCATTTATGTAACCATGTGTCAGCGGTAATTTCATTATGTTCGTACACGAGCTCCATAGTTATCAAAGTTCTACTTTTGCAAAACTGAAGCTAAAAAACACAAGCTTTCAGACTACTAGCCTGGTACATCAAAACAAAAATCTCACTGCCAGAGGACAGCTATCAAAGGACCCAAACATCGGTTTACAGTCGAAGCTCAACAAACTGCAACCCATATAAGAAACTGGAACATCAAAAAGCGGTCAGCAGATCCTCACTCCGAGCCACTATCTTTCAAACTCAGCTTTGATCTTTTCGGCTCATCGTCGCTTTCATTGCCTCCTTTGTCCATGTCCATCCCAAAATTTGCATGTTCCGTTTCTTCATCCGAAGACGCCAGTGCCCGAACTTTCTTCGGGGGAGCTCTTCTGCGCCTTCTCGGTTTCTTCTTCATCACTATCCATAACCCGCGCTTTTTTCTTTACCGTCTCCTTTTCCTCGTCCGAAGAAGCCAGTGCGTCTCGTCCACTCGGTAAATTGTTCCCTTCATCATCGGACGATGCAACAGTATCTTTCTTACTCTTACCACCCCCGTCGTCTTCGCCTTCTGAAGATGAGCTAGTATCCGTGTCACTGACGGTCTCTTTTGTGAGATAACGTTTTCCTTTTGGCCCAGCATATGGATCATAGTCCTTGCCTTTTTCTTCATCAGAATCCGACCCAATCTCTCCTTCCCGTTGGTCTTCACGCTTTTTCCGACCAGCGAGTCTCTTCTTTCGGCCTTCGGAATCATGTTTCGATCGCTTTCGACTATGCTCACCTAAAGTATTTAGAGAGTTAATATCAACTACGATTTACGAGGACTAGTATTTGAAGAAAAACACGGCATGCCATATCAAAAAAAACACGGTCAGGTTCCCTAAACGTACTGCCAGTCATGAAAAACTCAAAAACGCCCACAAATAAGCTATTATTACAGAAAAATATTACAATTAAATTATTTCTTTGAATAAGAAACCCACCTGGACGGTCTTCGTAAACATCCCCGTCCTTAACGAATCCATCGTCCGCCTCATGTTTCTTCGTCCGCTTACGTGGTCTGACAACAGCATCTTCCGTTGCTGACCGCAACAGCTTCTCCTTGACTTCCAGAGCCCTGTTAAGCACCTCTTGGCGTTTCTTCATCAGGTCTTCCTGCTCCTTCAACTTCTCTTCTTCCTTGCGGACGCTTTCTTCTTGAATTCGCTTCTGATAAGCCAATCTGGCTTCTTCCACTTTTTGACGTGTCAGTTTCTGAGCGGCATCTGTTTCTTTCGCACGATCGAGGTGATAATCCGCTTGGTTCTTGTAATCACTGCACATTCGTGCCTGCTCTGAGGCTTTCGTTGGATCAATGAGAAACGATTTATCTGTTTCCAGCGCTAAATTCTCGAACATTTCCTCAGCTCCTTTGAGATCGGCAATTGCCCCCATCACATCATACAGTTCGGCGCGTGAATCTTTCAACGTAGTCACCGCCATTCTCTTCATCACTATGGCCAGATTATAACGCACTTGCGAATTTTGCGGTACAAGATGACGGGCCAACTGTAATGTGCGTCTGGCGTCTTTAAGATCTCCGTTGAAGTACTGAGCGCGCGCAAGATACAGATGAATTTGCGGATCCAGTTGTGCATCTTTAAACCGACGAAGCGCATTTTCATACATTTTCATACCGGCAACGTACTGCTTAGCTTCGCAATATTGATGACCAATATTTAACCACAAATCCAATATGTCGGCCGATGATTCCCGCACAACTGCGAACATTTCTTTGGCTTCCTCGGTTTGACCTAACAAATGTAACCACATTCATTTTCGCATTATGTAGACTACTGTAGAAAAACAAAATATAAAACAAACCCTTATCCGAAAATTTATTACATGCCAAATTATGGGAATAATAACGGCAAAAAAAATCGTAAAGAAATATTTTTTTGCGTGAAAAATTACCGATTCTGGCCAATAACGCTCCCAATCCGTTCACCGCGTAGATATTAAACGGGTCAACGTGCAACACTTGCTTGTAAAAGTCATACGCCCTGTCGACATGTCGTTTCTTCTGATCGCTGTGCTCATATACAACGACTCAACCAAATATTTCCCAAACTCAGCATGGCATACGTATCGGTTTTCGACTTCGGCAGCGTCAGCACCTTTTCGTATTTCTTCTGAGCCAGGACATATTCCGCTCTGGACATATGCAGGTTTCCGAACAACAACTGCGCTACTGGATGATCTTGCCCGACACTGCCAGCCAGTTTGAACCAATCTGCCGCCTTGGGAAAGAAGCCTCGATCCCTCCATGCACCCGTGACGGAGATAGCAATCCAGATAACTAGGATTCTTCTTCAGAATGCTGTCATAGCACTCCCGGGCTTCTTTAAAGTCGCGAGCTTCTTCCGCCAGCCGACCTTGATTGTACGTCATCGTGGTGAGCAGTGCACCGTAATGTCCGTCGGGGACTTCTTTCTGAGCTTCTTCCGCTCGTGCTTTAGCCATTTCCAGAAACTTCCGACTATTCGGAATTTCGTTCAGGTAGAAGTACAAAACACTGATGTTGTTGAACAGCTCGGCCGGCGCATCGTCTTGTGACGATCGCTCGTTGTATATCTCCAAAACCCGAAGGTATGTATTCAGTGCAGAACGCTACGAGCAAACAATTCAGCTACATGTACTAATTGCAAATATGAGAACAACAGGATTTCTCACCGGAGCATTTCCTTCTTGCAGTTCGGCAAACTTCATATGTGCGTCAATATCATCCGGACACAATTCCGTGACTTTTTTCAGGTAACCTTTTGCTTTTTTCTCGCTTGTCCGCCTCACCCGTTGTCAGATATAAAAGTCCCAAAATCTTCAGGGTCTCCACGTTGTTCGGACTCTGTGGCCTGTGCCAATACTTTCTCAAAACACTGTGTAGCGCTTTTGTTATCCCCTCTCTGAATGTACATCTGGCCCAAACCGTACCATGGCAAAACAAAAGTGGCTTTAGCAAACTGGGTGGCCTGATAATAATATTGGAATGCCTGATCGAAGTCCTCCTTGTAATGGAAACTTCTTCCAAGCATGTACGCCGATTCGGCCTTCAGTGTACAAATCATCGCCATTCTACAAATCACCAAAAGCAATAAATATTTGGTCCTTGAAAACTAAAAACAAGCCCAAGCACGAAAAAATCATTAGAAAAGACACTAAATAAAATTTATAAAAAAAGGTAAAAGTAAAAAAGCGTGACCAAAAGTTCTTACTTTTAATAATGCCAATATCTCAAAAAGATATAAACAGTAAACAACACAAAATGCTTCGAAAATTGTTTTCGTTGAGTTAAATGCTTTCGTTGTGTGATAAGAAATCCAGAAAAATTACCTGACATCCGCCTAGCACTGCGGATAAGCCGAGAGTAGTCGCCTAAATTGTTGCAGTGCCAGCTTGTAGTCCTGCTGATGAAAGGCAACAATTCCGCGACCTTGCAGCGCAAGCGGATCATTAGGCCAGCTCTTCAACACGAAATCAAACTGGGTTTTAGCCTGCTCCATCTTCTCCGGATCCAGGACACAGAAATACGCGCGTCCCACCAAATGGTACTGATTATAGATGGCCATCCGGTCCACATGTGTGTACAACACCGTGGCTTTCGACATGAGCTCTTTTTTACGATCACCCGTTTCCTTGGTCGACTTGAGAGCATAATAATTCGCCAGTAAATCCAGGCAGAAAGCCATATCGATGAGATCCTCTTGCGAATCCTTATGCTGAATCTGATACATAAAATTCTGGTTGGCCTGCTCGAGGATCTGACAGAAGACATCCTCGCGCTGATGCACCAGGTAGTGCAAGGCCAGCAGATTCCAGATGCGAGCGGGGGGCTTCTCAGATTTCAGCATCTCAAACACTTCCTCGGGACTCGTCACGTCTTCAGGATTCGTGACATCATCGTTGGCATCGGGTTCCAGTTTAAATTCTACAATCATAGGCACGCCCATCGAGGATGGATCGGTACTTCGAACAGGAAACGGGAATTTCTTTCCTTCAGAAAATCATTGTACCAGTAGTCTGGCACAGGTTGGATCACGTGTGCATTCATTTCGGCGAAGATGTGCAAGGTACGCCACTTACTGTATGCCAGGAGGCGCTTTTGAAAAGCAGTTTGTGGAATTAACAAAACAGCTGCGCATTGGGCAACCCTGCAGGTTTGGTGTTTTTCGATTTGTTCAAATTCATACAATCCGTGCGTACCATAGCTTAAAAATGCAGAAAAAAAGTAAAGTTTGAAAACGAAAGTTTATAAGTAAAAGTTTTGAAAGAAACGTTTGATTTGCGATTTAAGAGATTTCGTTCAGCATAGGTCTATGGCAAACCGCCTCGTAGACCTCCATGCTGAACGAAATTCTAAATCGCAAATCAAACGTTTCTATCAAAACACTTATAAACTTTCGTTTTCAAACAACTTTTTC